CTTCTGATCAATAGTTAAAACTAACATGGATGTCGCCACTCTGGTTTATCACAAACAGTTTTAACAAATATTCATTCATCTTAGTGGCTCCTTGAAGTATTCATGCAGTGCCACTTGGCTCAAGAAACTTTTTAAAAACTTTTTATATTTTTAGAAATATTATGGCCATAATACAGCAAGTGCCCACCTCGTACAAAAAGCTTTTGTGTTTCTTATTCAAGATAAGGTCTTCTGTATCTTTTCCAGTAGATTTTACTATGAACATATGGGTTGTCATAAACATAATTTTCTTGCTTTGTTGTCTAATGGATGATGCTGCACTAAGCTAAATATTATGGCTAAAATTTACTAGAAGAAACTTACAAAAGAATTTTGACTAGATAAGGGCCTTGTTCTAGTCACTGACTGCTTTGAACCAATGGGGGTAAAAGAATCTGGGTCTTAAAATATGCAAGCAAAACTGCCCATTCTTGATTATCCAGTGGACTTTGTCTCAATTCTGTTATGATAAACACCCTGGACCCATTTGCCACCATAGATTTGTTTTGAGTCCGTTCAAATGACAAGATGCTATATATTGATGTCCAGTCCAATTACACTGTGCCGATATCAGTTACAAGTATTTGACTTGACTTTTGTGTGCTGTCTCAAAAACAAACAGAATGTCTTGTAGGATAAGGACTTTGCCTCCGCTTGTCTTACTACTCAGAAAAATACCTTTTCCAGCTAAATGTTAATAAATAACAGTCTACTGATTCACTTAACTCTATCAGGGGACAGCTCATACTGAGCCGTGATTTTAAATGCAGATTAATGCTAACTCGTGTTCAGTATTTTGATTGGTTGTTGATTTCCAGCTGATGAACGAGAGAAGTTAATGATAGTACAAGTAGAGATGGAGCTTGTGATGTCACTTCCATGAAGCTATGGTGGCAAATGGGAACTACCCAAACAACTATCATAGAAACAGTGTTGGGAATCGCTCAAGAAGTCACGATCAATCATCACCATTAGGTACAGAAATAATGCTTGACAATAAACACCCCATGTTCTTCATGTTTAGTCTTCTTGCTACTCATAGCCCTGTTATCATCTAGGGTGGTATACATCACAGTGATAAGATAAAGAACAAACTTTGTCATAACTTGTTGAGCTAAAAAAGATCAGACATCATGATGGATCTTGGAGACCTAATGACTACACAGCGATAAAAACATTTTATAGTCAGAACAGCACTCTTTAATATATAAATCATAGAAAGGCCCCAAAAAGTGTGTGTTTCCATTATCCTGAGCCTCCAGGAAACCATATTAACACCTTTTCAAGACTTTATTTCTTAAATTTCTAGTGCTTTGTCAGGCTTGTTAAAAACTCTGGGAAGTCTTGCAATACTAACTTTCAAAAGAAAACAATGATACAAAGCAATGTAAAAAAATTTCGACATTTTTTAACCAGATTTGGTTACAAAATAAAGGAGAGGATGATAGAACGTCAGCACACGGATACCAGCAGCTAGACTTCTAGGAGACTTGCAGCAAGCCTAGATACATATCAGCAAGAGGACTGCAGTACATCACACTGATATCAATCACCTGTCATACATGGGATGACTTCATCACCAGGTTCAGTCCACAACTAGACTAAACATTCAGCCTATGTCCCCTCTCACAACAATTTGAATATCTCCCACTAAATAACCCATGACTCAACAACAATAAATTGCTAAAACTAATGAACGTCAGGTGGTGTTGGCAGCAAGTTAATTGTTTTCTCGGCAGTGCGATGACATGACTGAGCAGTGCATGGGTGCATACCCACTTGTTCTGCTTGTCACTGTCTACCATTGAAATCTGGAATGCAAGATGCTGCACATGTGGTTCCCAGTTTGACACATTACAAATACCACATGTGTATTTTACTTATGATTGGTCATTAGGTTATTAGGATAAGGAAGAAACCAAACTCAATCTGAAATATTATCATAGTTCATTTTCAGATAAAATCCATTGCATGCATCTTGATCTCAAGTTCATTGGAACTACACAACTTTCTCAGCCGTCGCCAAATAATAACACAAGCTCATAAAAACAAACTTCTACATTTTCCAAGGATATGGTAACATGCATTAGGTTAAGTAAATCATGGCCAGAGTTTCTGAAATAGAAGGACAAAAAGTTGTATTTCTCTGATATGGAGGTTCATATATTTTCTACTGGCGATTGATTGATCTCTTAAAATGAACCCAAAGGACAGTTGAGTCCAAGCCCCAACCTGTTTCTGTAACCTAGGCAAACCATAAGACTGAGGGCACAACTACAATGTTAGGAATTAAACTGTATTTGTGTATTGTGCTTGCTCCTGAAAAAACATTATGTTAATTGTCGGAAGGAATTGCCACTTGTGGTTAATGGGAACCATTAAAAATAACTATCTTTGCACATCAGAATGGAAGCAAAATAATCGTCTCGACATTTTCACTCCTTTAAATAAGTGACTAGTTTCTCAAAATGGATGGTCCAAGAAAACATTTGAATTGATATTTCTGAAATTATACTGATAGCGGAAAGGGTTCTACCTGAAGTGACAAAAGTAGGGGTCCCTGGGGCCAGTAATTAATTTTATGGGTCCTCGCAGGCAATATGAAGGTCTTTGTAAAGTAATGAAATGGTGTAGTGTACTGACAATCTGTACTTTCAGATAATTACTTGAGAGTGTGGAATGAATCAGTGATCATGTTGACAGTGGTCATGAGTGATGGATGAGTTAACAAACAACCATAACTGCTCTTGATGAGATGTTGGTACAATGAACATTATGAGGCGTCTCTTGGGATGCAGCATAATTTTTTTCTTCGCCCATTCTTTATTTTGTGCTTACTGATCAAACATTTTTGCGCCGCATTAAACCCTGCAATTGCATTACAGTGATAATGACATACTAACTTGCAAGAGTAATTACATTGTATCTCATAATTTTTAAACCTTTCAATCAATGGGAAGTTTTTCTTTCCTTTTCTCTTGGTGCAAAATAACACAGCATGGATCTCTTGCTTACCATATTAACACCACAAACTGGATGAACAGAAGACCAGCATTATACAAGCCTAAATGAAGTCGTTGGCTAATGAAAACCAGAAAGAATGTATAGATGGGATAGAAATTCTACAGTGCGAAAGTTTGATCAACAAATTACTTGTGTAATTATGACTGAGAAAAAATACAAAAACAACACTGCTTTGATGGTTGAAAGCTTGCAGGATTTCCTGTAAAGTGGTTTCCAATTAAATGTACCAAAGTCGCCAAGTGTGCTTTGTGTCTTACTTTGACCAAAACGTTTGGTTGATTTGTGTTTCATACGGAGATGTTTGCGCATTGAACTGGCAGAGGTCCCTGTGTACATCAATAGTACGCATGGTATGAACCATAAACAGCATTTTGTTTTCATTTTAGGCACATCAGGGTCAAAGGGTGACCATAGAGAATATTTCTTTTCCAATTCATCGGCCTACCGTGGACACATACACTGCTAACGAGAGTCCTTGTCAACAGGTTTAATTAAGAGTTATTCCCCTTCTGGGATATTTGTGTCTATGAAAACGGAATCGTGTCTATCTAATACCCAACTCTTATCAGGTACCCGTCACACCCCTTGTAAACATGTTAGTCCACACACCCAAACAAGCCATTGCACCAAAACTTACAGGTTAAAGAGAAAGACAATACAACTTTAACTGAATTCTAACTTGGAAATTACTCAATTCTGATTGGTCAATCAGAGTTATCGAATCACAAAAGAACACCACTGATTGAAATAGCTGACTTGACGTACGCATCTAACTCTTCATGGAATCTAATATTCATAGAAAAGTACTTCTTTCTCAGATATTGTCATTCTACATCTTTGAGACAAAATGACATATTTTCTTGAGTATAGTGGACACTTTTTCCGCACTATACATGCAACAATGAGCTTTGATGGTTTTTCCCCCCCAACGAAAAGACATTATTGTGAGCATGTAACACCAAATGCCAATATATTTGTTATAGTTTGACGATTCTACACTATTTCTCGCGATCATGTGCGCGGGAGCCTCGATGGTGACTGGTCAAACTGGTTCCATGTGAAAAATAATCAATGGCAATAGCGAACAGCTGCTTCGCTTAGGGTTATAATTATTTTAAATATATTTAGTAAAAGCTGAAACGATACAGCAAGGTCATAATACCATATGACACGTATCTCGATACATATGTAATGATACAATACATAAAGCGATACACATATTTACGCCAATTTGCGTGGAAACTTGACTAATAATTTTTGGAGCATGTTCTGAAGGAAAAAACTGGCTGTAGACACTTGTTCGTACCTGCTATTTTCAGAAGTGAACATGGAATGCAAATTACAACACATTGCTGGGGGGGGGGGGGGTTGTCATTAAACCAGTAGTAAGTATATTTTAGCAAAAGTATCGTCTTGTATTGATACAGAAGAAAACTTATTGTGTATTGTATCGCCGCGTGAAAACTTGTGATGAAAACAATGTTTCACTTCACCCCTATGTACAGTGTGCTATGTGCTATCCTATGTGCCCACTTCACAGTGGCTTATGAAGTTGCTGTGCTACACTTTCAATGCCTGTTTATTTTTTAGCACATACAGCACATAAAATTAAACATTTGAAACATTACACTGCACCTTCAGTTCCAAATTCTGTTCGGGGTTAAACATACAGGTAACCCAGCTAAAGGTACATTCTGTGGTCCATTCTACAGACAAGTGGTCCCAGGATAGACTAAGAATACCTTCAATTTGTCAACTGCGAACATTTTCATATGAACAGATTATCAGTGTGCCAAATGAGAAAAGACATCAGTAATTTCTATCTTATTCAATCCATGTTTTTTTCTTGTAAGGAAAGCAGAAAACCAAGAAAACATATATAAATGTGGCTAACATGGGATACTCCCAACCAAACATTTTACAAAATATGGCATTACCTGGGCTTTCCACCCTCTTGTAATGGTACGGGTTGATACAGACTTCCTTCTGTTTGGCACTAAACGGATATTCACAGATTTCTAGTGGCTTCAGTTCATGGTGGCTCTGAAGGTCAGGCCATCGCCACACACGGCAGTATATAACATGAGGGAGGCCCTTGCGATGGGAGACTTGTAGTCGACCATCCAAAGATCTAGGGATAGTTACACATTTGCTGGCCTGTCCAGGGCAGCTCAAGGCCTTTTCCAAGTCCTCAAGAGCACCTTTCTTTTTCTTCAATTTCTTAACAAGAGAGTCTACTGCTTTTTCTGCCCATTTTTCCTCTTCATCGCCCTGTTTCCATCCAAGGAGACGCTTGACAGCTGGACTTGTGAATGAGAATATACTGGATAGTGGTGACGTCATGGTTGAACCAGCCTGTAATGAACAATAAACTGAATTAATTGGGTTTTCTTAGAGACTATCAAAGAATGAAATAGATGGCAGAGATGTATATAAACTGCAAAACATTTGTTATCAGTGGCTGCTTTTCAAGGAAGGAGTGCACTTCAGTATCTCATAGTTAGTGCTGGGAATTGGTTGTAAAATCATGATTGACGACTGGATTACCCCCAACTGATTGATCATCGAAACTGATTGGTTAATGTAATTTTGTTTCAATGTTTTCAATGTCAAATTCAGTGAAACTAGACCCCAAACAAAAAACAAACACAAATACTTACTTCAGTGAATAATACTAAAAGGATTACAATATTCGAAAATTTGATATTCCACTTTCTCAAATTCATATGTCCATCCCCAATGAAATGTTAGCCATCCCTCTGTCATAAACCAAATTAAGAACATTCATTAACTGACTAATATTGCAAAATTGATCCTTGTCCTGACTGGTATCAATATCCAATTATCATAAGCTGCCTGACATATGCTGGTACAGGACATTAAACATAACATCCAAATATAAAACATACCAAATTCAAACACCAACCAAGACATCAGTCACTGAATATGATGAAGTACCACAATCCATGACTTTAGCCAATACTTCAAAGCCTGAGACAAGTAAAATTAAGCTCGGTTTCGCAAGCTCAGCTAGTATTTGAAAATTTACCAGTAACACTAAATTCTACTGGAAATGATGGTAAAAGCCAAGTTAGAGCTGGTGGTCAGAATTTTATCAAAACAGGTTGCTACTGTAATACAGGAACTTATTTTCTTTAGATGTCTAGACAACTCCTGCAATTCTATGCCCTAAACTGTGAATTATATGTCATCATAAAACATGTACAGTAGGTTTTACTGAATTCAAACACATTTGAGGTGCCTGACTATGTGCATTGAAAATAATCAAGTTCAGCTGACTTAATGGGCCATTTTAAACCCCAAAGGGACAATTATTTGCCACGACTTACTGTTGAACAGCCGCCCCTGGGAAAGCCTAGATAAAGCCTTGTAATACACATAATAAATATACAAGCATGTCACAAACCAGTTATATGAATCCTGTTTCACATTCAGAAGCTCAGAGCTACAACACTCTGGCAAAATCTTTATGAAAAGGTTCATTATTAATTGACATTCGCTTTTCAAAGGTGCAATCTCATGAAAAGAGTAAAGTTCTTGCCCAGTAATGACAGTGATGTCTGGCAACAGTCCAAAGCATGTCATGATGATTCATTATTCTTGTTCCATCCTCTACTGGCATTTAGAAAGTTTAAGGTGAAAGTAGTATTTCATGATGAAAGATCATTAGAAGTAGAATGGCAAAATTACATATCAAACATATAATCCAGCTGCAATATTGGGTGGTAAATGTAATTTTCATTTAGATAACAAGATGACTATAGTACTACTAGGATTCTTAGAAGTTAGAAGTCATTTCAGGGCAGTGTTCAATTTTACATTCCACAAGGGAGTCATTTGGTCCAATAGGTTTGTCACAGTTGTGTGTTGAATCTGCAGAATACCTAAAACTTTGAACAATAGAACCCCTACATATTCATGATTAATTTTAAACACTGGTTACTCATAACAATTAGTTCTCTTGTCAGACACTAGCTAAAAAGAACAAGAAGCATATTACCAAAACTAGATACATTGAAGTGGACGAGAACATATATCATACACATATCAGCTGTGTATTGATCAGAGACAGTTTATTTACTCATGTGGTCAGTATATTAATACATTGTGTTAGGAATAACTTAAAACATTCATATTTACTTTAAGGGAAGCAACTAATGATTAATAATTTGTTACATAGGTTTTACTATTTAATAACCTTGAAATATGAAAAAGATACTTTGACATACAAGAATGCAACAGCCTTTTCTCATAAGCTGTGAATTCATGTTAGAATCCTGATCAATTAAACAGTACTGAAGGTCACCTGGCAAGATATCTATTAAATTCAGTACATAGAAAATAGCTAATTTATTTGAGATGTACATCCACAAAAACAGTTGCCTGATACCAAAACAGAATCATCTGGTTTCATCTTCAAATTCATAACTCCTATTCATTTCTCCCAAGTACTAATACTTTTCAACAATGATCAAACCTATTACTGTTTATAAATAACTGTGAATTATCCACATATGAAAACAAACACAACCTGGGCTACTGAGTGCAATGGTCTGGAATGTGATAAATCACCAATATTGCTCTCCAAATCATAATGTCACACTTCACAATTATGTCCTTAACAACACCTTGGTGAGTACACACTATGTACCCTGATAAACAGTATCACAAGTGCTAATTAACTAGACAGGAAATCATTGCTTGGTAATTGATCCCTGACAAACTGCTAATTGGTCAATTGACAGGCTCTGACGAGAACAGAATAGTAGAGCAGTGGGTTAGTGGAAGTCACAATGAACCATCAGTAATTAACTTAGGCCCATATTGCACTGGATGTCAAATTAGTGCTCTTACTGTTGGCAATCAAACCTGTACTAGTGTAATGAGGGAAATCCTGATTCATTCAAACACCTGACCTTCAACTTCTACCCTGTGGCATCAATAAAGCTGCTAACTCATCTAACTGGTAACTGATAACTATACAATACATCTTTCCTGACATCATTATGAATACTTTAATAAGGCAGATACATATGAATACACCTTATAAATAGGCCCTACATATCTAAATTTTTAAACATCATGTTGTGTAAACAATGCAACCAAGTTACCAGCTGGTAACATGTAACAATGTAAGAAATACAAATAACAAATTATGATAATCTCTACAGTTCCCTTGTCTTTTAATGACTCATTTTGTAATAAATTAACAAACTTTTGCTCAAATTTCTCATTTCTGTAAATAATGACAGGAATTACAACGGTCATTCAGTATATTGACATTTTGGTACCATTCACAAGCCAGTACAGTAAACAAGAATAATATTATAAGTTGCATGCGGCAAAGTGAAAATCTAGGACTTTACTGTTAAATGGTGGAAACTTCAAAATTACATAAATGCATGGTAAAACTTGAATCCACGCCCTCTCTAAATGATTCCATTACATTTTGTATATTACTTTCTACAGCAAAATGAAGTTGCAAATTATTTTTCGGGTTTAATGAAAGAATCTGCAGTATAAGAGGCTTATTCCCTTGAGTTTAAGTACATTTCCTAACAGCTGTAAATAAAACCGAACAACTTACGATCTTTCGCAAGAGAATGTGACAGATCAATGCAATGCACACACATTGCTCCCCACGATGTTGCGATTTTTCACGATCGAAAACATGGCGATAAGGCCAAATATCTGTCGAAAGAAAGTGAAAATTTTACCTGATATAATCCACAAGTAGGTCTGGTTATCTTCTGATTATATATACTAAATTATTCAGAACCCCTTGAGCTGATTCTAGGGCGGGAAACGCCACTCATGAAATTTTTCCATCAAAATTAGTCGCAGGGCAAGCTGAAAATTTCTTTGCTATTGTAAGTGGCGACAGTCAGACGGGAAGCAGCAGCAACGAAATGTAGGCCGACATATTAATGCGCGCCTCGTTTTCACTTGTACTTCCTGTTTGTTATACAAATTTATTGCGCAGCAAATACACTTTTGTTGTAAAGACATATACATAGTCTGTTTAAAAAGTATATTATTGTTGATGTTGTATGTCTGACTCACAAAAGAGAACAATTTGTATCAATGCACTATTTTAATGCGTAAACGTAAACACGTGCGTGTCGGTAGAGTGGCCCACAAATGATGACGTCACGAATGACTGGCGACATAAAGTCGGCTTGGTTGACCCACTGTTGTTAAGGGGTGACAGATATTGACAAACGGGCTGCATTCACCTTTGTAGCTCAATCGAGACCCGAAGACGATTTTTTTGCATTCGTGTACATTATGCATGTTTTCAGAAACATGAAAACGATAAGTGAAACAGCAACGGAAGCCACACATTTGTTACAAAACTTACAACACCGTTCGTGGTACCCCTATTTCTTGCGAAAGTGTACTCAGCGATAAATACAAGGGGAACACCGTCTGGTACATTGCAAAGTCAATACGGTGCTCATCAACACTTGTGTGACCTCAAACACAGCGAAAAAAGATTTTGTAGTTTCACAGATCGGGCTTATTTATCCCAGCCTCGATGCAGATAGCAGGTGCGCCATAATTTGTATTTTGAATGTGATGTCACTCGCTGTATTTAGCACGATCTCGCATGTCACGATAATTAGGCGAGCACACGTGTCTCTTTTATTATTTTCATCTTGCCGTGCACGTGTTTGATATGTACATGCTGACCCAGCAGTGAATGATGATAACTCGCCCAGTTTGACTCACAGTCGCGGATGATGGCGATCATGTCGAAAACACATGGAGGAAATGCAGTGTGCGTTTACACTACATTTAGCATGATCAGAACTTATAGAGTTACCAAAACAGAACCCCCACTCCCATTTAAACTAAATTACATTATTAAATGGCATATGAATTAAATTTGGGCCATTCTCAAGAAGCATATAACGCCAATTCAATGTGGGGTGATGTATAAATGACATTCGTCTAGATATTACTGGAAAGTTCACAAGATTCACATAGGTAACAAATTGTAAATGATTTAGGCAATAGGCCTATATTGTGTTATGGATGTCAAGTAGGTCTAACATTCCATCATGATGGGTAGAGAGAAGTGATAGGTGTCTTTTTTAACTTGTCATTTTTGTACAGACTATTATTGCAGCATTTAACAACAAACAAACTTGAAATTATTGTGACCAATTAATTCAAGAAATGTTTTCTTGAAAAACAGGCCTAACCTACCTAATGTTATTTTCACAATTCAGGATGTACAACAAAAGCCAAAAATGAAAATGATTTAATCTTGTGAGGCGATTAAAATTAGGTTCTATTTGTTGTCAGGAATCTCCTCATCCTTGTTTTAGAAGGATGGAAAGTTATTATCAGGTTGCTGCATTAAGGAAATTAATACCTACAAGTTTTGCTTACAAAAGCATGTAGAGCCTTAATTTACTCTTAAAAAATATAATATCTCAGTATTCCATAAATTTAAGATTTTGGAATCTAGGCAGATAATTAACAACTCATCACTCACTTTGGAGAAAAAAACCTCTGGACACATTTGATCTGTGCATGTGACATTATTTGAGTGAGTGAGTTGGGTTTAACACCGCTTTTCACAGTATTCCACTTACCATAGTCGACGAAATAAACACCCAAGGCGCTTTCAAAATTAGAAATAGGGGTTCTTATTAGAATATTATTTTGGTGAAAAAACAGAGTTGAAAGATTTTCGTGGTTTATGATGACAGCCTGAAATGTTAATACACGACAGATATATTTTTCCAGAATTTAACTGCCCATAATTAAGGGTTCATATAGCACACGATTGCGTATTATACGCGAATAAATAAGTCTGGTGTACATTGATCAATCGGAAGGTGTGCTACTGGAGATTGTTCACTAGCCAATATATTAGCAAATATCGCTGCGGGTCGCTTATTACATCAGATACGGTATATCACAGCATATCAGAATAATGTGGGAGGAAAGCCCAAAGTGTGACATTTGAATCTCCTTTGATTTGTCTTTTGGTTTGTTGTTTGATGCCCACAAAGCATTATTCGAGCTATGTGATGGCGGTCTGTAAATAATCGAGTCTGGACCAGACAATCCAGTGATTGATATCATTAGCATCGGTCCACGCAATTGTGATACCATAACATGCATCAACCAAGTCAGCGAGCCAGACCACTTGATCCCGTTATTCGCCTCTTTCAACAAGCATGGTCACCTCTTTTGACAAGCATGGGATGCTGAAAGCCTATCTTAACCCGGATCTTCCCAGGAAGAATCTCCCTTGAAGTATTTGTACAACATGAGTAGCAGGAGTGGTTTGGTAAACATTTCCATTTCCTTGTCAGTTTTAAAGGAATTGTTTGGGCAGTTCCCATGACAGAGACCCATGAAGATCCGGGTAAGAGTAGGTCTTCAGCATCCCATGCTTGCCGTAAAAGGCGACTATGCTTGTCATAAGAGGTGACTAACAGGATCGGGTGGTCAGGCTTGGTGACTTGGTTGATGCGTGTATCGTTTCCCAATTGCATGGATTGATGCTCAATATGTCAATCACTGGATTGTCTGGTCCAGACTCAATTATTTACAGACCTCAGTTATAGAGCTGGAATATTGCTGAGTGCGGCGTTAAACAACAAACAAATCCCATGACAGAAACATATTGATGAAATCAGCTTTCAGGACATGCAAGTGAGATGCATGAAAAATGGGGAGTGTCAGTTTCATGATGAATTGGTCCTTTGTTCAGAAGAGGCTGATTTCACTTGATGATGAATCAACATAAAAAGGTGTGGAGAGCAAATGTGGTCCAGTATTGACAGATCATGATGAGTCAAAGTCTGGTTTTGACTGATTCCATGACGTTAATTTAATATTTGTTAAAAAACATCATGCCTAAAATGGGGAATGGGGATGGAGTGTTCACAAAGCGTGATTACTTGGCTGACTCTCATCAGCGTGGCGGGTCATGAGGTCACATTAAGAATATAGCATAATATTATTATGGACCTTAATTATGAAACATTCAGAAATACCTCCATTTATTTTTAAAAATTATGTATATTGCAGTCTGTGCCTAAAACTGTATGTCTTCTACCCCAAACATGGCACATAGCATCATTTTTAGTATATTTTATTGTATGGACTTTTATTAGCTGAGCTTACTAGACACAACTGAATTATACTTGTGTCAGGCTTCAGGTGGATGAGTAGCCTTGTGGTGAAAGTGTTTGCGCTTCACCCCGAAGGCTTGCATTTGAAGCCCAATTCTAGTATCCCCAGCTGTGATATTCCTGGAATATTGCTGTAAGCTGGGTGAAACCAAACTCACTCACTCTGACTAGTGACTAATGTCACAGACTGATATTTGCAAGTGAAAACACACACGGAAGGTAAAATAAAATGTGAAATCAAACACTTAAGTTAAAAAAATTAAGAAATCCTTCACCTGCCTGTGTGTCATTTTAAGTGTAACTAATGTTTTGTTTGTTTGTTGTTTAACACTGCACTCAGATATATTTCAGCTATGGTATGACAGTCTGTAATTAATCGAGTCTGGACCAGACAATCCAGTGATTAACATCATGAGCATCCATCCATGCAATTGGGATACGATGACATGCATCAACCAAGTCAGCTAGCCTGACCACCTAATCCCATGAGTCGCCTCTTACGACAAGTATGGGTTGCTGAAGACCTATTACACCCCAGATCTTCATGGGTCTGTAACTAATGTATTGAGGCATATTCCAGAGACACATGTTCCAAGTGGTATTTGTAGAACATCTTGATTGGTGTGTCTGAGCTCTGTAGAACATGTGAGTACCATATGTATAGTATACTTCTGCCAGAGCAACATTATCACCACAATCTGGGATGTTTCTTTGGGCAATGATGTTTATGCCAGAAATGATGTCGGTAATCTCGCCATAATCAAAATAATGACTTCCTATTGTTGCAGGTGAAGGGAGATAAACACGTTCACAATCACAACAAGAAATACCCAACATGGTGGCGGAAGTGTACTTGAGCGGCAGGCTGAAAAATGACAGTGGTTGTGTGGTGACTCTTTCATCAAGTGCAGTGTTGTTTGTTGTGGAATACTGTGCACCTGTGGATGTGCGCATTATATTTGTTGAAGATGCAGCTGCACAGAGGGAGGAACAGATTGAATTACCACTGCATGCAGTGCAGAAGCTCCACCACACTTTCACCGAGACAGAGTTACTTCCCCTGATTATTCAGAACTGCCAATTGCCTGTGATATTTGATCCCCAAATAGCTATGGTTAGATCAGGACTTTGTTGTGCTGTTCGACATCTTGTTAAGTTGGCAGATGCAACGAATCCCACGAAGTACTTCAAGGATTTGCTGGTAATGAATTCTTCATTAAAAGTATTTAGACAGCATGTTAAACTTTCTCTTTGTCTTTGGTGAACAAATTCAAATTAGAATAGAATAGCATAGAATGAATAGCTGACCTTGCCTGAAAAGCAATGTGAGCTTATTTCATTGCAAGTTGTCTCTAATCTTTATGACTTCACCAAGAAATATGTGTGGATATTTTGTAATATTAACATTATCTGTTGACCCGTGAAGATCCGGGGTAGAATAGGTCTTCAGCAACCCATGCTTGTCGTATAAGGCGACTTTGCTTGTCGTAAGAGGCAACTAATGGGATCGGGTGGTCAGACTCGCTGACTTGGTTGATGCATCTTAGCATGTCATTGATCCCAATTGTGTGGATCGGTGTTCATGATGTCAATCACTGGATTGTCTGGTCCAGACTCGATTACAGTTACAGTATAGCTGGAATACTGCTGAGTATTATTTTATGGGTTACTTACTAAGGTATTTAAATAGCAATTCCTCCAAGCCTGTAACAAGTGCACACCAACAATGCGTGAAATAAATGTCCAAGAGGTTTGAATCCGATTTGCAATAGGCCACTATCACAGCCAAATTGAAAAAGCTTATTAGAAAATATACCTTTATGGATAACAACGTCTGCTTTATTGCATTTAGCGAATATTGTCCTAGATTCTTACATCGTTTGGCTTGCTTGATAAGAGTGAAAGAATCCCCGTTGAAAGTTGCAAAAAGTAATAAACAAGAAGTTGTTATCTTTAAAGTTGATTTTTTTTCTAATTTACTCACCCACTTCTAGAATGCCAATCAAACAGTTAAGCTATTTATGGCCATTACTCAGTCACTTAGGTTCAAAATATAACTAAATTTGGCTATATGAACAGTTAGTGGAGGGGCTCAACTTATATGTTCCTTTTTTTTTGGTTATATTCATAATTTTGACATTGTTCAAGCCCATCAAGATCCTGGGAAAATAGGTCTTCAGCAACCCATGCTTGCCGTAAAAGGCGACTGCTTGTTGTAAGAGGTGACTAACGGGGATCAGATGGTCTGGCTCGCTGACTTGGCTTATGCGTGTCATCATATCCCAATTGCATAGATCAATGCTCATGATGTCAATCACTGGATTGTCTGGTCCAGACTCGATTATTTGCAGACCTCCATTATATAGCTGGAATATTGCTGAGTGCGGCGTTACACAACAAACAAACAAACAAACAAATGTTTAATTATCAATGCTGACAGCAAGTTTAGTAAGTGTCTGTCATTGTTTACATTTTAAACTGATGATTACAAATCCAATTGAGCTACGGTTCTGTGGCACTATTTCGTGTTTTGAGAATGTTATTTCATACACAAAAATATTTGTTACATGACACTGTCGTACAGAATTATGCCAAAGCAGTTGATGATATTTGCACAACTTGTCGAGTCAAGTAACATATGTTTCTGTCTGGTTGGCTAAACTAATAATGGTCCATATACATGTATTAACAATAATATCTACTGCAAAATAGTACCTCAAGATCAATTTCAAGTGAAAATATTCTGTCTTCAAAAATGTGGGACAGGCCAGTGGTGGGGTAGCCTAGTGGTTTAAACGTGCGCTTGTCTTGCTGAAGGCCCGGGTTCAATTCCCCACATGGGTAGAATATTGCTGAGAGAGGCATTCATTCATTCATTCCCGCCATGAAATTGCTGGAATATTGCTAAATGCGGCGTAAACCCAAATTCATTCAATCGTTCGTTCGTTCGTTCGTTGTTCCTACTGTGTGACATAGGCCCTATGTTTGTGTTTCAGGGTTTCAGACAAGGAAGCCTGAGGATGTGTGCAGAGGTGAGGAATGCTCCTGGGTTAGAAATTAACTCTAGCCCGCTAGGCCGGGGCTAGCACAAATTCCTGCGGGCTAGTACAAATTTCGCAATTTCCCCATTGTTTTAACATTACAAGGCCATTTTATCTTTACCCGGGCTAGTAAAACATTTGAGTTTAGTTCTAACCCTGATTTTATTGCTCTGGATGATGTGAGATTATGTTTTGATAATCCCAGGTGTCGGGTTGGACGAAGCTGTGTGAAGTGGAGCTGAACAAAAGTCTGACTCAGCTTATTCACAATTTTAGGTATGAATAAGTGAGTTGCACATCGCAACTGTTACCTGGTGAACATCAAAGATCACTGAGTCATTTTCTTGTGTTAGGTTTTTCTTGTAGTTTCATATTATATTTTTGACTGCCTCTATTGTCTAGTTGTAGAGAGTCTGCTCAGAGAGCGGAAAGTCCGGGTCTCACGTCATGTTTAAAGATGGTACTTCTTGTTACCCTGTCTGGTGCTCGGCATTAAGGGGCTTAAACAAGGACTTGTCTGCCCGGAGTCAGTATACTGTGTCTGAATGGGGTATTCATGTTAAACTGCGGCATGGTATCTCAGTGTGCAAGCACTATAAATAGGCATCAGTCCCGACTAGTACAAGCAGCCACACACACACACACGTGCATGCACGTCACTATATAAGTGCAATAATCTTGAACGCGATGTTAAACCCCATTTCAATAATTGCAAAACATTGCCTAGAAGTATTTTTGTTATATAAACCTTAATTCAAGACCTTTTTAGGAAAAATTACAAGTGCATTACTACCTGTATCCTGATTTAGTTTCAGTTGTGTTTTCTTTGTTTGAAATGTTGGCAACATAAGTATCATAAAAAGAAGATTTTGTAGACTCATCAATAAATTTGGTCTGGCCTTATAAAAAATCCAGGTGAACATTGAAAATAAAGATGACTTAAGATATATTCAGACGCTGCCCCGAGTGGTGCTAGAAAATACCCTCCAATAACTGTTCAATAGATACCTTAGGATTTTTAAAAGGTAGTGTATAGTACTCAATGTTTGATAGGGATAATCAGATATGTCAGATATATTTAAATATACGCTTGACATATTATGAGAATCAGGTTGGTGTATCGTGGCAAGATAAGAATATTCCTATGAGTTATCCTGGTATTGTCTGTATTTCACGCAACAAATGTAGATTTGTTGTTCTTCACTGTGGGTAATACCAGTGAAGATCTTGGGTAGAATAGGTCTTCAGCAACCCATGCTTGCCATAAGAGGTGCTTATGCTTGTCGTAAGAGGCGACTAATGGGATCAGGTTGTCAGGCTCGCTGACTTGGTTTGATGCATGTCATCATATCACAATTGCGTAGATGATGTTAATCACTGGATTGTCTGTTCCAGAAGCGATTATTTACAGACCGCCGTCATATAGCTGGAATAATGCTGAGTGGTGCTTTAAACAATAGACAAACAAAACTTATCCAATATTTATGTCAATCAAACTAACACTATGGGTAAACCAGTCAAGAACTTTTATTTTTTAAATCAGGCTATTGCTAAAATATTGTAAATTACATTCTTTCAAAGGAGGCGATTATGCCTACATACCTTTTTTTTATGCATATATTAATGCCAATTTTCTGTTAATGTACTAAATTTGTATGCTTGCCTGTCAGCTAAATATTGTACTTTTAACACTTATTTCATTTGTCTACATGCATTTTTTGCAGACTTGTGTCAGACACTGGGAAGTTGGAAGTAGAGTTACCTCAAGATCTGATGAAACTTGAAGCTCATTTTCTCAAACCTCCCAAAATTCATAATGATGACAAGATGAGGAGAGCTGTGTTAAAGGAGGTCAAAGAAGAAATGAATGATGAAAAAACACGAGATCAAATACTAAAAACTTGTAAATTGAGAACAAACAGTTTTCTGCTTGAAAAGGAAAAAAAGTTTCCCCATGGAAACAGAACATTCAAACTTGTAAAACATTTCAGTGGAGATAAGGGGACTGACAAAAAGCAAACTGTATCAAATAAATGTGAAAAAGTTATTCAGAATGGAAGTGCCCAGATTACAGCGAAGGGAGATAACTCTGTCGAGGACTTGATAAGGGGTATAGAAAGCTTGACCTATCTGGATGTGGAGTTGCTTCACCTGTACTCCGAAGGGATAGAGATGACCGTGGCAGATCTTGTGCTGTTTGTCTACCTGTATCATGTCATAGTAAGTCTTACATGCTTCCTCGGGGACTTTTTTTGGTGATAGGGTGCACGGGTGGCCCAGTCGTCTAAGGCACCGTGATTCTCTGTGCAGAGTTGCGTCCATGGGCATGCCAGAAACCTATGATTGTTGGTTCAAATCCCGATTTGCCCCGATTATGTTTCTAGGTTTGTCAGCACCATACCCGTGCTCGTGGGTTTCACCGAAGTGGTAAACGTCTGAGACCTGCATCACTTTGGGTTTTCCTCCCACATTAAGCTGACACGCCGCCATATAACTGGAATACTGTTAAAAGCGGCGTTAAACCCAACTCACTCACTCACTATTTTGGTGAAATATCCCAGACACCTTTCACTGTGTATTTCTGTCCCAAGCAGCCTAATTTGCCATAAGAGCCAACTATGTGGATTGGGAAGTCAGGACCTGTGACGTTTTTGATGCATGTCATCATATCTCATAGTGAGTGAGTGAGTTTGGTTTAAACCGCCACTTCTTCCTCCAGGAGGGAACGGAAGGCCTGTCAACTTTGAGACACAGCACAAGTCACTCATTTGACCTCTTAGGAGCAATTACACTCTTTATGTAAACAAAACACAATCACTTGTCTGATAAGGATACTGTATTGCCATAGTCAGCTATATGATGCCAAGAGTTTCATTACTGTGTTATGCTTTACAAAATTTTAATTTTCCTAGAAGAAATTAATTGCAGTTTTAGAAAGAATATAATTTATATGTCTTTGTGTGTGTGTGTGTGTATATATATATATATATATATATATATATATATATATATATATATATATATATATATATACACAAAGAGAAAAATAACAAAGTCAGTTCGCCACCACCTGTGTCCCATATATGGCTCATTTATCCTATTTGGGTATTTTGTTCGCACAAGTGTCAACATAAATTCCGGCATTATTTGTCTGTGATGGAAGACAACATGCTCCCCATCACCCAGTCTGATCTTCTTTTGAACATATTCTGGTATTTTCCGCCCGTTACAGTTGTCAATTATTTTCAAGAATTTATAGTAGAGAGCCCTTCTGATGGTGCAGTTATTAGGGTTTGGAGGGAGCGCATGTCCCATCCATCTGGCTGTTCCGTTGTGGGTGGCTACACAGGGTTTGATAAAACAGTAGGGGCATGTTCCCTCCTCCATTCGATTGTCACCCTCGGGATCTGGCTGATTTGCAATGTACTGTTCCCCGGGAATAGGGGAGTCCACTTGAATTTGTATACCTTACGTTTTGTAAATACATTTTTTGTTATTGTATATATAGTGAATGTAACTATTCTATAAACTGACATGGTTACAAGGAACATTATTTCGTGATTAATGTATATAAGTCATTTGATTAGGATATGCACTTTGACTGGATATATTCTTATTAAGCAGTAACTGTTTCATTATTATTAAATTTGTAGCCAACAGACCTGTTGTCCTGCGATGTTCCGTAGCAGCCTTATGTACAATATGCATCAATAACACATATTCACCTCTAATGAACTGCGATATGGTACACAAGTTGTTTGTAGTCAGCTTCTAAATGTATTTGTATGATTTTGTGATATTTGGCTCTGACTTGACCTGACATGAGATCATGCCACTATAGCCATCATATATATATATATATATATATATATACATAGACATAATTTAGAAGTGAGATCTGTATTTCAATTGTTTTAATATGTTATGCTGCCTTGGACCTGAGGATTGTCCGCAGTCTCCAGCTGAGAGGCCGAGGGCCATATGACCCCTTATCCATAATTGTATGTGGCAGAGGAATGTAATGTTTAGAACATAAAGTGGGAAGCCGATTTGGGTGCTGAAAGGCTGTAACTGGCGGTTTAACGCCGCTTTTAGCAATATTCGAGCAATATCACGGCGGAGGACACCAGAAATGGGCTTCACACATTGTACCCATGTCAGGAATCGAACCCGGGTCTTCGGCATGACAAGCGAACGCTTTACCCACTAGGCTACCCGACTGCCCCTCATATCTCATAGATTGACGCTCATGCTGTCAATCACTGGATTGTCTGGTTCAATTACTTGGTAACTGCCTTCATTTAACTGGAATATTGCCGACAACAAACAAAAAAGGGTTAAAATATGCTGGGATCCTCGTGGCTTCCAGGTAAGAAATATAGGACCCCAGCAACCTATGCTTGTCATGAGAGGTGACTAAGGACTGAGAGGATCAGGTGGTCAGGCTCAGTGACTTGGATGATGGATCTTGCCGATCAGATCATCTTGACAAGGGGCCACCATCATTTTGTTTGAAGAAGATGCAAGTGATATGAGAGATGGAATCTGATTGGTCAATATGAGGGACATAGTGTAGCAAGGGTGGAAACTGGACTGTAACATTAGTCAGTTGACGCCCTTGCCTCGAGAAGATAATGTAAATTTTCACTTGTCCTCAGTTGTAGTCGTAATGTAACGGCCATAAAATTTTAAGACAGTGATGGGATTCAAACTCTCTAATCCGAGGTGTGATGCCTTGTCCACATGATCAAAGAGGTTAACCCTGTCAGCAAGCTGATAAAGTACAGATATCATTGAACTGGATCATAGGATTTTCGCGAATACCTGCAAAAGTCACTCTAACTAGCCAGATACAATGTCTCAGTTCTGCACATATTGTTGAGGTTGGACTCTTAATGTTTTAGGAGGCTCTGAACTTCAGCTGTGGTGAACTGTTTGAGAGACTCCCACGCGTCATGGAGTGGTTAGGATACATGATGAAAGTGGAAGGAATCAAGACGATGATGGACACGTGCTTCAAGGTCACTGACCTGGCCCAGGCCTTGACAGAGGTGAGGTCAGCAGGTGTGATGCTGTCTGTGCCCACCATGGAGGATGTCACCGAGGATGATATGGAACTCAGGTGAAATATGGTAGATGATTAGATTTGTTCTAATATAATAATATGTCCATTTGTTATGCTTTTGTTTGTTGGATACAATACATGCATCAACCAAGGAAGCAAGCCTGACCACCTGATCCCATTAGTCCCCTCTTACGGCAAGCATAGTTGCCTGTAGGATTGGTTGGTCAGGCTCGCTGACTTAGTTGATGCATGTCATTGTATCCCAATTGTGTGGATCGATGCTCATGATGTCAATCACTGGTTTGTCTGGTCCAAACTCGATTATTTACAGACCACCATCATATAACTGAGTGCAGCGTTTAACAGCAAATAAACAAACCCACAAACAAACACTCAACACTGACATGGCAGAAACATTATCTTTGATATTTTCAATTGTTATCCTCCACCCAATGAAGTTGGCGGGGGATATAGAAATTTTAGAATTTTTTACGTTTCAATGGCAACAAGATGGACTTAGGTTCTGTGAGGGTAGGGTTCGTTTCCGGAGCATAACTCAGAAACCGTTCAATATTTTTTCATCAAACTTTGCAGGTCTGTCAGGTACATGCTGAACTGGTGCCTTTTGCTATTGAGAGATTTTAGAAATGTTTATTATTTACGTTTCCATGGCATCAAGATGGACTTAGGTTCCAAACTCATCTTTTTTTACAATTTCCATGACAAGTTCCACCTCGGTTAAAAAAGGTTAGAGTTTGTTTAGATTTAATTATGTCAACAGGGGTGGGGGATATAGCCACGTTAGTGGCAAACTCTTGTTTTATGCACTTTCAATCATTTGAGCATCCATGCCCTATTCAAAATCACGAATACCCCAGGCTCAATGGGAAGTGTGCGGCATTAAACAACAAACAAAAACTATTTTTATGTGAAACATCAGACATCAAAGTCACCTCCTTGCATCCTCGTGGGTTAGAAATCCCAGGTTTGCCATAATTATGTTTCTTGGTTTGTCAGCACCAAGCCCATGAGACCGCCTCCGAGGTCTAGTGGTAGAGCGTCCGCCCGGAGAGCGGAAGGTCCGGGGTTCGATCCCAGGCCGCATCATACCAAAAGATGTTAAAAGATGGTACTTGTTGTTACCCTGTCTGGCGCTTGGCATTAAGGGGATAAAATAAGGACTGGTCGGCTCGGAGTCAGGATACTGTGTCTGAGTGGGGTATTCATGTTAAACTGCGGCATGGTATCTCAGTGAGCTAGCACTATAAATCGGCATCAGTTCGGACTAGTACAAGCAGCCACACACATGTGCATGCACGTCGCTTTATAAGTGCAATAATCTTGGACGCGACGTTAAACCCCATTTCACCTCACCTCACCAAGCCCATGCTCATGGGTTTCATGCATCACGTTCCTCCCACATGAGTCTAGTGGGAGAGCGGAAGGTCCAGGGTTCAATCCCCGGCTAAGTCATACTAAATGACGTTAAAAGATGGTACTTGTTATCCTGCCTGGTGCTCGGCATTAAGGGGCTAAAACAAGGACTGGTTGGCTCAGAGTCGGTATACTGTGTCTGAGTGGGGTATTCATGTTATACTGTGGCATGGTATCTCCGTGGACTAGCACTATAAATCGGCATTAGTCCTGACTAGTACAAGCAGACACACACACTAGCATGCACATCACTCCATAAGTGGTATCATCTTTCACGCAACGTTAAACCCAATTTCACCTCCTCCCACATGAGGCTGACAGGCCATTAAATCCCGTACAAAACAGCAGTAAACTCACTCACTCCTTGCTACCTTGGGCAGCATGGGTGGCTGTAATGCACTGTGCAGATCATGTGTTCAAATCCCAGGAGCCCAGGTATGTTTCTAGATTGGTCAGCTCCAAACCCGTGCTGTCACCAAAATGGTAATCGTCTGAGACCTACATGACTTAGAGCTTTCCTCCCCCATTAAACCGACATGCTGTGATAGAACTGGAATACTGTTTAAAGCGGCAGAAACCCCAGCTCACTCACTTTTGGCTCCTTCATTTTCCATGTTTCTGTTTCAGTCGGAGATGTAGAAGCAAGCACAAGGCCTACAAACCAGATGTCAGTCAAGCCCTGAGGAAGATTAAGGTGTGTGTGCTTGGTTTGAAGGTGGCCTAATGGTTTTAGGTGCTGCATTTCTCCGTGCAGAGTTTATCCCTGTGCCCTTAAAAGCTGCTTTTGTTCAGGTTCACCCCTCTTATTATCTTGTGGGGCGGTGGGGTAGCCTAGTGGTTAAAGTGTTAGCTCGTCACGCAAAAGACCCGGGTTCGATTCCCAACATGGATACAATGTGTGAAGCCCATTTCCGGTGTCCCCTGTCGTGATATTGCTGGAATATTGCTAAAAGCGGCGTATCTTGTGTTTCTCAGCATTGTTCATGGGCTGTCCCAAAGTTATAAATATCCTTGAAATGTGCCAGTTTATTCTTTCCTCACAGTGGTTGTCTTTCCTCCCTCCCTCCCTCCCTCACTCATTCTTGGGTACAGTGCTTTTATATAACTTCATCCCAATGTTCTTGAGGATGTCGTCTAAGGTGCCGCGATTCGCTGTGCAGAGTTGCGTCCCTTGGGCACGCCAGAAACCTATGATTGTGGGTTCGAATCCCGGTTTGCCCCGATTATGTTTCTAGGTTTGTCAGCACCATACCTGTGCTCGTGGGTTTCACCAAAGTGGTAAACGTTTGAGACCTGCATCACTTCAGGCTTTCCTCCCACATTAAGCTGACACGCCGTGATATGACTGGAATACTGTTAAAAGCGGCGTTAAACCCAACTCACTCACTCATTCTTGAGGATGTGAATTAGTACTGTACAAATAGGCAACATATGGTGTTTATCGTGTTCCAGGCCAGTGGTATTGTCCCCAAGACTGGAGAGCACCTGCGGGGCAGTGATGTGACCCTGGACTGGGAAACTATGCCTTCTGCTGTACACCCTAAAGAAGGTTGGTGCTGTTTAATTTGAATTGAAAGGAAGTTATAAAATTCAGTGACACTTTATCCAACATTGTCAGGTGCATTAGAAGATTTGGAACCTTAAGGGAACACAGGACTGTAATCACCTGACCATTGCCACGAAGGTATTCTGGGTTAGAACAGGACCCCAACCTATACTTGTAATACAAGTTGACCTTGGGATTGTGTGGTTAGTCTCGGTGAATTTCTTTATTGCAAGTCATCACACACAATTTGGTTAGTTGCTCCTAATCACAGGTCATAAAGCTGGAATATTGCCGAGTATGTTGTTAAACAACACAAACATCACCAGAATCGTCACCTGCTGAACAATAACATTTTTAAACTAATGTTTTACTTCAGTCCATGACTTGACTTTTGGATAAAAGAAAGAATGAAATGCTGCACAAATTCTTTTTTTTTCATAAATTTTTCCATTTTAAAATATTTTGGTTATAATAAATTCATGTGATATTCAAGAGTGTCGCTGAAGCTTGGTTTCTTCACTTCAAAGGGCGGTGGGGTAGCCTAGTGGTTAAAGCGTTCACTCGTCACGCCGAAGACCCAGGTTTGATTCCCGCATGGGTACAATGTGTGAAGCCCATTTCTGGTGTCCCTCACCATGATATTGCTGGAATATTGCTAGCAGCAGCGTAAGACCATACTCACTCACTCTTCACTTCAACAATGGATGCTGTGGTGTTTCAGGTCAAGTTCCTGCCAAGAGGACAGACAGAAAGTGCCAGCAGCTGGAGAACTTGGTGACATCCGTAACGGCGATGGCCCGGACTGGTGATGTTATTGTAGACTTCTGTAGTGGAGGGGTATGTTCAACATGACTGGTGATGTTATTGTAGACTTCTGTAGTGGAGGGGTATGTTCAACATGACTGGCGATGTTATTGTAGGCTTCTGTAGTGGAGGGGTATGTTCAACATGACTGGCGATGTTATTGTAGACTTCTGTAGTGGAGGGGTATCTTCAACATGACTGGCGATGTTATTGTAGACTTCTGTAGTGGACGGGTATGTTCAACATGACTGGCGATGTTATTGTAGGCTTCTGTAGTGGAGGGGTATGTTCAACATGACTGGCGATGTTATTGTAGACTTCTGTAGTGGAGGGGTATCTTCAACATGACTGGCGATGTTATTGTAGACTTCTGTAGTGGAGGGGTATGTTCAACATGGCTGGCGATGTTATTGTAGACTTCTGTAGTGGAGGGGTATCTTCAACATGGCTGGCGATGTTATTGTAGGCTTCTGTAGTGGAGGGATAGTTCAACATGACTGGCAATGTTATTGTAGACTTCTGTAGTCGAGGGGTATGTTCAACATGGCTGGCGATGTAATTGTAGACTTCTGTAGTGGAGGGGTATGTTCAACATGGCTGGCGATGTTATTGTAGACTTCTGTAGTGGAGGGGTACGTTCAACATGGCTGGCGGTGTTATTGTAGACTTCTGTAGTGGAGGGGTATCTTCAACATGACTGGTGATGTTATTGTAGACTTCTGTAGTGAAGGGGTATGTTCAACTTGACTGGTGATGTTATTGTAGACTTCTGTAGTGAAGGGATAGTTCAACATGACTGGTGATGTTATTGTAGACTTCTGTAGTGAAGGGGTATGTTCAACTTGACTGGTGATGTTATTGTAGACTTCTGTAGTGAAGGGGTATGTTCAACTTGACTGGTGATGTTATTGTAGACTTCTGTAGTGAAGGGATAGTTCAACATGACTGGTGATGTTATTGTAGACTTCTGTAGTGGAGGGGTATGTTCAACATGGCTGGCGATGTTATTGTAGACTTCTGTAGTGAAGGGATAGTTCAACATGGCTGGCGATGTTATTGTAGACATCTGTAGTAAAGGGATGACTCAACATGACTGGCAATGTTTTTGTAGAAGCGGGGTTAAACCTAACTCACTCACTCACTCACAATGCTCCACTGGATGTAATCTCATAATATTTGATGTTATTTCAGGGTCATCTAGGCCTAGCTGTGGCGTATCTCCTACCTGAGTGCAAGGTAGGCACAAATCATCCCCTTGTCTCCCAAGGAGATAACAATTGTGAGCGAAATGGAATGATGTCTAAGAAATGCTATTCATGAAATAGCAAAATAGCAAACTTTCTTGATGTTGTGACTGTATGCTAACCGACCTAACTGGAAATATGTGGAAATTTGCAATGCTGACTTGCATGAAAATTAGGGAATACAATGGGTTACCTCCCTTACTCCAGGTGTCAGTGCCTGGAGGTTACCGCAACTAAATGTTTTCCCATAGACTTCTACTGTAACGTTACATTTCTTTTTAAAATAGCTAAGCATTCAACAAGAATTACATGTATGTGTGTGCACAGTTTGACCTTAGAGCAGCAACAATAACAAAAAAATAACTGCCTTAGCCAGCTCCTTTTCCAAATACAGGAAGCTAAACACACAACCCCAAGTTCTGCACCAAATATTACTTGCTTGAAATATCTGTGGTCACATTCAGCATAAGTCATGTTGAAAAAGACAGCACTAAATACAGAAAAACTTGGTCAGTTTTATTTACTAGGTGGATGTACATTTCAATAACATTAAAATCTTACACAAAACCATCCAATCACAGCTGCCAGATGATTCAGTCTGCACTGAAGGTTTGAAAACTGCTTGTTGAACCACTGATTCTGATTTAGTGTAGTAGAACCTAGAGATGTCCAGACTCTGCTCTATTTATGATCCTTTGCAGGATGCAGTTCTAAATAGAAGTTTACTCTTGTATGTTTTCAATTATCAGGTATATTTGATTGAAAACAAGGAAGAATCTTTGATGAAAGCCATAAACAGAATAGATGCTCTGAAACTGAAGAACGTAATTATGTATCAGGTATGTATTAGCCAGATACTGTCATCAATTCAAGTGTGAAAAATGTGTCTTTTCCAAATTTGTTTATTTGATGAAATTTTACACTGCATGGCGATATTACTAGGAGTCTGTTTACTGTGTCTGAGGGGGTATTCATTTTAAAACTACCCAGTGCGCTAACTCTAAAAAACTGGCATACGTCCGGACTAGCACAAGCACACTGCATGCACGTCGCTGTATAAATGTAATAATCTTGAATGCAACATTTAAACCCTATTTCACCTCACCTCACCTTGAAGAAATTATTGTTCTCTGGTGGGGTTCCAGGCTAGAATAAATCCCGGGCAAGGTGACTAAATGGATTAGTCATAAAGGTCTTTGTGTCATCATGCCCTGATAGCATAGTTTGTTATTAATGATAAGTCACTGGTTTGTCAGCGACTATGCTTGTCGTAAGAGGCGACTATCGGGATCGGGTGGTCAGGCTCCCTGACTTGGTTGATGCATGTAATCAATCCCAATTGCGTGGACCAATGCTCATGATATCAATCACTGGATTGTCTGGTCCAGACTCGATTATTTACCGACCGCAGTCATATAGTGGGCATATTGCTGAGTGCGGCGTTAAACAACAAACAAACCACTAGTTTGTCTGGTCCAGGCTTGATTATTTCCAGGCTTACATCATATAGCTGGAATGTTGCTGAGTATGGCATTCAACAGCATTGAAAGGAATGTGTTGTAGGTTGTCTGCACATAGCATCTCTTCAGATTCAATTCAATAAGCATGTCAAGTGAACAATAACCTGTGAAAACGATGCTTCTAGTTCAGTGGGCATGAGAAATGTTGGGCAGGAGGTAGGGCTGGGACGGGTAACTCGGGTACCCGGGTCGGGTGGGTACTGAGTAGGACCAGGGTACCCACGGGACTACCCGGACCTGTGGGTAGTCACATGATATATTGTTTCATGACTAAAATTATCTAGAACTCTATGGTTACACTACAAGTCACTAATGTTCGCATTTCTTTCTGACTATGCACCCATTCCTTCTGATTTTTCATATGGTTTAAATAAAGATTCAACTTCAATGTATGAATGGCCAGATTGTTTAATATGTGTATCTAAATACGTTTTGCCAGGGCTATGCTACAAATGTTCCTAATCTCCTGGGAAACGTTGGGCTAGAGGACCCTCAGCACTCAGAAATGGAGATGCAATGTGTGATGTCCAACTTGTCCACCATCTTTTGAATCAGTATAATATACAGTAAACTACTGTTATAGCGAACTTAAAGGGACCAATAAATTTAGTTTGTAATAACCGTAGTTCGTTATGAGCACATATACAGCATAATTCACAGCAAATGGACGGGGCCAAAAAAACCAGTTCATTATATCCGTCAGTTTGTTATAAGCCTGTTCGTTATATACTTAGTTTACTGTAGTCACATAGTAACAGAGCTCTGAGCACTACGAATGTCATCATTACCATACTAAGATCGCTGTTTGGAACAAGGCTGTGATCCCTTTGCAATCTGAAGCACTTCATATGAAGTATGTCAGAGATTTCTTGAGGTATTTTTAGTGAGGTTGATTAAAAACTGACTTTGATCAAACCATTTCTAAATATGAGATATTTGAAGTCTGCAGAAATCTTTCTTTACATTGAGGTCTTTGATTTTCATCAACATTTTCAATTTCAGTGCAACCTTGACTACTTCCATGGGAAGTTTGACATTGGTGTGTGTCTCCATGCTTGTGGATCTGCAACTGACATGGTCCTACAGCAGTGCCTCAACAACAGCGCAGCCTTTGTTATCTGCCCTTGTTGCTATGGTGGCATTCAGAAGACACACCTCCTGACATATCCCAGAAGCCAATGCTTTCTGGATGCTGATATCACCTACAAGGTTAGTGTGTACACTGTTAACAATATTCAGGGCAGACCACTTGGCCATGTTGCCACGGTCAGTCTACTTCTAGAGTGTTACAGGTTTGATAGATATGTTGGATCATATGCTTTCGGACATCATATGTTTTTGGACGGCCATGTTTATCATGAGTTCTCCAGCTATAACACAGACATTGTAAATACTCAGATGATGGCTTGATTTTAAGGTCAAGTTGTCTTTTATAAGTGAATGAGATGTTTTACGTTTGTTCTTGTGATTAACGAGAAAACTAAAAATGTTTCTTAAGTGTCTGGACCGCCTCCGTGGTCTGGTGGTAGAGCGTCCGCCCGGAGAGCAGAAGGTCCGGGGTTCGATCCCCGGCCGCGTCATACCAAAAGACGTTAAAAGATGGTACTTGTTGTTACCCTGTCTGGCGCTCGGCATTAAGGGGCTAAAACAAGGATTGTTCGGCTCGGAGTCAGTATACTGTGTCTGAGTGGGGTATTCATGTTAAACTGCGACATGGTATCTCAGTGAGCTAGCACTATAAATCGGCATCAGTCCGGACTAGAACAAGCAGCCACACAAACGCACACACGTACATGCATGTCGCTATATAAGTGCAATAATCTTGGACGCGACGTTAAACCCCATTTCACCTCACCTCAGCTTAAGTGTCTGAAAATCCATAACACGGGGGACATATCAAGATATTGTATGACTATGGAGACTGTACTGAGGAACATTGAAAATGTTTGAAGCTGTCCCTAACTCATGCCAGAATGTTGTGATATAAAATAGTTCACTGTATTAGGAAACTAGAGTGCAGTACCAGTGTTCGAAATACCTGCCTGCCCGACTGTCTGAGACGGGTTGATTACAACTCGGGCTGCCAGATTTTCAAATCCCCCTGCCCGACGGTCGGGTTATATTTCATATGTGAAAATATTCAAAATATTTCCCAATGATAAGCATTAATTCACATGTAAAGATGAATGATAAAATGTAACCAAAAAGAAACCCCGTTAGCTTATCCTGAGAAACATATGATTATAGTGGGCAGGCAGGTTTTGGTCAGGGCTGGCAAGTATATCAGCTACCTCATACCCTGGCAGTACCCTTCCGGTTGTTTCAATGCTGATGTGTTGCCCTTAAGTTTGTCCCTGCACCTTGACCTCCTCAGTAATGTAATAACATCTGCAAACTCAGTGGTGGATTTAGGTTGGTGGGGTCATTGGGCTTTTGGTTAGAATAGGTCTGGTTGTTGTTTAACACCAGGGGCGGTGGGGTAGCCTAGTGGTTAAAGCATTCGCTTGTCACGCCAAAGATCCTGGTTCGATTCCCGACATGGGTACAATGTGTGAAGCCCATTTCTGGTGTCCCCGCCGTGATATTGCTGGAATATTGCTTAAAGCGGCGTAAAACCATACTCACTCACTCACTCACTGTAATTAACACCACACTCAGCAATATTCAAGCTATATGACGGCGGTCTGAAAAATAATCGAGTCTGAACCAGACAATCCTGTGATTGACACCATGAGCACTGATCCACGCAATTGGGATATGATGACATGCATCAACCGAGTCAGCGAATCTGACCACCCGATCCCATTTGTCGCCTCTTACACTTTATGCTGGTCACAAGAGACTAAATGGATCGAGTGGTCTGGCTCTGTGACTTGTTTGATTCCGTGTCATCACAACCCCCCTAGCATTGATAGTTGCTCACAATATCAATCACTAGATTGTCTGGTCATGATTGATTATATATTGGCTGTTATGTAGCTGGAATATTGCTGAGTATGGCATTAAACAACAAACAAACATTGGCAAATTTCTAAGTTGCATTCTTCATTTCCAGGATTTCCTTACCCTCGGCCATGCAGCGGATCAGACAGAGTTTAAAATTGCTCTAGAGGAACAAGGTGAGGCACTTGTAGGGCACCTGTAGGGCACCTGTGAAGATCTGGGGTTGAATAGGTCTTCAGCAAACCATGCTGGTCGTAAAAGGCGACTATGCTTGTCGTAAGAGGCGACTAACAGGATTGGGTGGTCAGGCTCGCTGACTTGATTGATGCATGTCATTGTATCCCAATTGCGTAGATTGATGCACATGATGTCAATCACTGGATTGTCTGGTCCAGACTCAGTTATTTACAGACTGCCGTCATATAGCAGGAATTTTGCTGAGTACGGCGTTAAACAAGAAATAAACAAACAAACAAACAAACACTTGTAGGGCTAGCTTCACTGGATTCATGTCATGAAAGTCTTGTCTAATATATACTATTAAAAATAATGAGAGTCTATTTTACATTGATGTATTAATGATGTTTGCCCTGTGGTGATTCCTGGTTACAACAGGCCTCCAGCAACCTCTGCTTGATAGAGTGGTCAGACTTGATTGTGTGTCCTCTTACCCCAGCAGTGTGGATCAATGTTCATAATATCTGGTCCCTACTCACTTATTTACTGGTTTTCTTTGTTGTTTAACATGACGCACATCAACCAACCTACCTTTTTCCTAACTAGAACAGACCCGTGAAGATCCGGTGTAGGATAGGTCTTCAGCAACCCATGCTTGCCATAAAAGGCGACTATGTTTGTCGTAAAAGGCGACTAACGCGTTCGGGTGGTCAGGTACGCTGACTTGATTGATGCATGTCACTGATCCCAATTGTTTGGATCGATGTTGGTGATGTAAATCACTGGATTGTCTGGTCCAGACTCGATTATTTACAGACCGCCGTCATATAGCTGGAATATTGCTGAGTGCGGCGTAAAACAACAAACCAAAATGAAACCAAAAACCTAACTAGAACAAAAATATTAAAAATACAATAATCACAATAAAAGTAAGACAACACAAAGCAGTTGAACAAAAACAAACAAGAAGCATATATTTGTTTGTTTGTTTGTTGTTTAACACTACACTGGGCAATGTTCCAAGTATATGACAGCGGTCTGTAGTAATTGAGTCAGGACCAGACAATCCAAAGATCGATATTATGAGCAATGACATTGCACACCATTAACCAAGTCACCGAACCTGACCACCCAATTGATTAAGTTCGCTCTTATGACCAGCATAGGTTGCTAGGGACCAGTTTTATCCCAGAAACCCTTTGCAGCATTAAAAAAACAAATACCGTATTTGACGTAATAAGCGCCCCGCTCTAATAAGCGCCCACGGCGGTATTTGCTAATATATTGGCTCGTGAACAATCCAAATTAGCACCCTTTCCGATTGATCAATGTACACAATACTTATTTATTCGCGTATAATACGCACTCGTGTGTTATATGCACCTTTAAGTATGGGCAATTAAATTCTGGAAAAATATATCTGTTTATAATGTTTATGACCAGACAGAACTAACTACTGTTATTTGCTATGCTATGCTATGCTATGCTATGCTATGCTATGCTATGCTATGCTATGCTATGCTATGCTATGCTACAGAAAGGGAAAGGTAAGAGTTTTTCTGAACATCAAATGAGTGATTGTTGATATCGATGTTGTTCCTTGCAGGACGGTACTGCAGCAATCTGGTGGACACTGATCGGGCTGAGCTGGCCAGGGAACAAGGATATTCAGTCATTCTGTGCTCACTCCAGCCCCTAACATGTACACCTAAAAACAACCTACTTTTGGGTACTCCCAACCACAGGAGCTTTGCGGTGTCCTGATAGCTGGACAGATTCATTGTCCAATCAAATTCTTTTATGATGAGATCTCACAGTATTAATCTTATACAGTCTTGAAATACCCATTTTATTTTTTAAACTCACCACATCCTTGATTTTAGTAACCGTGATTGTGATCACTCACAAACTCTGTTACCAGCGAGATGGCTTGCTCAGGAAGCATGACATCTTCCCAAGGCGAGGGCATTAACTGACTAAAAAGTCCAGTTTCCACCCTGGCCGAGCTACACTTGAACTTCTAGGCTCATTCGTAGCGCCAGCAATGGCTGTTACGAGTTATGTCCCTCCTATTGACCAATCAGATTCCATCTCTTATATTACTTGCATTTGCTTCAAACAAAATGGCGTCACCCAGTCAAGACGATCTGATCAATAATCAAGATCTATATTGTAATAAAACGGGTCATACCCCTGCGAAGTGTGTCAAATCACTTGAGCACCTAGATAAAAAAAATGGTTTGCAAATCCCGAGTCGACCGAAATCTGCATGTTGAAATCCAAGTTGTTTACGAACAGGATGTCTAGTGCGTTACACGATTTTAATTGGACTATGCATAGACTCATTAGACCAGCCAAGATGCAATTCCGGAATACCAGCATAGTTGAGCATGGGTGGAAACTGGACTTTTATAGTCAGTTAACACCCTTGCCTGGAAGCGTGAATCCTAATCCTAGATGGCTTCCTGCTTTAAAAAATAGTTTATTGTGATTTTAGCACTGATACTTTACATCACTGGTGTGAGTACCATAGGTATTCATACTGATTATTATTTTACATTTTAAACATTTTTATAAAACAGGTCCAAACCTAATTTTATCGTTATAAAAAATGGTAATTACCGGTAAACGGGAACACTGTCTACGCAACATGCGTCATCATTCCCCAAGGTAATGGGTCATTTGTCCCACAGGTATAAAATCAGTCTGAAGCTGTGTGTTTTCCCCGCCAGAAATCTGTGATTGTGGGTTCGAATCTCGGTACACCCTCATGTTTTTATCGATGTTCATTAATTTGTATTGATACAGCATCAACAATAAAGCATTTACCCCCAATACATCAATATTGCAATATATGATGACATCACTGTTCTGTGGCAAGGTGTACAAGTTATGTCCTACTGGTGAGGCATGGGTGGCCCAGTTTAAGGAGGCTGTGTAGGGTTCCATCCCTTGGGAATGCCAGGAACTTGTGATTGTGGGTTTGAATCCCATTTCACCCTTTATGTTTCTAGGTTTGTCAGCATCATACCCGTAGTCATGGTTTCACAACATAAATGTCTGCGACCTGCATCACTTAGGGCTTTCATCCCACATTTAGCTGACATATTACTAAATACTGTTCAAAGCAGCGTTAAACCAAACTCACAAACTAATTCACTTACTCACTCGACCCATGAAGATCCGGGGTGGAATAGGTCTTCAGCAACCCATGCCTGCAGTAAAGGCGACTATGCTGTCGTAAGAGGCGACTAACGGGATCGGCTGGTCAGGCTCGCTGACTTAGTTGATGCATGTCATAGTATCCCCATTGCGTGGATGCATGCTCATATCACTGGATTGTCTGGTCCAGTCTCGATTATTTACAGACCGCCATCATATAGCTGAAATATTGCTGAGTGTGGCATTGAACAACAAACAAGCACTCACTAACTGTGTCAAATAAGAGAGACCTTTTTGATGCTGTATCATTATGGTAGGGAACAATACCAAGCTTGACAGTTTTCAGTTTTCACAGGCTCGCTGACTTGGTTGATGCATGTCATCGATCCCAATTGCGTGGATCAATGCTCATGATGTCAGTCACTGGATTGTCTGGTCCAGACTCAATTATTTACAGACCGCCGTCATATAGCTGGAATATTGCTGAGTGTGGCGTTAAACAACAAACAATCAAAACAAAATCAGTTTTCATGTATACATGTTTTTCCACCTTCCTATATGTGAACCTTTATGTGATAAATGTGTGTGATGTTATCTGTTACCAAAGAAAATAAATAATATTTTCACAAGAGTTTTGGAATATTGTTTACTTCATTCAACACTTCAGTTAAGGTAGTCAGCTCAGGTGCCATAGGGGCGGTCGGGTAGCCTAGTGGTTAAAGCGTTCGCTCGTCACGCCGAAGACCCGGGTTCGATTCCCGACATGGGTACAATGTGTGAAGCCCATTTCTGGTGTCCCCCGCGGTGATATTGCTGAAATATTGCTAAAAGCGGCGTAAAACCATACTCACTCACTCACTCACTCAGGTGCCATAATTTGTTGTGCTGAGTTACATCCTTGGAGGATGGTCGGATATCGGATGGTCAGGCTTGATGACTTGGTCGATGCATGTCATCATATCCCAATTGCCTAGATCGGTGCTCATTATGTCAATCACAGGATTGTCTGTTTCAGAGGTGAATATTTACACAGAACTCGGTCATATAGCTGGAATACTGCTCAGTGCTGCGTTAAAATAACAACCAAACAAATATCCTTAGACATGCCAGAAACCTAGCATGGGTTCGAACCCATATTCCTCCTGATTATGTATCTAGGTCTGTCAGCACCATACCCTTCGCGGGTTTCACCATAGTGGTAAATGTCTTAGGCATGCATCACTTCAGGCTTTCCTCCCACATTAAGCGGACATGCCATGATATAACTGGAATACTATTCAAAGTATCATGTAATCTAACTCCACCAGTCATACATCCAATGGCCGAAGGGAATCTTTTGAAGAATAAGTAAGGAATCTAACTGATACTGAAGAGAGTAGTATCATATGGGTTGGTTGCATGATGAGATGCAATCTATCAGCTTTGCATGTCACAGATTTGCCATGAATAAGGTCCTTTATACTGTGTCAGCATCCAACTTCCGGTTGACATCCCCAACATGCTAAACCTCTATGACCTCTCTGCTTTGGGATTTCCTCCCACAAGCTGATACACCATGATAAATATATTACAGAAATGCTGCTCAAAGCCGTTTTGCCCAACTCCCCCTCTTCAGAAACACACAGAACTCTATCATTTTCTTCCAAATCCTCGTGTCATGGACTTAAACACGTGTTTGTGCATTTTAGAGCCGATAAAAGCTTGGATTCCATATGTACAGTCTTATTGGGGCAAACTTACGCCTAATGGGGCTTGCGTGAAGCCCATTCCTGGGGTCAACCGCCGTGATATTGCTGGACTATTGCTAAAAGCGGCATCAAACCAAACTCACTCACTCAAAAGCCATATTCCGGCAATATCACTGCGGGGGACACCAGAAATGGGCTTCATACATTGTATAACCATATCGTGAATCGAACCCGGGCCCTCGGCGTGACGAGCGAACAGTTTAACCAGTAGGCTACCCAACCGCCCCTTTAAAGTGTAAACTGTAATGTTTCAGATTATTTTCATGTTTTAATTCCTTCAACAAACGAAACGTATGCTGATTATAATCTACTAAAAGCACTTAATCTTCAAGATTTGGAACGACTCTGCAAAGTACCTTCATTTATGGTAGCAACTATCTGTGATGTATATATAAACTGGTAGCAACTATCTGTGATGTATATATAAACTGGTAGCAACTATCTGTGATGTATATATAAACTGGTAGCAACTATATGTGATGTATATATAAACTGGTAGCAACTATATGTTATGTATAATCTGGTAGCAACTATATGTGATGTATATATAACCTGGTAGCAACTATATGTTATGTATAATCTGGTAGCAACTATATGTGATGTATATAAAAACTGTATACTCGTATGTACATTTACACGTTGCGTTGTGACTAAGTCGTTCAGTCATATATATCATGTCTACCTGGACGTTGGGCTTGTATACACACGCATAAATATATTTATTTGACATGAATATTTGAACACATGTAAATGTTTGCTTGTTTGTTGTGTAACGCCGCAGTCGACAATATTCCATATATATCGCGCCAACATGTACATATAGGAGTTTGGGCCAGACGAACCACTGACTGATGTTATGCTCAACGCCCCACGTGGGGGTACATCAAGGCAATCAACCAAGTCGCTGACCCACACCTAGAGATTCACTTAGTCGTCTCTTACCGCAAACATTGAGTTGTGGGGACCTATTCTTACCATAATCCCCACGGCGGACACATGTAAATTTGTGCGTGAAATCAGCTATTAATTCATACGCATATGCCCTTGAACACCGTTGTCTCGAACTCCAGGGTACCAGAGAATTGGTTCGACGAATTCGGGCTTCGACGCATCCGACACTCGACACATTTATTCTGATTGAATTAAGTTCATGTGTATATCCTCGCCATCTCGCGACTCCACAGTTGGTCTTCAGCAACCCATGTTTGTCGTAAGAGGCGACTCATATAAGGGGATCGGGTGGTCGGGCTCACTGACTTTGAGGAATTACGTCATCGAAGCTAGTGATGTCAATCTCTTGTTTATTATTATCACCGCCGTCATAGAGCTTGAATATTGCTGAGTGCGGCATTACACAACAAACAAACAAACCTAGCGAGCAAGGGCGTCTAACTCGGACTATAGTTATCCCCAGGTCAAGCCATGTTTCTGTCCGTACCGATGAACATGAACATAGTAATAATATAAGTTTTAACAATTTTCTATTTTGATAATACATCCCGATTTGTTTGAGTCTGCAGTAGGCAATAAACCAACCGCGTCATGTCGGGGGACATAATAAATGTTTACATGGTGTACCCTCATCAGGAATCGAACCCGTTGTTTGTGTGGCAAGCAAACGCTAAAACTACAATACCACATCAGTACCCATGTGGTAGATCCGGGGTAGAAAAGGTCTCTTTCGCAACCCATGCTTGTCGTAAAAGGCGACTAACGTGATCGGGTGGTCAGGCTCGCTGACTTGGTTGATGCATGTCATCGATCCCAATTGCGTGGATCGATGCCCATGATGTAAATCACTGGATTGTCTGGTCCAGACTCGATTATTTACAGACCGCCGCCATATAGCTGGAATATTGCTGAGTGCGGCGTTAAACAACAAACAAACAAACAAGACCACATCAGTACCCATGTGGTAGATCAACTCACCGTGTTCACGCCTGCAACTGTCCCGCCACAGACGCTTCTTGAATAATATCCCAATACAATCCGCAGATTGTTTGCCCTGAATACACGAACGTGACGTTACGTTTGTTGTTGCCACGTGGATTGTGTGCATATCCTATCAATTAAGTTCACATCTAAAACAACGCTTAACGGAAAATGTTGCAAAAAGTATGCCCCCGTGCAAGCTGCACTATAGAAGTATGGTTTTTTTTGTAAAATATCCAAATGACATTGTAAGTAGCCAGATTTTAACACATTACAGTGATCGATTGAAGTTAAACGCCGCTTTTAGCAATATTTCATTAATATCACGGAGGGACAGAAGGAGTATTCTTCACGCATTGTACCGATATGGGGAATCGAACGAGCGTATGCTTTAACCACTAGACTACCTGACTGTCCCTCAACTTAGCAGAACTTATAACATATCCGCCTCATGTACCTTAGTAGACTAAATCGGTTTTAGATTTTCCAGCTAATTGTCACCGCGACCTAAAAGTAAACGAGTCTGGGACAGACAAACCAAACATAAGCAGAGTTACAAGCCGATTAAGGGGACACGGGTGGCCCAGTTGACTAAGACGCAATTCGCTGTGCAGAGTTGCGTCCCTTGGGCGCTCAAGAAGCCTGTGATTGTGGATTCGAATCCCGGCTAGCCCCGATTCTGTTTCTAGGTTTGTCCAATGCATTTTGTTGACATGCCCTACTGCTGTGTTGTTACAGTAACAGCTGACTGGCAAGTGCTAGTGTGACTGTTACAACGGTGTCGTTATATAGGTACGGGCCTGTGTGATCAAGCTGTCGTTATAGAGGTACGGGCCTGTGTGATCAAACTGTCGTTATAGAGGTACGTGCCTGTGTGATCAAACTGTCGTTACAGAGGTACGGGCCTGTGTGATCAAACTGTCGTTATATACTTACGGGCCTTTGTGATCAAGCTGTCGTTATATAGGTACGGGCCTGTGTGATCAAGCTGTCGTTATAGAGGTACGGGCCTGTGTGATCAAGCTGTCGTTATAGAGGTACGGGCCTGAGTGATCAAACTGTCGTTATATAGGTACGGGCCTGTGTGATCAAGCTGTCGTTATAGAGGTACGGGCCTGTATGATCAAGCTGTCGTTATATAGGTACGGGCCTGTGTGATCAAACTGTCGTTATATACGTACGGGCCTGTATGATCAAGCTGTCGTTTTGTAGGCACGGGCTTTTGTGATCAAGCTGTCGTTATATAGGTACGGGCCTACGTGATCAAGCTGTCGTTATAGAGGTACGTGCATGTGTGATCAAGCTGTCGTTATATAGGTACGGGCCTACGTGATCAAGCTGTCGTTATAGAGGTACGTGCATGTGTGATCAAGCTGTCGTTATAGAGGTACGTGCGTGTGTGATCAAGCTGTCGTTAAAGAGGTGTGTGTCAGTGATCAAACTGTCGTTCAAGAAGTACGCGCCTGTACACTTACTTAGACAAAAAGTGAGCAGGGCTCACTTATACTCCCGATATTTCGACTCCAACATATATCTATTTCAACACCTCTCCTGATATAGAAACTTACTCCCAATTAGCAAAAAATCCATGAAGCAGTTTTCAAGTGATAGTTCGCACAAATGTTGACATAATAAAAACATTCAAAGTTCAAAACATGTAAAAATTTATACGTTTTCAGAATATCCACATATCAAAATCACACTTTGCACTGCGTCTCTTCTATTGGTATGGAAACTGTATACCTCCGCCCTTTTAGGTCGGGAGTATGATAATAATGTTACTACTATTCCAATACTGCTATTACAAATACGACTGCTTCTACTAATACTCCTACCACCGTTACGGCTAATACTACTGATCCTGCTACCGGTGTTATTTCTAATGCTAATGATTTACTCGTGAGAAATACTTCAAGCAGAACGTTTGTCTTTCTTCTTGGCTATGCTGTTAAGGGATCGGCTGTAATCGTGTGTTGAATAGACAAACCATTAGCAGCTCATTTAAATGATTTCTTTGTGCGCATCGACACTTGATCCTTAACATGGCCGCCAATGCCAATGCATGTACTGTACGTAGAATTTGCCCGCGCTGTTTTAAATATGTTCATCAAAAGTCTGTCGAAGATGAATTTAAATTTTTAATGTTGTGTCCTTTATATGATGATTTTAGATTATTTTACTTCGAGAATGTATTGTTTTAAACCCGTTATTTGAAAATATTACCGTTGATGACGCTTTCATTTATATTTTAAAATGTAAAGAAATTCTTCCTTTGTTAGCCAGTACACTTTTAAAGATGTTTAAACGTAAGCAATCATTTAGCTAGGCATTTAGCATTCAGTGTATGTAAATGTTATTGTCAATGTATTTTATAGTATATACTGCATATAACGTTTTATTGTGTCTCATAAGCCTAATGGCTGAGTGTTACTTTTTAATATGCCAAAGAACATGTAAATATCTCTCTTTTGTAACACGTGACACGTTAATAAAATAACTGCAGCGGCATGACAGTAATATTAGGGTCACACCAAATTAATTATAAGAAGTTTACTATCCGTCTTTTTCGGCTGTGGGACACCACTCGCCCATTTCTAGAATTGTCGGTGTATCGTGAGTGGTCCCAAAACCTCGATAGACCCTTCATTATCTGAGCATTTTGGTTCAGACGTCAGCAGCAAGGCGATCTCAGAAAAAACAATAAGAGTAATCTCCCTTCATATTTTCTTAGTTTTAAAAGCGCATGTAAAATCTCCGATCTTTCAGTCGCGTCAGCAATTCAGTAGAAACACTTTATGGTACCTTCGTCTAATCCTTTGTTGTTGTTTTTATACACATGACACTGGTATAAAATTTTCAATTTATGTCAACTGCAAAACAATACTTGTAGAAAGAGAACACACCATGTGTTCTTACTACTGGTTCAAATTGATGAAAAGAACACGCTCTCGTACGCTGGAGTCAACAATATTGGCTGGCTGTAAATAATCAAGTATGACACAGACAAGCCTTGGTTGATAGCATGAACAACAATGCACGCCGGCAGAACACAACAATGACACATAACTCACCAGGCAACACATTTTGACTTAACATGGTACATGTGACATTAGTTGACTTAATATTAGCATGGGGTGTATATAGTGAGGACCTGTTCTGAGGTATTTCAGGTGGAACAGACTTGAATATTATACATGGAACATGAGTCGTGGTAAATATGGACTCAAATATTTCACCCTGTGTGTATTCCGGGTCAGAATACGTCTCTAGCGATCCATACTTGCCGTAAGCGGAGAATGAAATCGGACGATGCTTATGATGTCAATCACTCGATCAGATGGACTATTGCTGAGTGCGGTGTTAAACAACAGACAAACAAACACACAAAACTTTAAGTCACTGTTCTTGATCGGTTACCAGTGCGTCACATCAAATGACATCACTTATCTTTCTTCCACTGAGGCGATCGAAGCGCAACGACAGTCGTGAGCCTCGAAGTTGTAAATATTGATCGACTAGTGTCGATATATTTTATATAAAAAACACCCTGGTGAGATTTTCTATATATCTCCATGTTATTACTGTAAATGCCTGGGGCCCATTCGTCATTCGTTTCCGAAACGACGCCCTTTTTCCCATCTCTCCAATCACAAACTTACCACAAAATGTCTCTCGCTCATGAGAGACATTTCATTGGGCTTTATATTTAGCGTCATGCATTCCAATCGATGCTATGGTCGCGAATGATTCCAGGGTCCACTTGCACAAAGCGATCTTAGAGCTAAGATGATCTTAACTCCGTTACTTTAACATAGGCTTACGATAGTCTTAGCGCTAAGACCGTTTTGTGCAAGTGGGCCCAGGTGTATTATTCATAACATGATGGAGCTATAAAACACTGGATAATCGAGGATGCTGAGGACATTGTAACCATCCGATCCTCATTAAATCCTCACTTTCGACCTCTAGTTATCTTTCGATCAAAGGGTGACAATGAGTTTGATTGTGTCTTTATGATACCATTCTACAACCCGAACATATATAATAAAAAATAAAATGTATTAATAGTGAGTGTGTGAGTTAGCTGGGATTAACGACGCACTGAACAGTATTTCACACATTGTACCTATGGTGGGAATCGAAACCGGATCTTCGGCGTAACGAGCGAACGCTTCAACCACCAGGCTAACGCAAACGCCCCAATATGAAATAAAGGACCGATAAAACATCTTCTACTTTTGCAGAGAAACGGATTATATTTCATAATGATTCCGTTCATCGTCTGTTTTTCCATCTAACTACAATGTTTGAAACTCATACCTGGTATCATCCGTCTTCTCTTATATTGCAATATTCTTGAAAGCGGCGTAAAACCATACTCATTCACTACCTCAGGTATGTATTTGTCCTCACGGTTGTGTATTTATTTCTGGACTGTTCACTGTACAAACACGTTGGTGTCGTCCACGTATGAATGCAGTGCGTCACAACAACAAAAATCACTAGATTCTCATTATACTACATTAGTGTTCATAATTTATGTAAAGAGTAACGATTTGTGACCTATCGTCATACTCCCACAAATCTGACCCTCTAGAAAGTGGTCGGCTTTCATGTGTCGCTTGCTTTATGGCGACCATACAAGCCAGTATAAAGGATATTGTAATTACAAATGGCAGTACTCTGGGCAATCAATACTACACGTTTTGTGTACGCTTTTCACGTAATAATTACCGGTGATTCACCCATCCATGAAACTGTCTTGACAATTTATCTGAAAGAGTGAATGGAGTATTGGATAACTGAATTGTTCCCTTTATGTAGGAAGCTGAATAATAAAGTAAATAAAAATAATTAAATTATAAAAGACAGTTTCTACATCTCTTCATTATTGAAAATAGATCAAGGTTGTTGCACAAGCATGTGTAAAGTTTATTGTTAAATGTGTTTTCTTTAAAATTTACTACTCTTATTTACTTGCAGTAATAATAAATGGTTTGTCATTGTTGCAAATGTAAAATTAATCCCTTGTAAATTATTTTATGGCTACTTTCCTAAGCGGAAAGGGTTCTGTTTATTTACACTACAGTCAGCCCCTGTGCTGTGTGATAAACAAATCATTGACCCAGTTTGGATTACCCACAATGCTCCTCGACACTTGCGCACGCAGCTATTGTATGGAACCTGTTCAAAATAAGCACAGTGCTTACTACAACTAAGTGGACTTGTTGAAGGATATTTATAACATATAGGCTTTACGAATCGAATTCGGATGAAGAGCTGATACATAGTTTTTCACAGACGATGACAAGTGCGGTTCCCCCTGGAAAAAAAGCCGCACTATGCCGCTATTACTTAAACACGGGGTCATGTATTTATGGGGATGAGTGTCAATTTCTACATCAAGCCCCTCCAGGAATGCAAAATTCGTATTCGAACGGACCCAGTTCCTCAAATGGAGAACCAGGTAGGGTTATGATGAAATGGGGATGTTGTAGACGGAATGGTGGGTATTTCAGTATGTCCGATGTTGTCTGATCGTTGTCCATAAGGACATCGGACGGCATGGGGAAAACTCGGTCGGTGTTTTTTTCATCGTCTGGCCTTGATAGTTGATCCGAGCCTGGTGTCAATTAGAACCCCAAATCGAACATTTAAAATATGTTTAGGTCGGGATTAACATCTTAGATATCATATTAACGTGTAAAATTTTAATTTTAACGTTTCTAAATGTGTGTACAAATAGAAAGGAGAGGCTGAGTTAACAACATTGATCAAACAAGGGGAGGTAATTCGAGTGCCTCCGGGTTATTCAGTGTTGACATGCTTTATGATCGGAGTCATTCTACCCTACCAAGAAATCTGAATCATGTCTTCATAGTTGTGTGAGTAACCGGAGTACCAGTGTAAGTCATGCATACCAACTATGGTAAAGTGGTTTGTTCAGTGATAAAGGACATCTTTGACTTACTAAGCTGACATCAGAAATGATTTAATTATATTTAATCAATAAAAATGTAGGTCTCCATAAACAAATAGGTTTTTATGCTTCATGGAGGTTTGCTTATCAAGTTACTTTTATTGTAATAGTTTAATCTAGAAAGCTTCTTAGGATGGTAAGTGTAGTTCCTCCAACCATGAGTTGGTGACTGACTGATGTTGGATTTTACAAGTAAAACTAACCCAAGGACAATGGGCAATGTTGAAAGTGGCAATTTGAAAAGATGACACATGTAGAAGAAGATGTGCTCAATACAGTGGAAGAGTACTTTTAGTTTGCTATTTCAAAATAACAGAAGGGTGATGGAAAAGGTAATATTCTATATCTGTTGACAATTATTAATCAGAAAGACTTACCCCCTCCTAAAGTTATAGATGTATGCATTGTCACTCAATCCTAATAATTATATATATTTTGGAGGGGGGGATACAGGCAGTAGTCTTACCTAGTAATCTTCCTGGAAAAAAAGTTAAATGGGGACAATGCTTTCACAGTCTGGTGCTCATTTGGGAGCCTGGACTATAATTTCAGCTGTGTCATAGATTTAGATATGTCATTGCTATGTAGATAATCATCATAAAACTTGTATTGGCAGACATGCTAAGAAGGTGGTGTGTAATTTGAATCAAATTTTAGAGATTGTCAAGTTGCCTGTGGCAGGTCTCCAAACTGACAATGATATTGATAATGAAGAGATAAATATTAAATGATGCGCAGGGATAATCTTAAGGATGTGTCTGAGTAAAAGTACTTTAGGAAAAAACTTATAGAATGAACATAAAACTTTAGTATTGGTCCTTTCTACTACATCTACTATGTACAGTATACAAGAAATACAAATTTGATTTGAATTCTTTTTCTAAAGAGTAATTATGATTTAGTTGCCCCTACATTTCTGGAAATAACCCATTATTATTTTCAACTGGCACATGGTTTTGTAAAATTTACACTGTAACATGCTGTAAGTAGGAGAGTGGCCCATTTCTATGGTTGATTGATGTCCAGACCTAACATTATACCTGGATGGATGAATGACATTTGGTAACACTCTAACTGATCTATAATGTCCATGGTATTGACTGGTTCTAACTAACAGGGCAATACAAGAGTTGGTGTTGCAGACAAATATCTTTCTGAATAATCATCGTGGCTGAAACAGTTTTGAATTAAACATATTGAATAGGTAACGGTATTCTTGTTTGTACCTACACCTGCGGCAATACGTTTGAAATACAAATGTTTTTGACTTTGTAATACAAGGTAATGTAAAAAATATTTTATCATATAGCTTCAGACTCTCTGTCATGGAGGATGTAATAATTGAAGTTATTATTTTTGTATGTTGCGCACATGCACACACACTCATCTTTAACATTTATTTATCTGCATAATTAGGGTTAATATGGCGCAGACTCCATAACTTTATGAGTTTTCAAACACTGAAAATGGAACACAGACATTCATGTCAAAATCTTTTCTTTATTGGTACTAATCTTAGCTTCCTCAGAGTTACTCTATACAGAAAAAAATATTTAACTTTGTCTTGTGACCTCTTGGTATGGTTATGATGGTAAATAATACATGATTTATTGACAGTCACAGATATATGGTTTAGACAAACCAGGGGTTGATAGTAATCACTGTTTTACCAGATGCAAGCTATCCTATACACGTACAAATTAAGATTGGACACAAATTATTTAAACTGTGAGTGCTATGGGACACATAAAAAGCATGTGTGTTTGAATCCTTAACTTTGTCAATATTGTAGAATGCATCAGTGTTTCCGCTGGCTTTTGAAACTGCCAGTCCTTGTGGACTGGCAACTCTCAGAATTACCTGCCCCCCTCTCTTTTTTGCCAGTCCCAACTTTCAACAAATTAAAAAACGTATGAAAATTTTTTGGTTTTAATTCTTTCAACATCATGTTCAGTGCAAAGATGTCATGTCTGAAGTAACTTAGTTGGATCTATACACTCATTCACACAAACTTCAGTCACAAGTTTCTCTCTTTTGTTTTAATATTTCTAGACAAAGTTGCTACAAAGTTGGTAAAAAACTGCTAATTACCAGAAAGGGGGAATGCTGTGCATGTTACAGATAACCAACATTTCTATATGGGTAAAATACACTCAAAGTACAGGGTGTCACTTGTTCATTTTCTTCAATCTTAAACTCCCCATCTATAACAGGCTTAGGCTTCTAAACATGTGCAATGACATGCCATCAACAGTGTAGAAAGTGACACTCCACAGATCACCAGCCTGGTACCCCTAGATTCATGCCTTGGACCCCCAAAAGCAAATTGTTGAGAGTCCCTTGGATTCCAACATTGCCAGACCCAGGTCTAAAGACCCAGATCTCTGTGCAAAGATCCACACAGCTGAAGCACAATGACACACTATAAGCCAGCTGACACATGTGACCACCTCATCCCTACCTTTAGTCTAACAACAAGCGTAAGGATAACTTATAGGGTAATTTAACTTAAACCTTTTAGACTTTCATGCTCAACACATTTTAGGTTGAAGATGGCACATCCCAAAATTCCTTTGATTCTTGCATAACTAATTAAGTGATATATGACAAGTATTTGGATTAGAACTGTGAGAAACTGGCACCATTCTTATCATGCTTGTGGTTCTAACCATGCTCATAGTAGGTGCCGGCAGCCGACCTTCAGGCTAAGTGGAATCCATAGTCATAGGTGTTATGTCCGTAGGACTAGTTAAAATATATAACACTCTCATATGAATAATTATATATTGTGACATATGTTGTTCATCATAATGAATAGTTACTTAAAATGATTTAATTTCCACTGCTGTAGAACCATCAATATGATTTATGTTACATATGCATTAGTTTTTACTAAAGTAAACATATTTTGGGAATGGGCATTAGTCACTTAGTACTTATAAATTATGAATCATACACATTGACTTAGTGTGTGCAATCTTCCTTGTAATTTGCTGTTGCATGCTAAGCCTTTTTTGGTCCAGTCAGTTTCAATAACATAGTGTCTGAATAATTAGGTTTTACAAACAGAAGTGTTTTGAGTAACGTCCTTAAAGATCATACTAAAATTGGTTTGAAACATGTTAAAGAAGTGTTGATATTCAGCCAATTTCCTTTTTATGTCATAAATCCTAAATATTTTCCAGTGGTTCGTTGGTGATAATGACAGGATCTAAGAGACTTTGTCATGCATGATACAACTAATTCCTTGTCTGTTCCTGGATAAAATGATGTCAACAAAATGTTGCTGATTGTATTATCAAGTTAGATTACAGTGTACAAGACACGCTTCAGTGGTGTTTGCAAGTTAGGCCTGACAACATCTGTATATGTGTATTTGGTAAAACCATGTGGTATTGATCCATCATTTTTTGTGTGTAGCATGTTGGTAATTTTGACCTTCACAAACATAATAAGTATTGACAGTAGGCTATTCTTGCGACATGCCTGAGATCTGTTGTGATGTGGTAGACCACAGCAGTGTAATGTACATAAGGCAGGTGTGATTATCATTAAGAGATGAAGAGAAGTTCTAACACTTGTAAAGTCAAAATATTTCATGAGACCAGTCAACATTGTCAGGCCTGATGAAATAAATATCAGAAATCTTTTCAACATGTCAAACTGGGGGAAAATGTTCAACATGTTCAACAGTGATTCTATTACCTGATTACAAAATCCTTGTGTTAGATATTATTATATAAATCCTGTGGTAAATGAACTTTCTAACAAGTAAACTGGACAAATACTTAGAATAGTGATGACCACATGATTATGTTTGATTCACAGTATGATTCAGGAAATACAATTTGGGAGTCAGAAATGTAGAAGAATATTATCAATCTCAATGAAAAGGATGGGATGTGGAGGGGTTAACTTTTGAAATATCACCTGCTTGTTATCTTTCTCATAGTGAAAGTGCATTCTTCATGTTCATGGCATGATCATGATGGATGGCACACACACCGAAACACACTCCCCCCCCCAAAAAAAAACAAAAACAAAACCCAAACACTTCTGTCTCCCTACATTACCATTTGTCAGTCATTTCAGATGTCAATAAAAAATAATGGTTCTGAACTTCATGATTAAACTATTGATTGAAAGATGAAAGAATATTATTTGCGCGGAGTCTGTGTTGTTTTTGGTTGAAATTGAACAAACCATGACTGCAGACTTATATAAAGGTCTGTGCAATGACCAACATGACCAAACACTGAAAAATGCTGTGATGCACTGAAATTTACTGTGTGCCTCCACAGGTAACTTACTGATAATAATGTAAAAAAAAGAAGAATCACTTTGGTACATCTACGCACAATACGAGTGTCTTATGGAAGGTATGTCTGTAATTCGCCCCAACCCTAGACATGCTAGAGTGTATATGCATCAGGATCCATACTCATAGATGATATATATTTGAGTAGATTGATGCTCATGATGTCAATCACTGGATTGCCTGGTCTAGACTTGATTATTTACAGACCGCTGTCATATAGCTGGAATATTACAGAGTGCAGTGTTAAACAAAAAAAAAACATTCTGCCATTAGCTAAGCTTCCTTGACATTCTACTTGACTCAGGCCTTGGAAAAGTGGCTAAAATCACAGATGATATTTTGATTCAACTTGCCCAGTTGTCTGGTATGATAATTGGGCTGTCAGGATTTTGTCACCAGTGTCAGGCTTCTCAGTGAACATTTGTGGAGGTTTGCATGTTTGAGGAGCCACTGACATGTTTAAATCCTTCATGCATAGAACAATGTTGATCTACGGAAACTATTGCTTTACCTGTCAACAATATGACATATGCTGAGTGTTTCTGAATTTAACCACTAATGTCAAGAGTTGGTTGTCATAACCCTTATGTAAAAAAGAAAAGGTTAGGCACTGAAGCTGTAAACCTTGTCCCACCCTCAATCATGTTAATTGAGCAGCCCCATGAAAGTGGGGATCCTTTAAGGCTTTGTATTAATTTGGACAGTCACTGTCATCACACTTTCTCTTTGAAACCAGTCAGTGCTTTGACATCTCAGAGGTATCATTGTGATCCTATAATGTCAATGTCTTAATAACTTTGGAAAATTATTTTGATACATTGACCAGACATGTCAAGGTATTCCTCAAGGTCTCAGTCTTAAGGAAAGGTCCTGTAAATGACAACTCAAGAAATATTTACTGTAAGTCAATGAAACATGGTGGATGTCAACTTTGTGGTCGGGTTACGATAAAAAGTTGTGAGTGACCTATGGATAAGGTCAAGGTCACAGTGAAAGTAATTTCATAAAATGTGTTTGCCATTATCACTGAAATGACATTCTGCATGTTCTAGAGACATGTTTTTGATGTCTGGTGCACATAGTGGTTATATTATGTATATTGTATGAATAAATATGTATGACAAGCGATAGTCACAGTGACCTTTCAAAGAGCAGCATGTGCTATTTTTCAGTTGTACATTGAATTACAACTTAGTACATGATATTTTGTTTATATGCTGGATATGTCTGTCTGGAAAGCTCTTGAAATACTTCTCACTGATATTGAAGGTTAAATTCACTCTCAAGGTCATTCATTAAAAATATATTATGTCATGAATGATAACTAAAGAGTGTTCACTGTACATGCTGAAGTGGGGTGAAATTAATATAGTATTGAGTCTTAAATTTGTTTAGATTTAGAGTCAAGGTCACAAGAATGGCTATTTGTAAGGTAGTTCTGAGTCAGTACTGAACTAATCATGGTGTTTGTAGGACATTTTTTTGTAAGAGCTAGCATCCATGTTTGCAACTTGAAATAATCGAGCAAGGTCATTAATTAAACCAAAAGTGCAGACAACTTCCTTATCAAAGTAACTATGGGCATGGGACTTTCTTATTCAAAATTGTACTGCATCTACGCAAATTTCCCACGCACCTGGAAGTGATGTTAATTGAAAGTGCTCATAAACTTTATCATATAATTATTTGAAGGTAGCGAGATTGGACTTCCTGTTTCAAATCGGTACTGCATAAGCATGATAAGGCATTGTCTTCCTAAATCTAGAAGTGATTTTTTTTAACCAGACATTTGTATCATTTGTTGGGTAATTTGCACTACTTTTGGTCACATTAGGCATGTTAGGGACCCAAGATGAATGGTGATAGATACTGGTGAGGTCAGCTGTCACTTGATTTAGTCAAAATGGTTTCTGGTGTGGAAATTTTGAGGGATGGGTCTGCTACTGTTTTTGCATGTGACGCAAACACCATACTAGTCTGTCACTGTTTGCATTCTGTACCATGGAAAGTCATGAAACATTTGATCATTTTGCATATTTTGTACGAGACAGGTAACTAATTAAAACAGTAATTTATTAGTCATCATTATGGTAAGAAATGTGTTGAATTAACTGTTTGTGATTGTGTGATATTTATTCGTTAAACTATGGGTTGTTGTTTTTCAGGTCTGGAGTCCATGCCTAACAATGGGGATCAGTATTTCAATGCTACCTTTGGTTCCATACCAGAGTTTCAGCCTTTCTCAGGGGTAAGCTTGTACTGCTTTCTCAGTGTTTTATTACTACATGTATATACTTCCTTTTACACAGTTACAGGAACCTGATGTGCTAATCCAAGTTGAATATAGATAAGACAAGAATATATTAATTGAGATTTGGACATTCAGACCCCTTAAGAGTGAAATTAGTATGCACTTTTTAAAAGTTAAACTTACTTTAAGAATGTAATTAAAATATAGATGGTTTTTGGGGATAGATATTAACCTGGAATGTCTACTAGCCAAATTAGTGATAGCATATAGGTACATCCCCAAAATGTTCGAAATTCTACTAGCCCTTAGGATACCATTAACTAGTTCAACTGGATTGGGCTTGCGGACTAGTCCTAATTTCTATCCCTGGTTTTGGTGCATAGTTGTGAGTCTGGGCATTTGTGGGTGAGTGATGTTTGCCTTTTGTTGCATCATTATTGTTGCAGTTGTTCGTGGCTGTGGGTGGAGGCATGGTTGTCACAGTTGTTTAGGTACTGCAATTTGCTGTGGAGAGTTGTGTCCCTTATGCTTGCAGGATGCTATAATGATGGGTTTAGTTCACTGATTTGTCCTTATTATGATCTTTGGTTTGGCAGCACCATAACCATGCTTGTTGGATTCACAAATGTGGAGACCGTCTTTGTGGTCTAGTGGTAGAGTGGAAGGCCAGGGGTTTGATCCCCGGCCGCCTCATACCAAAAGACGTTAAAAGATACCCTGCATCTGCCTGGCGCTTGGCATGAAGGGGCTAAAACAAGGAGTGGTCGGCTCAGAGTCAGTATGCTGTCAGTCACACACACACATGCATGAACATCGCTATATAAGTGCAATAATCTTGGATGTGATGTTTAAGCCCATTTAACCTCACCTCACAAATGTGGAAATAGTAAAACTTTCTTCACTTCAGGCAATCCACTACTGTGATTAAACGGAAATACTGTTCAAAGTGGTGTTAAACCCAGCAAATGTGCACATACACAGCTGTGGAACACAGATATGGACCTTTGACCCACTTTCTCAATTACACGATGCAGTGTTCGAAATCATACGTGAAGGCAAGGGGATCCTTCTTCACAAACCAAATGTTGAAAGTAAGGGGTCCAACATGGTCTACACTCATATTCATACACACACACACTATGTAATATTTATGGATATCATGGGCAATTTTAAAATACCAGGAACGTATTGTGCCTAAAAGGAAACTTGTGTTACATTTGGCTTGCTGACACAGACAATGATAGACAGTCCATGTAATAATACAATAGGATTAAGAGAGTTTTGTATATTATTTTATTGCAAATTGAACATGGCCCATCCTTGAATGATCCCTACTAGTGTTTTGCAACTTGACTATGGCCACTGCTAGAATGATCCTGGTAGTGTTCTTATTGATTAAATCAATCCATGTCTGGTCGATACAGTGAAGATTGATAAATCAATCAGGATTTCTTGTGATTGATTGGCTTCTCATTGCTCGTATTATGGAAAAAGGTATGAAGCGTAGATAGTGGGCACCGAACCTGCTTTCATCAAATGTCAAACAAAAAAGGATATTTATGCAAATCTTAAACCTACACAGATAGATTGAAAACAAGAACACTACTTATCTATCTATAATGAAGGAATGTTCCACTGCTTTGACATTTAAAGATGCTATAATTAACGTGTAATCAGTGATCAAAATTAAGCATGAATGTCAGAGAGCTCCTTGTCATAACAACCCATGTTTAGAATTAGGAAATAAACACACTGTTTTCAATGTGATAATCTAGGTTACCTGTAGATTTAATAGCCCTGAGTGGAGTTTTGAACCCAAAGGACATACAACTACAGGAGGAACACACTTCGACGACCCAGTATCACCCCACCCCCTTCACCCTCCCATTTTGAAATTGCTTCAGTTTATTTCATAGTGTCAGTGTGTGCCAAGCACTATGCCTTGTCATCAGAGTTGACTGTCAGGCCAAGAAAGGGTTTGATTACAATGTGTGAAACTCCTTGATGTCTCTTTCCATGAAGTCAGTATACAACTTTAGACAATAGTCTGAAGCCAGAGTCTGGTATAATTTCTTCTGGTCTAGGGGGGAGTCGGGTAGCCTAGTGGTTAAAGCATTCACTCGTCACGCCGAAGACCCGGGTTCGATTCCCGACATTGGTACAATGTGTGAAGCCCATTTCTGGTGTCCCCCGCCGTGATATTGCTGGAATATTGCTAAAAGCGGCGTAAAACCATACTCACTCACTCACTCTTCTGGTCTAGTATTATACTCGTCCATAAACTAATACTAAAATGTACTGAAAATTATGCCAGAATTCATTTTCATGCCAGTACACTCAAAAGGTTTTGGTTCAGATTGTGATATATTTTGAATAATTCTGACAGCACAGTAAAACTCGGTTGACTCACATTGTTTGAAGTTTCATGTATTTATGAAAGTCAAGGGGACCTTGTGACAGTCATAATATTAAAAGTTGAAGATTAAGAGGGTCCCTAGCAGGGGTATATCCGACAAAGAGGCTGATGTTCAGCCACAAGTCTGGAGCAAATGTCAGTCAATATTCCCAAATTTGAAGTACAAGCTTCCCAGTTCAGGTTATATAGTAGTAATTAATGTCATGGCTTTGTATAGGTGACTTGTATCAAGTGTATATCACTGAACAATTTAAGCAAAATAACCACGTCTTTTCCAAATTGCCTGCCAAGGGCACTTAGTTCGAAATCCTGGATAAACCCCTGCTTAGATTCAAATACCACTATCGGAGCACACCTCAACTTTGATGCCTCTAAGAGTGGCATGCAATGATGGCTATTTGAAAAAGTCAGAAGATGAAGCATACCAAAAAAAAGCAGTAAAAATAACCCTGCTTGCATTTGTATGGTTTAGTATGATTAAATTTAAAAAATAAATATCAAATTAATTCATAAACATCGAAAATCCCACATCACCTTTGAAAAATTACTCCATGATAATGGTGTGCGTCAACCTCATTCGTTACGTGCATCAGGGCCACATTTCAACAAACATGGTATTTTTGTAACTTTGTTAACTGCAAATTACATTTACTTTCGAAAGCTTTTATTACAAGGACTTGTGTGAGGGGAAATCCCCTTAAGCCCCCTGTTAATTTAGCAAGACGTCTAAAAGTGGTAACAACCTAGAAACTGTTACTGAGGAAGGAGCTTGCGCACATCCCTTTAAAACATTTGCTGAAGACAACCGGTATACTGCCATCTAGCCTTCATCTTATGTGCTATTGTCAAACTGTATCACTGTGTATCAGTATATAATTCATTTGGTCTATTGAATCTTCAGACTACCCCTCATAGTCGTACCTTGAAGTAACCATTAGCTTACCTGACACAAGTGTTTCATGGAACAAAGTTGTGTTCTGGAACCACTAAACAGTCAGTGGAATTTTCAGTTCTAATTACAAAACGCGTCAAAGTCACCAAATGCATGTTCAGGGTAGCTGACTTGGTTGATACATGTCATGGCATTCCAATGACTTGGATCGATGCTCATGATGTCAATCACTGGGATATCTGCTCCAGACTGGATTTTTTGCAGACCGCTGTCATACAGCTGGAATATTGCTGAGTGCGGCGTTAAACAACAAATAAACTTGAATTCCAACACAGTTATGGAAATTGACCCCTCGAATAGTCTCATAAACAAATTGGTCAGTCTGACCTTCTTACCTTTCTTTTGATTTATATCTGTATGATGAAGCCTTACTTTTCCACACAACCTGGTTTTGTCTGGTGCAACTACGTTTTCATATGTACATGCACCTGGTGCAAGTCAAATCAAGTTCCTTGCACAGAACCCTGGTTGTGAATAATTTTCAAAGTGACAGTTTGCAATGTTAGTTGTAGTATTCAGAGTGTGATAGCTCTCATTTTGTATGGAGCAGAACTGATAAGCATGTCTTGACCAGGCAAAACTGGAAACCTCCCATGCAGTACATTTATTTGAACATTGTAAGGGGACTCTACTGTGTATTTATGATTTGTTAGTCCAGAAATTTGTTGATCAAGATAATTTTGATGGACATTTCACTGTAACTTAGAATCCTTCTTTTTTACAGAATATGCAGAGTATATGGTTTGTTTTCAGAGCTTGCCCTGCATGTCCTGAGAAGGCCATGTGAAGCTTTAAATTATTTATGTACAGGAAAATGACTACCATGTAAATAAGATTTAAGTCATGAAGCAGATATTATGCCCATTAAACATTATAGAAAATCCATCACTATCAAGACTCCTTGTTTTAAAATGTGTAAAAACTCACAATGTAATCTTTTACTAACTGATGTCATTGAATGTGTTTACACCCATGTATTCCAAACACTGCACTTTAACCATGTGTCATCTACAGGATTGGACTGAAATCCGATCACAACTTAACATGTGAGAAGTGAAGATTCAGTTTCACCAACAAGGAAGGAATTGTTTTCTTTGTCGTGTTTGTCATGTTTATAATAATTTATGATAATTATAAGTCATATTATAAAGATAAGTTGCCTAATATCAACAAATAAATGCTCATGCTGCTGCTCTCAGAGCACCTGACATTGTTCTTTCTTACAATTGATCAGTGTCCATCCCAATTATTAAACAATTTCAGTGTTGTATAATTGGCTTGGTGACTTGGGTGTTTGCGTGTCATTGTCATCATACCCCGTTTCTGTGGGATATCACTCTGGATTGTCGAGACTCAGATATGTTAGGGCTGCCATGATACAGCAGGAATATTGCTGATTGCAGCCTTTAATCAATAAACAAATTAAGCACGTTAAGGACGGTCTTTGAGGTTTTCTGCTGTAGCTTTTTTGTTCTACGGACCTTCAAAATCTTGACAGTTACCTGACCAGGAACCATTGAATTTCATCCTTAGTTACAAGCAGTGCATTTCCATTGTTGTGGAGGCATGGTTAAGATGAGGCCCATGTGGGGATTCTGGGTTAGAATTGGTTCCCAGCATTCTGGTTTTGAGAGTCGACTTAGTGGATCAGGTGGTCAGACTCTGTGATGTGTCATCATATCCTGACAGTTTGGATCATTGCACACAATTTATTCATTTCAATGTATTTTTGGAGTTTATTAAAAATAAATGTAAAATGTTACAATCATCAGAAGTCTGATTACGGTTTACGAGGCATGTTTCAGTTGTGATGTTTCATGGAAGATGTGGGGAGGTGGGCTTAGCCTCATGGTTTTATTGTTCACTTGTCATTCCGCAGACCCTGGTTCGATTCCCCAAATAGGTACAATGTGTGAAGCCCAATGCTGGTGTTCTTTGCTGTGATATTGCTAAAAGCTGCCTAAAACTGCACATATTCTTTGTGTTTGATTTGCAAATTATTGAAAAATATAATTTAAGTTTTACTAATTATTTATCATTAAAGATACTGAGAAAAATATTTTCCATTCTCATTCATGATTGATAATTAAGGAATCTTGGATTGCTTGTCAAACCGCTAATAATCTTAAATGTAAACCAGTTCTCAACACTAGTTATAATAGAGTTAACAGTTCATGGTGTAGGCTGTATTTTCAGGAATAATGTCAGATACCCCTACTGCTTGTTAATATGCCAGTCTCTTATCTGTCACTCACATGATGTCATTGATTGCTGCCTATTATGCTGGAGTGATAAATCGTTTCATGATTTAATCAATATGGTTAAGAAAAACATCATCAATCAAGTATGTTTTATAATCATTTATGAATAATCATTCAGTAAAGGACACAGATCGAATGTGGACCATTCGAAATGCATACAACTTTCCTAGTCTCATTCTGTTATGTGTTATGGTAGTGTTGCATAGTTTAACATTCAACTAGTAATCATGATTATGTTGGTGATAAGTTCATGTGACTGTAATAAACAATATTAAATATGAGACTAACATCTTGTCCCTGAAATGAAAATATTTTATAGAAAAAACAGGTGTTAAATATCTCTTTGATTAAATATGATAAAAAGGAGCCTAGAGATACTTCATTTTCAGAAATGCTGAGACTGCAGCAATCTAGACTTGCTGCCAAACATTATTAGACTTGTATTGGATATATTTGTTTCAGTGTCTGTAGGACAGACTACATCTGTGTATTCTCTTTGTAATTCCACCAGACCGTGGTTAGACATGGACAGTTGGCTGTTGGTACAAGAGTAGTAAAAGTATGAAGCACTCCCAAGGTTTAGTTATTTTTCATTGTCTGAAAAGAGCCAAGGACAACTTGTTATGATCACTGGTTTCTATCCCTGCCTGTCAGACTGTACTGTTGAACCAGCATTGCGGCTTCAACAATGGTATGTCTGTAAGGGTATTAGATTATACAATATAATGAAATATCAAATAGAAAAAGGAAAATAATGAATAAAAGGTAAGGATAAGGGCAAGAAGTTTATTCATATAATGCTGCAAAATGAGCAAAAGCTATGATCATGATGACAATATGTAATTTATGGCCCCTGGTTTAAAGTGCAGCAACATTTAGAGTTTTGTTCGTTGGTCGTGTCAGGATGCCCTGACCATTGGTTCATGTCTGACATAACCTCTGGTGATGGTGCATGGTTTGTCAGCACCAACCCCGTGCTCGTGAGCGTCACCAAAGTGGTAAATGTCTGGTACCTATTAAACTTAGCACTTTGGGTAAAAATGTAACTGAAATATTGTTCAGTACCTATTACACTTAGCACTTTGGGTAAAAATGTAACTGAAATATTGTTCAAAGTGGTGTTAAACACAACTTTCTCAATAAAGGGGAAATGGGAATGGGGGACTGGTAAAAGGGCCACTGCATCAGTGTGTTATGACAAGCCTATTATAGCAGTAAAGTGAGGGAAACAGTCACACCTCGACAAGTGTCAGTGTGGCCTCAGGTGCCATGGAACAAAATACTACGATCAGACTTTCCCAGTTTCACACACTTGCATCATAGAATGGTAAAAGTGACATATATTTTATTGCTGATAACAGAGGATTTGATTGATGTATTCTTTTGAACTGTGTTTCAAAGTATTTCTTGTAATGCAATTATCCTTTCATTGAATTATAACTTGCATTCAAAGTACCCGATATTCATCAGCCATTGGATATACATGTACACGTGACAGTGTTCGAAATTAGTCCGAAAGTCAAGGCTTCCTTTCCAAAACTCAAGCGTTAAATTTCAGAGATTGAAGGGTCCCCAGATTCAAATATATGAGCAGCCTCAAGGAACGAGGATCCTTCTTAATTTTGAACATTACATTAGGCCTGGGACGAGTCCAATTTTACTACCCGGGTACCCACCCCTCTATTACTCGACCCTACCGGGTACCCTCTGTGGGTCTCATGAGATAGGTACAAACCTCTCCGATTGGGAAAGTTGGACTGCAGTCCTGGCAAAATGTGCTTAAATACACCTTATAAAACGATCTGGTCATGCATACACTGAAGTTGACATAAGTCAGAAGAAATGGGTGCATTGTCAGAAAGAAATGCGAACATTATAGTGACTTGAAGTTTAACCATTGAGTTTAAGATAATTTTTGTCAAAAAACAATATATCAAGTGACTAACCACATGTCCGGGTAGTCCTGTGGGTACCTGGGTCCTGCTCAGTACCCACCCGACCCGAGTTACTGAGTTACCCGTACCAGCCTTACACTACATCAGTACATGATATAAAATATATATACCCTTTGCCAAGTTACAATAGATTCTTTATGAAGATACTCTTTCATGTGTCTAAATGACCTGACAATACTGAAACAACCTGATGTCAGAGTTGATATTTGTCAGTGAATTTGTAATGAAAACATGTTGCTTGACCTACACTAATTATGGAACTAATTATCAATCTAGTTTATCAACTAAGGGAGAGAATTGCCTCAAGGATGACACTACAATGTAGGATTTCTTATGTTTTTTTCTTGTTAAGCGCTCAAGGAACAGATGAAACATTTGTTGAAAAACTTTCCAGCAGTATCTCTCAGTAGAGTAAAATATAATTTAGCCCGAACAATCTTCAGTTTTGATCATTTAATTATTTCAGAGACAAAGGCCAAGATCAAGAAACGTCGTACTTGGATCCCTGTCCCAGAATGCCAAGCCATTTGTCCCCGCAGGGCCACCGGGTCCCCCTGGGCCTGGGGGGTTGGATCAAAACATGGCCAATGACTTTCAAGCGTTGAACCTGGCAGGAACCCCTGTTCCCCCCGGGAAGGTGTGTGGGCGGTTATATGTTCTTAAACCAATGATCAGACACCCAAGTAACCTTTGGGTGATTTCTTTTGGCTGGCAACTGAAGCTTTATCTTAATGCAATAATCATTATTCCAGGTTACCTTTAAACAAAAAGGGAGGTGTGATAGTTGATGACATTCAGTTTGTAATGAATGATAAGACCGTATTGTGACGTTTATTTTCAAATGCCACAAACTACTTGGTGATCCTTACTCTCAGCGAGGCGTGTCAGGGTGCTTTTTTGGAATTTGAGAGTTTATCCCATCATTGAATTTAGTGTTAATGTTTATTCAAAAGTCACTCATTCCTAGATTTGACATAAATTTTGGTCATAAAGCAAACAAGGATGCCATGCTCTGGAATGGACACTGATGTTTTTGAAAAGGATGAAAAAAGACCTTGTTTTTATCCCTGTGGGGATTCAGATGCAGGATGTGAGGCCTTCACTGCCGCATGGTTTTCATAAGGTCCCTGTAAACTACTGGTCTGGTGTCATGGCTGAATATGTAGAACTTGTTGCTCTTGTTTACACTCCCGGTTGTGCCTGGTTCATAATCAATTATTTACAGGCTGCCGTCATGTAATTGGAATATTGCTGACTGCAGCATTTATCAGCCCTCTTCTCACAATCATTCACTAATTTGTAGGGCATGTTGGTATATATCTAGATCAACTTGGTACCAGATAGCTGATGTAACAGCTTTGGACTGATGATGATCAGTCATTAATGAGGTATTCTTTTTCATGGCACACATTTAGTTATGCAGTCTTATGATCAGGACTTGTTTTGTGTAGAATGTAGAATGGCTTTGCAAGTCAATGTTTGTATACAGTAAAACCCTGTCAATCTGGACAGTTCCTAGTGACATCAGGATTAACAAGTTTCTGGAATAATGATTCATGGGCAGTCTGTCATTTATTTTGGTATCCACCAACTTTGCTATAAGCATTATTTTATGTTCATTTTGATGTTCTTAATGACTATTACTGGGGTGGGGGGTAGGTGTGGCCCAATTGTCGTAGGTGCCGCAATTCGCTTTCCAGAGATACCTATCAGGGGTTGATTTAACTGCTAGCCTTTGACCCGTTGAATTACGAAGGGCTTGCTGAAGCAAAAAAATTATAGCTCACCTGGCTTGTCAAAATTTCACATCCTTTCTGTGTAAATTTAATTTTTAATTGGTTACTGCTCATGAATCTTGTAATTTCGATGAGAAAATATTTAGTGGGGTTGAGGTTGTGATTAACTCTAAGAAAAAGATATATATCGGTCATCTTGGAAGAATGACCACCGATGACCCTTTTGTAATGTTGTGCACAACAATAGCATCAGTATCTGATCATAAATAGCCGTGAAACGAAGCAAATGGAAGCCAATGGCCTCCATCATTGAGTTTTGGGCCAGTTAGTTTTGAGATGGGCCATCAACCTTTAAAAGGAACAAGCCCTGCTGGCTACATACAAATTTGTTGAATCTATCCCTGCCAATCTGCCTAAGATTGTTGTTGTGAATTACGATTAGCCTGAATTTATTTCTAAGCACCATACCTGTGCTTGCAACAATAGAAACTTCACATTTTTTATCCACTAGTCCTTATAATGATAACATAGGAGAACCTTTAAAAATTAGTAAATTTCTACTAGTGCTTATGGTATGGTACCTTAAGGACACTTAGGCAAGGACTGTAGGACTAGTGAAATCTTTTATCACTGGCTTGTGGGTTTCACTGTAGTGGTAAACATCTGAGACCTGCATTGCTTTGGGCTTTCCTCCCACACTAGCCTGACTTGCTGTGATGTAACTGGAATACTGTTAAAATCAGTGATAAACCTTACTCACTCATTGATTCACTTACTATTACTGGCTGAGCTTATTAGACAGAACAGAATTTTGCTAGCCCCGGTCTTTGTACATGTCGATTAAGTCATAGACTGCATGGCTACAGTGAAAGTTTGTTGGTCTGGGCACCATTAACAGCGATATAAACTAACAGTTTTAGGTCACTAGTCCTTATAATAATAACACATTGCAAAACTTAATAATGGCCAATTTCTACTAGTCCATAGGATACCTTAACTGTTGGGCAGTTTGGAAAGGACTGAAGGATTAGTGCCAATTTTGAACAATCAGGAAACACTCCCTTCTGGATGATGAATTTTGGGAACATTGATACAAAACTTCCAGGCGTTACTAATAATCAATGATTTGACAGACCAAAAATTGTTAATAAGGACAATTACAATGGAATTGTTTTGTTTGAATTGTTGGGTCATAAGAGGCTACCAAATGGATCGTGTGGTCAGGCTCAGTGACGTGATAGCGTGACCTCATATCCTGATGACGTTGATAGTTGCCCACAGTATCAAATCACTGGATCGTCTGGTCGATTTACTGGCCACTGTCATATAGCTGGAATACTGTTGAGTGAGGCATTAAATAACAAACAAACAAACAACATACAGGCATCCCGAACAGTGTTTGTCTGTCTACAGCTTTACAGACTAACACGGTTTAATTGTTTATAGTTTGTCTCGAGAAGACATGATGGTCTACCTGTAATGTCATAATGCTACTTTGCAAGATCACAAACAGTTTAAATGAAGCCTTGAGCCATGGCACTGTAACATTTCTCAGTTGGAAGATGAAAGCATTTTATTGATTTTGTGTCCCATTAGCTCAGTTTAATGGTTAACATGATTGAAATCAGTTGGGGGCTGATTATCTGACTAAAGAAAATTTAATGAGAAGAAGTATTATCACATGATGATTGTGAAGCTTTATCTAAATATGGAAAAGTTATTTTGAAATTTCTTTTCTTTTAGAAGTGTTAATTAGGTTTACAATCTTAGTTGTGTCTGAAATGATAATTTAAAATTGACAAGACCCTTGGATTGAAGGGGAATAACTAGTGGATGCAGAGATGCCATTCCTTACGATTTTGGTGTAAAATTTGTGGTTTGTCCTCCCCCCTTTATGATTTTTGACATTTTTTTTCTTGAATTATTCACATGATAAAATATTACAGGAAATTGCTATATTGGTAATTGTTGACATTAAGCATTCTACAGTGAGACAATGCTGACCATTGAGAGCTATTCTTTCTGTTCTCATGTGATAAAATATCCATTACTTGGTAATACATGGCCTCTGATTGGTTGTTATATTAAAACACATTCGTCATTTTATCGATCAACGGACATAAATGTATGTACACCGACATTACTTCGGAACTAAAAACAACATTTTCTTTCTGAAAATCAATTAATTAGTGTCACATGATGAAGTTTATGAATGTATGGAGCTTTGACCATGTATTTCAATAATGTCTAGTCCCAACGAAAATGTTGATGCGAAAATCTTCCTCATGGTACTGTTGAAATTACTCTTTCTCACATGAAATTTTGTATTTTTACCCCACTGATTACTCCAAAGCTTCAATTACGGTTGGGGGCGGTCGGGTATTCTAGTGGTTAAAGCTTTCGCTCGACATGCTGAAGACCCGGGTTCGATTCCTGACATAAGTACAAAAGCCTATGGGTGTGAAGCCCATTTCTGGTGTCCCCTGTCGTGATATTGCTGGAATATTGCGGCTTAAAAAACGTACTCACTCACTCACTCAATTAGGGTTGGCATTTCTGTGATAATGAAAATGATATTGTATGTGTTTCATTTTTCAGACATTGTTTTAGAAAACATGTTTAAAGTATTTCTGTGTTTGTGATACTTCTAACATGTCTAAACTTAAAAATAATTAAAATGTTAATTTATGTTTATCAGATGAAATAGGTCATATAACAATACATGAAGAGGCCTGTTGTCAGATTTTGATGCAAGATTGCTTAAGATTTATAAAATCACTTTCACTGTCTCTTATTGAACTCAAATTTAAGATACCCTTTTCACTTTGTGTTTTGCCCTGATAATGATTCTTGGTTTGTCAGCTCCAAACACATGCTCATGCATCACTTCAGGCTTTCTTCTTGACACAAAGCTGAGTGGGGTATACCTGAAACACTGTTCACAGTGGCATTAAACCCAACTCACTTAGTCCAGCACCATGACTGTTATTACCAGAACTGATCTAGATTATTAAAAGCAAGTCCAGACAGCTCTATTGGTATTACTTATACTCAACATAAAACAAGTTACGGATTGTGAATATTTTGGGGGCAAGCTTTTCCTTATTGTTTCATGTGATTGAACATAAATATGTGTATCACGATACATATCGTATCATGACCTAGTTATCGTGATACATGTATGTATCACTGTGGCCTTGCTTTATTGTTTCACCCCACTATAGAAATTTAGTGTAATAAAGGATTTCATGGACTATATAAGTCTATCTCTCTCTTGATGATTTTATCTTTATGCATTCATATTGGTTGTCCAAAGTCCATACATGTTGCAGGGCGGTCGGGTAGCCTAGTGGTTAAAGCGTTCGCTTGTCACGCCGAAGACCCAGGTTCAATTCCTGACATTGGTACAATGTGTGAAGCCCATTTCTGGTGTCCCCCACCGTGATATTGCTGGAATATTGCTAAAAGCGGCGTAAAACCAAACTCACTCACTCATGTTGCATCATCACTGTTGCACTTGAAGTAACATATACTACAAAAAAGAAGTTAAAGAACACCCTATTTTTTCATGTGACTAAAGTTAATCTGTCATGGCTGGTGGGTATTGCACCGCACAGCCTTCCACTTGTTTTGTGTAGTAAATGTCCAATGTCATTTCTATTTTGCCAGTGATTGAGTGAAACTAAGGTGGATATTTCTGTTTCAGGGTACCCCGGCTGACTTTGTGAAGTCAGCAGCATCTTTGTCTCACAGTTCCAGCACTCCATCTTTCACTACGTACTCTTCCATGTTCAACACTTCCACGTCATCCACTCCCACCAGTCACATAGCTGCCAGTAGTGGTAAGTCTGCAGTCACTGCTGGTTCCAAAACAAATTATAACGCATTAGGGTATAACAAGAATTCCTTTGACTCACATGCTTGATCAGTCATGGGGGCATCTTGAAAATGCAGATTTTCAATTCCAACTACAAAACCTGGCTTTTCAGGTACCTGGGCAAAGGTGCCCCAGTACCCAATGTTTATCTCTCTGTGGAGAATATGGGGAAGAACAGCTCCCTGATACCCTATGTTTGTCTATGTATGCGTTATGATCTGTGAGAAAACCAGAGCCCTGTTCCACAAAGGAGTCATAGTGCTAAGATGATGGTAAATTCCATAGTTTAACATAGACTTGCGATAATCATAGCGCTGAGATTGCTTCATGAAACTGCATGATATAGGTCATATGACAATATGTACATGATCATCCGAGATTGGTCGATACAGTGCTGGACCCATTTCTCAGAACTTTAAGAAGCAATCTCTGTTGTGCTTGTGTAAATATCTTTGTTCACTCGGCATGCACATACAGTTTTGTACTTAAATTTCAAGAAATTACTTTAAAATGTTTGTCATGCATCGTTATATACCTATTTACATATATATATATAACAAGGATAGCTTATTTGTTTCCAGTTTACTCATCTGCCAGTCCAAATCACAGCCCTGGTATATCTCCAAGTGGTTCCCCACTGACGCTGAGAAGAACTGCATCGCCTGTGGCGCCGCTGCGACAGACCACAGTGCCCCAGAAACCTCAGCAGCACCCACAGGCACCGGGGGGAGGACCAGGGGGCGCCGGTGGACCTGGTGGACCTGGTGGACCTGGAGGACCTGGAGGACCTGGACCTGGAGGACCTGGAGGGGGAGGGGGCACAATCCAAGTGAGAAACTCCTTATTGCCCCTTGAAAATAGGTGCAAATACAGCACTTGGTTTTAGGATCACTGTGTCCACCAAATGTAACCATTGATATATTTGTGGTATGTTACTACTGTAGGGATTCCACAAAGTGATGTTAGCGCCAGGATGATCGCAATGCCCATGTGTTAACACAGACTTACCGTGATGGTAGCGGTAAGATTTGTGGAATGTCCCATTACAATACAATGTGAACAAAATGTAACCATCATATTCTTAGGATAGGATTTGGTGCTTACAGTGTTTGTGTGTTATCATTAAGTCAGCCCCTGGGCTGGCCTGAGTATTTACAGACTTATACAGACATTTATTTTGGCTACCAATGTGACCAACTTCTACTCTTTGAATCCATGATCGCCTTGTAGGGGGGCGGTCTGGTAGCCTAGTGGTTAAAGCGTTCGCTCGTCATACCGAAGACCCGGGTTCAATTCCCGACATGGGTACATTGTGTGAAGCCCATTTCTGGTGTCCCCCGCCGTGATATTGCTGGAATATTGCTAAAAGCGGTGTCAAATCAAAACTGGCCCACTCACTCACTCGCCTTGTAGGTCCATGACTAATATTGTTTGAAGTACCAAACACAGTTTCTACAGTTTAGTAACTCTCTCTATGCCTACTGTACCAAACTATATAGATGTATTTTTATAGTAATCTCTTCAACGTTAGAATTAAAAAATCCATTCATTATCAATGATTTCTTGAGATGTGTTCTTTAATCAGCTGATTTTATGTTTCAGGAAAACTTTGGAGGGACAACATACTTCTACCATCCTGATGATTTTGCTCCTCAGTATGAAGGAGTGGTAAGTTGCACCTTTATTATGCTATCATGTTGAATATAAAAGTCTGTCAGGGACTATTTTATTTATCTTTTATGTTTCCTTTTCAATTTGTTCCTGTATTCATTTAACATGATACTCTTTCTCACTTCAGCAATTGCCAAATTTCACCATGTACCCAGGGCTGCCTCCCCACATTGCTCACATGAAGGTCAAGGTCAACATGCCACAGTTCTTCATGCCTGATGAAATCAAGATGGTAAGCAGAATGACGTACTTGTAAACAAACTTGTGTCCACTTGTGTGTGCTTGGATTACAAATCAATAATCCATTTATTGATACATTTTTCAAATTTTGAACCTGTATCCTCTTTTTTTCATTTGCAGGAACTTCTTAACAGACATGCCTTAACACTGGCACAAATTGACCCTACTCAGAATCCAGGTAACTATATGTGATGTTCGTTGTAATAAGCACCCCTGGCATTACACCATGTACATATTCACCCCTGAGATCCATGGTTTCTCATGGTTCGACCAAAGTCAAAAGTTAAGAGGCTTTTCCTACCACTTTAAACTGACATGTCATGGTATAACTGAAATACTGTTCAGTAGATGTGCATATTTTTCCAGAATTTAAGTGCCCATAATTAAGGGTGCGTATAACACACGAGTGCGTATTATACACGAATAATAAATAAGTCTTGTGTACAATGATCAATCTGAAGGGGTGCTTATTGGTATTGTTCACTAGCCAATATATCAGCAAATATCGCCATGGGTGCTTATTAAAGCGGGACGCTTATTACGTCGAATGCGGTATCAATTTTGGACAAAATGCTTTCTTCCCAATTTGCCTGTGACAGGCACTTAGTCCTGTGCAGATTCCTGGTTGGAACTAATCCCCAGTAACCAATCTGATTGGGTGCTCAGGCTAAGAGACTTGTTTGATGGCATGTCTTCCTACCCAGACTGAGTGGATTGTTCACAATATCAATCACTGGATTGTCTGGTCCAGACTTAATTTCTATTTTAGCTGGAATATTGCTCAATGCAGCTTTAAACAAAAAGCAAGCAAGCAATTGTTGTCATCGTACATGAACCCCTGTCACACAAGAACTTTGTTTTCAGATGTACCGACGGAGGTGGACAACTACCACAACTTGTTTCCCCTGGAGCCGCCGCCCACCACGCAGCTCCCCAAGTCCAGTACCTTCACATATCCCACCACCTGCTATAAGGCTCTCAACACCAAAGATGGACTTACATACTGTCTTAGAAGGGTTCATGGTGAGCACCCAGCAGACATTGGAATTAACAATGCCCACTTGCACTGTCTTTGTGATGTTTTTGATCAGGGATAGAAATTAGCACTAGCCTGCAACCCCGAGCCAGTTTCTCTCATGCCAGAGGTATCCTAAGGGCTAGTAGAATTTTGAGCATTTGGGAGATGAACTTTATGTTATCATGATTCGGGCAGATAGACTTTCTAGGGAGATTTCTTTCTCTGTTGATGTTATAACATCATTTTTGTTTTATTCGACATGTTAAATGAAATGATATGGTTTCAGAACTGAAGTATTAATATTAGGGTGTATATTAAGATACATACTACTTAACAGAGCATATTAATTGCTTTGGTAACATTACAAATTATCAACTCTAGGCAGAACATGTTTAAAGCAAAGATTTGTAGCATGAGTCTTTATTTTGAAATGAAAGCTCCCAATTTTTTGCTATGTTTTAGACTCCATTGTGCAATTGTTTTTCAGGCTTCCGATTGGCTAACGCAAAGTGTATGCCGCTGATTGACATGTGGAAGAAGATGTTTCATCCCAACATTGTGCAATTGAAGGAGGTCTTCACCTCTAAAGCTTTCGGTGATAGCTGTACGTGCAGTTACCTCCACCCATCTTTAAATCTTGTGAACACCTTCTCTTGTGCTTTTATTAGTTAAACTTTATTATGGGTATCAGTTGTTGTTACTAAAACTTTACAAGCATGGGGTTGAGCTGTGTGAGGCATCACAATTTAATTTTTATTAAGCTCTTGAATATATTATGAGCACTATATTTGTGCTTGAAAACATTGAAAACACCTTGAAGCTTCCAAGTTAGGTGATATTTCTATGTTTCTCTAAGGCCACAGATTTTTTATTTTTTGTTTCACGGACCCGCTACCCCTACTGTAAAACAAGCCTGCAGGGCTTCCACTCAGGTAGACAAGAAAGTTGTAGCTTTTCGTTCTCAGTTCCAATTACCAAACTTGGGTTGATTCATTGTCAGGGACAGTTGTTTGATAGCATATTGTGTTGTAATGTTTCAGCTATTATCTTTGTGTACGACTACTTCCCTGGAGCCGAGAACCTGATGTCACGCCATTTCAACACACCTCCCACAATGAATGGCTACAGCAGTCCCTTCCAGGGTGGGGAAGGGCCTCCACCAGGAGCCGGTGCCCGCCCCTACAGTGCTGGCAAAGGGACAGGTAAGTACTGCCATATTGGTGACATGTTCGCAACAAATCTGTTTTGTGTAGCATCCAATAAGACTAGTATCCCTACCTTTGGTTCAGTAGTATATTTATACCATGAAAAGTTCCAAATGAACATAATCAGTAAAGTTCTGCAGATTTGCTATGGTTTTCTTCAAAATAAACTTTGGGACACAGGTAATGGAGTCTATGATTTACCTGACTATTATGTCTGTTTTGTCAGTAGCATTGATTTCCGTGCTCATGGGATTGATGGAAGTGGGAAAAGACCAGCATCACTTTGTGATTTCTCCCTCATTGAAGAGACACTGTGATATAACTAAAATACTGCTCAAAGACATTAAACCTAACTTGTGTACAAACTGTTTGGTTGGCATTCTATAAGTTGGTGATTAACACTTTATGTATAACAACTTCTGTTTTATTGCATTAGTGATGTTCGATGTAGAATCTTACACTGTTCACATCCCACTTTGAGAACAGTGTAAGAATCTACATCGTACCATCGCTTATGCAGTAAACCATAAGTTGTTATCCGTTAAGTTGTACGTTTTCTTACTAACTAGTTCACTAAAGATAAACTGGTATCTTATCAAATGATACATTATTTTCTCGTTGATAAATGCTTTTCTTGTGTCAGTTCATTGAATATATGTTGCCTGTCATATTGAGGTGTTTGTAATTGAAACTGTGAGGGAGAAGGGGGCACGGGTGGCCCAGTCGTCTAAGGCACTCGTGGGTTTCACCAAAGTGGTAAACGTCTGAGACCTGCATCACTTCAAGCTTTCCTCCCACATTAAGCTGACACGCCGTGATATAACTGGAATACTGTTAAAAGCGGCATTAAACCCAACTCACTCACTCACTCACTCACTGGGGGGAGAAACTGAAAGTTGCTACATTACCTCATTCCAGGAGCAAATGCCAACAACTCGGGCATGAACGGCCCTCGCCAACACGCTGGTCTGCTACCCGAGTCGCTCATCTGGACCTATGTTGTCCAACTGAGTTCAGCACTCCGTGCCATACATGCCACTGGCCTTGCCTGCAGAGCCCTCGACCCTACCAAGATCCTTGTCTACAGCAAGTCCAGGTAATTGTCAGCATTTTACGTGATTTTTACGTTTATCATATATGTTCTGACACCACTGGAGTATGGAAAAATAGTAACTTTCACAGCATCAGCTGAATTTTGAATGAATGTACTTCTTACAAATTCTTAAGCTTCCTTTGTCAATGTATTGTGTAGCTATGAATAGGAGTTATAGTCAAGATATTATTTGCCCCCCGCTCAGAAATTCATGTGGTGCTCAGATATTTATTTCCTTCAGTATTCTATAAATATCACGTGGACCAGTCAGATCTCAACATTCTGATGTTGAGGTAAGATAAAATAGTGTATGCCAATTTTCCCTCTCATACTCTGGGTTATAATAGGTCCCCAGCTGTGTATGCTTGTTGTAAGAGGTTACCATGTGGAATGGCTGGTAGGCTCAGTGACTTGGTTGATGACATGGATTGTTGCTCGTAATATTAATCACTTTTTTGTCTGCTCCAGATATCATTGCTTTCAGGCTGTCACATTGCTGAGTGTGGCATTAAATATAAACTCACTCACTCACTCACTCACTCACTCACTCACTCACTCACTCACTCACTCACTCACTCACTCACTCACTCACTCACTCACTCACTCACTCACTCACTCCTTGTATTTCCAGGATGCGCCTGAACTGCATGGGGATCATGGATGTGCTGACCTTTGACAGTAACCAGGCCAACCCACTAGCATTGATACCACACTACCAGGTAAGAAGCACTGAACCCTGTGGGCCATGAGAGGGTTGATGGAGTTGAGGGAAAAGAGGCAGTTGAAGATATGTGTGTTGCTTCATGTAGTCCTTCACAAATGTTTAAAACTATAATAAATGAAATAAAATAAAATTCCTGTAATAAATATTCTGTATTTTGGTCAAAGGGAATTCATTGGGATAAAGATATAGAATAGATATGCAAATTTATGTGATTTCAACAATGGTATTTGTAATTCCCAATGACCCTCGCAGCAAGAGGATCTTGTTGCCCTCGGCCGCATCTGTCTGGCACTGGCCTGTAACAACATCATGGGGGTACAGCGAGATCACCTGCCAGCCGCCATGGATCTTGTTGCCAGGAACTACTCACCTGACCTGAAAAATCTCATCTTGTAAGTAGAGATCTGCAGTAGTGGGGTTAGATAGCTGTAATGTATTGTGATACAAGCATATGAATTCATTTTCCATCATCTACCTGAGGCAAGGGAGTTAACTGACAACGAAAATCCAGTCTCCACCCTTGTGGAACTAGGCTGGAATTTTGTGGTTTGAGTAAGTAGCTATTATGAGTGATGCCCCTTCCATGTCCCTCCTATTGACCAATCAGATTTCATTTGTATTTTCTTCAAACAAAATGGCGGTGCCCAGTCAAGACCATCTGATGAAGACACCCAGTGCTTGTGGATTGTAGCAAACACTTGACCATGCTGATTGAAAATATCTGTTCTTGCTTAGTAGACTGTACACATGCTTTGCATGTCAACCGAAATCTGTACGGCAGTCGCCATGTTGTTTATGAACAGAATGTTGATTTCGTTTAGTGATTTTGATTGGACTATGCTTAGACTCGTTAGTCAATTGACTTTATGTAACTCTGAAATTCCATCCAACTAGGGCTGGGGTAGAAACTGGACTTCAATAGTTGGTTATCTCCCTTGCCTTGGGAGGATGCTTTCCATGGGCATGATGCATAGTACAGTCATTTGTGCATATAAACATGCGTTAACAGAAACATGATTTGAAATAAATTTGTTGACTGAAATAAACTACTGTCACTAGTTGAAATACTTACAGCTTACATTTATACCATGCTTGACTAGTGATAATTATGCCAGAATTCATGATAATCACCTGCTAAATACATGGTCCTAATTTGTGTGACCATTCAGCATTGAACTTATTTGCACTGCAAAATCCTAATTGAACTCTCATTAGTTGCAATGTCAATTGTTTTCTCCAGGTATCTTCTGACCAATCAGAATAGACCAAGAAGTATCAATGACGTGATGCCAATGATTGGAGCCCGATTCTTCACTCAGCTTGATGCTGCTCAACTTCGAACGGATGTGTTGGAGAATGAGTTGGCCAAGGTAAATAAATGTGTGAAAAGTGTCCTTTGTCCAGTGTTTTTCCCTGACAAATAATATGCGCTTTATCCCATGTTTTTACTGCTTAAAAAGAATCCATGCTTAAAAATTCACTGTTTTTCTAGGAAGTTGAAAATGGCCGCCTATTCCGTCTGCTGGTGAAACTTGGTGCAATTAACGAGAGACCTGAGTAAGTCCTTTTCATGTACTGTCTGTTCAGTGTTGTTAAAAGCATTTACATTTCTGTGATAAAACCTTAAAAATAATTATATCTGCCTTAGAAGTTTTTCACAATTTAAACAAAAGTAAGAAAATTAATATTTTAAAAGTATTGCCAGAAACTGAAAAATATTTGTGTCTACAGTAAGTTTTCTCTGACAGCAATTTGTCTGAATTACCCAGGTTCAACATGGACCCGAGTTGGTCAGAGACTGGAGATCGCTACATCTTGAAGCTGTTTCGTGATTACCTGTTCCACCAAGTGGATGAGAGTGGTGCACCATGGATTGATCTTGCTCATGTCATTCAGTGTGTCAATAAGGTAAGTGAAGATAACTTGCTATATGAGAGCACTGTGATAATGTGTAGAAGATATTTATTTTGATAGTTGAATGGACTTACTTCCCTTTATAGAGTGCTTGTCGTAAGAGGCTACTATTGGGATCGGGTGGTCAGACTCGCTGACTTGGTTGATGCATGTCATCGATCCTAATTGTGTGGATCAAAGCTCATGATATTAATCACTGGATTGTCTGGTCCAGACTCGATTATTTACAGACCGCTGTCATATAGCTGGAATACTGCTGAGTCTGGCGATAAACAACAAACCAACCAACAACCTTTACAGAGCTGCGTTATACCTAACTCACTACTTCACGTTGAAAGAAGAGTCATCTTTGTTTAACATAACGGCCATGCAGAAAGCCATATCCTCAGACTCAATACCATCTCTCACTCACTTATTCTGAGATGAAAAAGTCCAGGTTTAATTAGGATGAAGCTATCCCAGTATTTCAAGACCCAGTAATTTCAGACTTCCAGTCATCGAATTAGCAAATGAAAGCTTCTTTTTTTTTGGTCATAAACTTAATGTTATTACCCAAAAGGAATCAAGACCCCCTTTATTTCTATCACTTGTCTGGATTAAAATGATAAAACAATGACTGGTCAGCCTGGAGTCTGTATCCATGCAGCATGGTCTCTCAGTGGACTAGCACTATGAAACTGGCATTAGGTTGGAGGAGTACATGCAACTGGTTTTCATCCTCTCCTATGCACTCTGGTTTCCAGGTTGATGCAGGTGTCCCAGAGAAGATTTGTCTGATGTCGAGAGACGAACAGAGCATCCTTGTCGTGTCCTACGCTGAAATCAAAAGATGTTTTGAGAGTGCTTTCTCTGAGCTGCTGAATGCCGGGCACCAGCCGTCCCCGTTCTCATAGCAAGGAGGAATCCCCTGAATGCAGCCAACCGCCATTCCTGAGGCAGCACACTCGAACAAAGGAAGAGTGCTGCGTTTTAGTCAGACTATATCAATTCAGTCATATTTGTTTGTGGAGAGATCTCACCAAGTATTGAAGAATATGTCTATTGTATTGCTTTCTGATTTCAGAAGAAAGTGATTTTTCTCTGCTTTCTGGTTTATACAGAAAGCATGTTTTCCTTCAAGATAAGGGCTTATCTCTGTTTATATATCAATTGTCATTGTACATCATACTTGTGTATAATGTAGGACATCAGATTGGCTGCCTGGCAATACTGTATTTATACAATGATCATTTTTTAAATGATTTAAAATGTGACTGTATATTTATCCTGTGCTAGTGGCTGCAGATGTGAAAAGAATGTTGCCCCAGAACTGATGGATAAAATGAAATGTAGAGTCTTCTTGTTGGATGAAACTGCCACATTAATTTGTGAATAGACTCATATATCACATCGATGAACATTTCATGTACATAATCGTTGTATATATAAAAAGTACTTCATGTCAAATGTGTTTACCATACTTCATGGGGCGTCCATCTAATTCGGCCATGACAATAGTGAATGGACAAGGTCTAAGACTATATGAAAAACGGGAGTATACTATATAAAAAGTAGTCACTAAAACTTTGAAATTTTTGAAGAAGAGTCTCAACATCGTTTCTCATTGAAATAAAAATTGGTCAATGGCTAAAAAAATGGTTTTAGAAAAAATTCCATCAGGGTAAACGGGGGTGTAACACAGGAGTCATGATAAATATTTTTGGTCATAGGCCGGAAAATATTCCTATAGCGATTCGGAGAACGCAGTTTGATGATTGAATGTTACATTGTTGATAATGGCTGAGGTTATGGTAAAGGAACTTATGTGGAGTTTATTTCATCGGTTCAATCTGTTTTGCAATTCTCAATAGAAATGGGTTCGTGTGCAGCTTGTTCTAGTCACTGATGTGTGTCTTCTCTGGCAAGTGCACTCATGGTTCAGTGGTCAGGAGCCGAGATAATGTTTTGTTCGCACCTTCAAAAAGTTATCGGTTTACAAAATTCTTGTTTCAACACTGATGATAAACTTTGGAAAGTTTGAGCTGGCAAATGGGTAATTTAATATTTGTGTATGGTGTGTATAGCCATCAATGGTATTTGTTCAGTGACGTTGGGTCGACATATTGTGAGTTGTAGGTTATTTTCTGTTTTGCTGAGGACTAATGGCTAAGCATACTTAAGGGGACATTGTTTTGGAACAGTGAATTTAAAACTCTGTGCTTCATTGTACTTTGACCTCTTACAGACATGATATTGTAAAATTAATTGTTACTGTTTTTCACGTAGTTTTCAACAACTGTAATATTACATAAAGATTTTCGTTCATTTTTTTTTTTATCAGGGTGTTGTAATGCCTGCAAAATGTCATGAAAACGGCTTCTGTTAAAGTGCAGATTTTTAGAAAAAATAGTATTTTTGAGGTTTTGTAAAGAAAATCATGATCTAACAATTATGAGTATTTTCATAAGTTTTGTCAGGGAAAATCTCAAGCTGTGATCAGTTTTGTTTAACATTGATTCCTGTTTAAGATTCTTCTTGTTGTCTCATTATCTAATGAAAGTATTGTGATTGTTAGATCTCATATTCCATGTTTAAATTATTTGAAGAAAGATCTATCCTTTCGATATAAATGACTTCAGTTGAATATTTATTGGTTAATATATGGCATAATCAGCGAGTACACACTACATAAGATATGGAGGGCTATTAAAGGATTCTTCCCTTCAAGAATGGCTTCAGGTCTTTCTGTACACTTCTGCTGCTCAGTCTTAATCTTTGTTTAACTGGCGTTTGATTTTCACACTAGTTGCCGTCCATGCACTCGACAGAGCCATCTGTCCAGCTAGTGGTCAAGGACTTAAAGAGCTCATTTCTCAGTCTCTTGGCGGTAAGAGGTCTGGTTTTTTGTTCTGCAAAGTTTCTTATTTCTGTTGCATATGTGTTAGAAGACTTGACTATTGTTGGGAGATGTATGATTATTGCCATACTAATATCAGGACGTATACTGGTGACAGCTCAACATTCCAGGAAGCTAAGGGTACAAAGATGTGATGGACTGGCTAGCTTTGTCACTATTTAGATCTGAAGGTGATATTTCTTGTTGAATTATCCCACTGCCATGGCCTTAAAGTGTTTCAAAATAATATCACAAACTATGGATCCCATTATCACAATGCTGTGTCATTGCTGTGAGTGTTGGAAGATTGTTAATGCACTTTTTTCGACAATTATATCTGAATAGGCTTTATGATAGTGGGTTCCGAATAATTAAATAACAACCCTAATGTGTCCAAATTCACCTAATTTAGAGAAAACAGTCTAATTACAACAATAATATCTCAACATAAATTATGTAGTGTCTACTGCCGTCTACTGTCTACTAATTTAGAGAAAACAGTTGAATCTAATTACAACAATAATATCTCAACATAAATTATGTAGTGTCTACTGCCGTCTACTGTCTACTAATTTAGAGAAAACAGTTGAATCTAATTACAACAATAATATCTCAACATAAATTATGTAGTGTCTACTGCCGTCTACTCTCTACTAATTTAGAGAAAACAGTTGGATCTAATTACAACAATAATATCTCAACATAAATTATGTAGTGTCTACTTTTAAAATAGGGTAAGATATAGAAAATTGGAATATTGGCAGTGAAGCTGTAATGGTTGAGGTGGGCCTTGTGGATTAGTGAGCTAATATGTACACACACTCTATATACATGTACACTTGTGTCACAACTACGTAATACTCTGACTTCCATTTAGGCCCACTTTCACGCAAATTATACCCGTTCTCCGTAGAACCTGTGATTAGTGTCGTCGCTGTTTTCCAGTGGATTGTGGAAGTTGGAATTATTCTTCGAAGTCAGATTCTTATATTTGGAACAGATTTTTCAATTTCAATTGTGAATTATTTTGTCAAATTCTAATATTTCAGATCTTGATTTTGTTGTTGGTATTTTTGAAAAAGGTTTCACTGACAGTTGGTTGAAAATGAAAAGATGGTTTGGTAATATGATGCCTGTCGGTTTTGGTCCGTGTTTAGTTTCTTTTTATATCTAATACAATTTGAAAGTAACTTCTTATGAATTTGTGAAATTACAGAGAAAAATGGTTCCAAACAAAATGAAATTTTGTAGAAATGACGGCAAACCAGATGAATTATTTCTGTGAAGGTGTTTAGAGTGTTAATAATTATGTAGGATGAAGTATAGTGCGTGCTGGTGTTGTAAGATATGTTTCGTCACGTCTATGGGTAGAGCATAACAAGTTGCCAATGAAATGTTGAATGTGGCTGACAGCATTTCACTGACAGGGCTTATCTTGGTGTCATTCATTTCTAAAGGAAAAATCATGCTGTCATAGCTAAAACAGACTATATCAATATCATGAACTCATATTTTACATTGCAGCAATCAGTATTTCATTTCACAATTTTAGTTGTCACATTTTAAAATGGCAGTCATTGATTTTAACAGAAACGATGTTGTTGCAGTTCCCAGTGGAATACAGTAGAGTTGATGCTATAAAAACCATCTCTCCATAGTTGCTATTGTTGTTTGTGCAGATTATTCAATGAAAACATGACATGAACTCTTCACATTTAATGATTATAGTGCTGATTTTGATGATAGTTCAACAAATAATTCAAATGGTATTTTCTCTCTCCGTAAAGTGATTGTATTTGTTGAGTTTTTTGACTATTTCATAGCCAGATAGCTTTTTTTCTGTAATTGAATTCCAGTGTGTATTTGATTTGTTTTAATAGTTTCTATCCACCCTGTACTGAAGAAGCTTGGTATGGGCAGAGTGATAATATTCCTAATTAGGGCTATTAAATTATGCTGCTGGGCCCTGAAGGAGGATAAGTAGTCTGAGGCAATGTGGGGGCTGGTGAGTACTTCTGAAGGGCCCTGATATTGTGTACATAATCTTGGTTAGCATGGGCATTGAGGGGAGATCCCCAGGAGCTAAGTGACTGTGGAGACTATAATGGGGATGTGTAGTAGTTGGGCGGGGCTTGTTGATACATTACTGACCTTCCCTCAGGTCGGTGAGTAATGTGTGCAGGTCCTGTCAGAGGATATGTAACCATCATGCTTGATTATCGCAGTTGTCGTATACAGAGTTAGGGCTGTTCAGGGACGCAACAGTGCCCCGATTTGGGATATTTTACATTTTGCTCAGTCTCTGTGGAGCATGATCATTGGTGTTCAACAGAACCAGCATCTCTAATTTGAATAGGGCAAACAGTAGACTTCTTAAGACGTCTATATGTAGTGATACTTTACTTCTCTGTATTTCTATGCATATGTCAAAATTACCAGTACCCAACTTAATATTTCCGTGAATTCTTTCATTTTCCAATAATCAATGATTTCATTGTTTTGGGTGACAATCAGAACCTATTTTCTGTTAAGTCTTGGCCGAGACTGTAAAAGTACATTCATCATACATGACATGGTGGCATTGCGTGCCATTCAGTTTCATGAGCGGATCCATCATTAAGAGTAGGTCATTCATGAGTGAAGAAATTGCACAAGTACTTCTCAGGAATGGAGCAATAAGACATCTCTTCATTTGCTAGCGTGTTGATCAATATGACGTTGCATCGGTGAACAGACCTATGGTGCCAAGATTTACAGTTAACCCTTTCACTTCTGAATCAATCTTTTATAAGTAGCTTCGGTTTCGACACTTATTTCATCATGATAACCCTTTTCTTGTCAAATTGAAGGCTCTATTTGAAGGTCAAGTTGAAGGTCATGGAATGTTTTGTTATTGACACAGCATTTGACCCGGGGTCAAGGTCAATCATCAAGTATTACAGAGCTAGTCCTGGCCTATGCAGAGGTCACTTATATTGGGTGCCTGGAGTTATCTTGGAAATCCAATTGCATTTTAGTGCTAACTTATGAATGTGTGATAGGCCATGACATGAGTGTCTCTGAACATAGTGATGAGCTCAGGAGCATTTTATCAGTATGGAATTGAGTTTGATTAGTTGGTTCTTGTTCTTCGTCTGTTTTAATCCATCACATATCAGCTTTGGAATGGTGCTAGTGAATGATGAGGCGAACATCATTTCATTTTCATCACGATGAGTTGACAATTTGTCAGCTTTGTGGTCATTTGTGTACTCAAGCTAAGTTTTTGTGAACAAATATATCCCTGGACTTTGACATTATGTCATATGCTTTGATGAATGCCACAGAAAAGAATCCCAGTTATTTTAATTGGAAAGTAAGGAATTATGTTAGCACATGTTGATTGTATACACTACTGAACACAGCAGTTGATTTCATTTCATTGTCATGAGTATGGTCCAAGCTCAAATCACCTGAGAGAAGTGTCATGGCCGCTGTAGACTCTAATAGCAGACGTGAGCGTTGTGATCCTTCTGAAAGCAGGGTGCTTTGAATGGGAGTTGTGAGGGGTTGGGAGTTAGAGTTAGGAGTTACATCAAACAAAAACACTCAATTTGCAAACAAATTCTGTCCAGGAAGCAGCTAGCTTTCACTACAAACATTTTGTTTGGCAATGTTTGGTAATGTTGGACTTCAGTCCAAAGATTTGGTGCTGACTTTGCAATGATGAAATGCGATGCAAAAAGTTTAAAATCGGATATGACATGGTGGGTCAAATTATGTAATGGTCACACAGTGTCTGATGTCAGCCCCACCTGAAGTCAGCAGGATGAGCTAAGGGCAGTTAACTCTGAGTCTGATCGAGAAGGACATGGATTGTTGGTGCAGTGTGCTGAGATGCATGGAGTCATGAGTGTGGTAAGCTCTGTAATGTTGATAACTTTGTCCTACGGGGTCTTCAAATAATTTTTGAAGAAAAGATCTGTACAGATTTATTGAGCAATTGTAAAATATGAGATTGTATTTTTATGGAAATAAAGGTAAAAAGTACCTGTATGTATTGTGTTTGTTGTCCATTGTTCAAGCGTACGCGAACTCTGTGATATATGCCGTATTTGCCATTCCTGGGTGCTTATTAAAACCATACGCAAAGAGTTAAATTGGTCAAATTTTCAGAGATTGAGTGGTAGTGAACAAACTTAGTTCCAATGTTGATGGAACTGAAACTTTTTCGATAATTGATTCTATGCAACAGTATACCCCTTCTTCACTGCTGTTTTCTGTCAAATGCATTGGGAATTATACACAAGAAAATATGGACTGTCATGTACCTTTTAGGTTTAATAGGGGACACTCATAAAGTTAACTTTTACACTGGTGTTCAACTTGGTCAGGGGGCGCTTATGGTACCAGGGTGCTTAACATGGCGAATACAGTATCCAGAAAGAAGGGGACTGAAAATACTATCGAAGATGATGAAGACAAGCCTTTGCAAGTACTTGCAAAACCAGAGGCAGCCCATTAAATTGCTGCCTTTTACCAAAGGCGCAATATTCATAAAACTACATGCACTTTAAGTCTGCATAACGGACATCTTTGAGAAAAGTGCACCGACTACAATACTACAATCTAGAAAAAAATAATGAAAACAATGCCTTTTGATTGCCTAATGTGAGTACAGGCTCCTCGTCAATGAAACTTTGTACATGTCATCCTTGAGGCAGTGCTGCAAATCTGGTCTACATGGTTTAGAGTGTCCGCCTGGAGAGCGAAAGGTCGCGGGTTTGATCACCAGCGCACCATACCAAGAGACTTAAGATATACTTGTTGCCCTTGCGCTCGGCATCAAGGGCCTAATACAAGGACTGATCAGCTCGGAGTCAGCTTGGTATCTCGGTGAGCAAGCACAATAAAATTGGCATTAGTTTAGCCAAGCAGCCACACACGCACGATAGCATATTGCTATATCCATGCAATAATCTTGAAAGCGACATTTAACCCCATTTCACCTCACCACCTCACCACCTCACCTTCTGACAAAGGGAATTAATGACTTGAATGTAGCTACTGTTTGGGTGTACATTTACAATACTGTGTCGTTGCATCTGAAAGCAACATCTTATCACAATGAAATTTTACATCGTGCAAGAAAAATGTGATGCATGGCACACAGGAGCCAAAGTGTGTGCACCTATTGGGGAACTCGCAATCACAAATGCAACTGAGCTAAGCACATACTTAAAAATGACTCTGAGACGGTATCTCAATGAACAGACAAAATGCCAAAGTGTGGGTACGACCGGATGACTTTAATATCCCAAGTTGCCCAAAAAGTGTAATTTCTTGACGGACAAATACTGTCAACAGGTGTGGTTGCAATCACACCTTGGCGTTGTAAGCCTAAAAAAACGACACCTAGACAACTTGACTCATTACATTAATTGCACTACACAACTGATTTAAATCTGCCCCTGTCAACTGAAAATAACAATAACAGGAAGGCAAATTTCAACATCTAGTGTTAAAAAACTGCTCAACACAGCCCGCTTGAAAGCAAGGCATATTGTGAAGGGTGCGACCCTAACAGCTTACAAAGCGACAAACATTTGGATGGGTAAGGCAACACCAGGGAAAAGCTGTGCACCAATGGCATTACACCATGTTTACAGAAGAATCAAGGTTTTACCTGATTCACTGATGGCAGAAAACGTTGAGAATGAAGTGGCGAGCAGTATGCCAGGGCAGCAATTCTTTGATGGGCATTGGGGCGGTATCACACAGGACAGACGAACTGATTTGGAGATTGTACATCGACATTCAACTGGCCAGCGATATGTTAATGAAATTTTGTGTTCTGTCATTATTCTATTCCCTGGAACTATTGGCAAAAAATGTTGACGTGCAAGATGATAGTGCCAGACCACATCATGCCCAGGTCGTCACTGATTAACCTCGACAAGAAGGCACATGGACACTGGACTGTCATGTTCCCAATGGTTGGTTGGTTTGTTGTTTACACTGCACTCAGCAATATTCCAGCTATATTATAGCTGTAAATAATCAAGTCTAGACCAGACAATCCAGTGATTAATATCATGAGCATCGATCCACACAATTGGGATTGATGATATGCATCAACCAAGTCAGCGAGTCCCGTTAGTCACCTCTTGCGACAAGCTTAGTCGCCTTTTACAGCAAGCATGGGTTGCTGAAGACCTATTCTACCCCTGATCTTTATGGGTCTGTTCCCAAAGGAGCACATATTGGATGTTCTCGGGCGGAGATTGTATGCCACCTGCCAACGTGGCCCAGCTTGGTAGCTCTTCAGGTGGAATGGTGGCCAATACCAAGGGCAACCATACGCAAGTTAATCATCAGTATGTCATCAAGGTTTCATGCATGCATCACCCAACATGGACACACCAGAAATTGATCCACACACCTGATATTAATTTTACAGATATTTATCATGACGCCACCACAATCATTTCATCAAATTCCTTTATTTTAGTCGGTAGTACAAGTAAGTCATGAAGTATGTGTGGGCAAGGGTTTACCAGAGTTGCGTCCCTTAGGCAAACCAGAAACCTATGATTTCTATGGTTGTGTTTCTAAGTTATCCACACCATATCTGTGTTCAGGGGTTTTACCAAAGTGGTTAACGTCTCAAACCTCCATCACTTCAGGCTTTCCTCCAACATTAACCAGACATTTCATGATAAAAGCGGTATAAAACCCAACTCATTCACTCACTCATAAAATGTGTTTGCCATATTGACGAAAGGGCCTATTTCTGCACATATTTTGAGCGACCATCTCTGAAGGTTAAGGTCACTGGACTGGTCAATAAGGTAGTTCTGCCTCTTTGTGTACTGAACCAACCCTATGTCTTTGTACGAGATGGTTGTAAGGGCAAGCACCCATGTTTTCAACAAAAAAATTGATGGTCCAGGTCCTTAACTAGAAGTTTCTTAATTAGGCAGATGGAGGCTTGGGACTTTTTCTTATTGTTGTCTTACACATGTATTTTTCCAACCTGTTATTTAAGTAACTGAAATGGAAGTGCATGTAATTTTCTTGTTAATGTAGCTAGAGGTACCAGACTTGCACTGTATTCGACAACATTAACGATCAAATGTCTTGATGATGTCAGCTGTCACCTGATTTAGTAAAGCTGAAATAGTTTATTATGTTTCTGGCAGTCAAGTTTTCATGCATTCAGGAAATGGTGGGGACAGGTCTACTTCTGTAACAAAAACACCTTTCTAGTTTTTCTTGGTTCGTCAGCATCACACATGTGCTTGTGAGTTTCAACAAAGTGGTAAATGTTTGAGACAAGACACACTGACAAGCAGACACCCTGTGGTATAATTAAATACTGTTCAAAGTGGTGAACAACTCACTGTTTAAAATGACACATTTCCAGTTAGAGGAAACGGATTAATAACATGCCTGTGCTTCTGAATCCAGGTAGTATCTAGAGAGTTTTATAAACTTCAAACATCTCAAGTCCTGGATGCATCATTCCAGAGTCCCAGACAAATTCTGCAGTCAAATTACCAAAATTCTGCTGAAATAGCGTAACATTTTTTAAGAAAACATTAATCCAAACTTATTTTCTTCTTTAACATTTTTTTAATCTATTGCATTTAGACATTTCAAGACATAAACTTATGCAAATACATATGCATTGTGTCTGATGTTTATTTATGGGTAGATGTTTGTGTAGTCGTAATACCACGAGAACATTTAAAAGTGATAATGATCTTTTCAAGTTTTGTTTTATTGTATGAGTCATAGTTTGTATGTTTGAATCGCCTGTTAAATGTCCGGGCACCATTCAAGTGCAAAATTTGATAGAGAAGCTTGAAAATATTAGTGCATTGATTAAGAAAAGGCAAATTCCACATTTCTTCTGCAATTCTGTGGTAAAGTACATTTTCTGCAATCGCGGAATCACAGAATTCGCTGAGACTGATACAACAAGCCATTTAAAGATGGTACCCTGCCTTGCTTTTGGCATCAGGGGATAAAACAAGGACTGGTTGGCTGGGAGTCTTTATCTTGTTACACTATTAAACTTTAGGCTGGAACTATATAAAAACCAGCATTAGACCAGACGAGTACAAATTGGTTGGTTTGTTGTTAAACGCCTCACTCAGGAATATTCCAGCAATATGACACCAGTCTGTAAATAATCAAGTCTGGACCAGACAATCCAGTGATTGAAATCATGAGCATCGATCCACACAATTGGGATCGATGACATGCTTCAACCAGGTCAGCGAGCCTGACCACCCGATCCCGTTAGTCGCCTCTTATGACAGGCATAGTAGCATATACACACATGCATGCACGTCGCTATATAAGTGGGAAATCTTGAATGAGACCAATTTCAACCCAGAATACCCATGGGGATTACACCAATTACACAAACAGTCATGAAAACAATGAAGTAACTTTCAAAGGTTTTGTTTATTTTATTACAAACGTGAATAGTGAACTACAGAACATCATAGATGCAATTCTAACAGAAACCTCTAATGTAATGAACAGCTAGACAGTGTAATGATATACAATATTTCTAGGAAATATACCGATATATATATATACAACTTCTGAAAGCGATACAGCGGTTCCTGGATACCTGCATAAACAAGTACACAAACCAAGGAAAGTGCAAGAAGAGTAAAGCTATACTATTAAAAAAACATTAAGCACCACTCGATTCTTTCATATTCCAATTGAAAGAATCGGGTGATCCTCAACCTTTTGTTTGTAGTATATTCAACTTGAAATGTTTCTAAAACTTTTAGAACAAACAAAATCTATAGTCTATTACTGAACCATTGAAAACACGATCCAAAAGGATAAATTATGTCTAATGAGCATGACCGGTTTGAAATTGTAACAAATATTTGATACAATCCAAACTGATTTGTTATTCAAGACAATTAACATATTGACAACAGAGAATATGATTGATGAACATATGAGAAACCACAATTTACAAAGCAAGTTTTTATTGGCTTAGCAGTTTCTATTTTCAAATTAAATTAAAAGGTTTCAAATCAAAGTAACAAACCTCAAATTGAAAACATCTATTTTCATGGAAAAAATCCTAGTTTGGTAATTAAAACACAATGTTCAAAACATTTTCTTAAAAAAAAATAAAAAAATCAATTTTCATTTAGAAAAAAAAATGATTTCATCACAACCATCAAGATACAAGCTATGTCCAAGTATCTGAAACAGAGGCAATGACTAACATTAATACAACAAATATACTACTCCAAATACCTAGTTAAGGACCACACAATTCTTTCATATAACAGTAATATGAAAGAATCATGTGGTCTTTAATTTTTTTAATAGTTTTGTTAGTGGTATAAGATCAGGCATGATTCAGTTGCTATTCTCTACAAACAATGCAAATTTGTTTAGTTTTACACTGATATTTTGTGTAACAATAAGTGAGAGTGAATTTCTAAGACCCATGGTTTTAAGGACAATTTTCTTCACATTTTGAATACGAAAAGGGGAATTACAACAAAGACTTTAACTGAAAATACTGTTGCATCACCATGAGCAATATCTTATAGACACATGACAGAAGAGTATGGCAAATATTCAAGCATCATATGCATCAATGTTTTTGTGAATGTTCATGCATTAATTGCAATCAATGCAATCAATTCATTACTTGAGATTTGATGCTAAAGATGAGAGAAATAAACCAGAGCAGCTGATAATTTTATATTTTTGACATTTTCAAAAACATAACAATATCCATAACATATAACGTTAAGGTAGAAAATCAACTTAAAAATCTTCATCAAAGTGTTCTATCTGTATTGATAAGGAAGCTCCTTGTACAGATCATTAAGAAACTGTATAAAATACGTCGATTGTCCACAGTCAACACCATTCTCTGATACTGGTGGCGCTCTTGGACTGAAGTCAGGGTGTTTAAGACTGAAATAAGAAAATGTCATTGTGATGAATGAAAAAACAAGAATAAAATTCCACCAAAAAAATAATTATTGTAAAAAATCATTTACAGTTATAAATTGTTTAAAACCATTTTTATAAAAAAAGATTTTACAGTGTTGAAACAGTATTGTGAAAGAATGATGAGGAATATGATGACAAAATCCCTACCATACTTGGGCCTGGGAATCCCCCAGGGAATCCCCCTGGGAACCCTCCACCTGCTCCTCCCGGTCCCCCTGGTCCCCCGGGGCTTCCTGCTTCACCACTACCATCCCCGCTGCCGCCGCCGCCGCCGCCACCGCCACCGCCGCCAAACCTGGAAGCCATCTTGTTGATGACAGCCTGCACTTTGGGGTTATTCTGGTACTTGGAGACATTGGCTGGGTTGGCGGCGACGTCTTGGAATGCTTGGACAACTTCAGGGTCCTGCAGACAGGAAAAGTTTGGAAAAGAGGGTAAAGAGTTTATTCATCCTCAGATATTTGTTATTTCACAGGAGACAGCTGCAATAATACAATTATATCAAGCTGGTCTGTAGTGTGATATGACCAATGCTAGTTATACCATGCCAGTCTGCAGTATGTGATATGGGCAATGTTAGTTATACCATGCCAGTCTGCAGTATGTGATGTGGGCAATGTTAGTTATACCATGCCAGTCTGCAGTATGTGATATGGCCAATGCTAGTTATACCATGCCAGTCTGCAGTATGTGATGTGGGCAATGTTAGTTATACCATGCCAGTCTGCAGTATGTGATATGGGCAATGTTAGTTATACCATGCCAGTCTGCAGTGTGATATGGGCAATGTTAGTTATACCATGCCAGACTGCAGTATGTGATATGGGCAATGTTAGTTATACCATGCCAGTCTGCAGTATGTGATATGGGCAATGTTAGTTATACCATGCCAGTCTGCAGTATGTGATGTGGGCAATGTTAGTTATACCATGCCAGTCTGCAGTGTGATATGGGCAATGTTAGTTATACCATGCCAGACTGCAGTATGTGATATGGGCAATGTTAGTTATACCATGCCAGTCTGCAGTATGTGATATGGGCAATGTTAGTTATACCATGCCAGTCTGCAGTATGTGATGTGGGCAATGTTAGTTATACCATGCCAGTCTGCAGTATGTGATATGGCCAATGCTAGTTATACCATGCCAGTCTGCAGTATGTGATGTGGGCAATGTTAGTTATACCATGCCAGTCTGCAGTGTGATATGAGCAATGTTATTTATACCATGCCAGTCATCACAGCTATACCATGCCAGTCTGCAGTGTGTGATATGAGCAATGTTAGTTATACCATGCCAGTCAACACAGCTATACCATGCCAGTCTGCAGTGTGTGATATGAGCAATGTTAGTGATACCATGCCAGTCTGCAGTGTGTGATATGAGCAATGTTAGTTATACCATGCCAGTCATCACAGCTATACCATGCCAGTCTGCAGTGTGTGATATGAGCAATGTAAGTTATACCATGCCAGTCAACACAGCTATACCATGCCAGTCTGCAGTGAGTGATATCACCAACATTACACAACACCATGCCAGTCTGCAGTATGTGATATGAGCAATGTTAGTTATACCATGCCAGTCAACACAGCTATACCATGCCAGTCATCACCAATATTACACAACACCATCCTGGTCTGCAGTGTGTGATATCACCAATGTTACACAACACCATGCCAGTCTGCAGTGTGTGATATCACCAATATTACACAACATCAAGCCAGTCTGCAGTGTGTGATATCACCAATATTACACAACACCATCCTGGTCTGCAGTGTGTGATATCACCAATAGTACACAACACCATCCTGGTCTGCAGTGTGTGATATCACCAATAGTACACAACACCATCCTGGTCTGCAGTGTGTGATATCACCAATAGTACACAACACCATCCTGGTCTGCAGTGTGTGATATCACCAATATTACACAACACCAAGCCAGTCTGCAGTGTGTGATATCACCAATAGTACACAACATCAAGCCAGTCTGCAGTGTGTGATATCACCAATATTACACAACACCATGCCAGTCTGCAGTGTGTGATATCACCAATATAACACAACATCAAGCCAGTCTGCTGTGTGATATCACCAATATTACATAACACCAAGCCAGTCTGCAGTGTATGAGCACAAGGAGAGGTTTTAAAAAGGAAAGATGTATCTGTACCTGGAAAGCCTGCATGAGTTCGGGGTCACTGAGCAACTGGCTGAGATCAGGCATGCCTGCCATGCCGCCGCCACCTGAAACATCCAAGTGTCTGGTATACAAAACAGGACCTTGTTACATGCAGCTGGGCCACAGGAGACGTCCCCCAGCTTCAGGCCAACCTTTTCATTCCAGGGTGTCCCGTCTGGAGTTTCTTACATGGGAAGGGAAGTAACTCTTACAATATAAGTAATACAAATATTTATCATATACCTATAAATGACAGCCTAAAGTGATGCAGGTCTCAGACGTTTACCACTTAGGTGAAACCTACGGGCACAGGTATGGTGCTGACAAACATCGAAACATATCTGGGGTGAACCAGGATTCGAATCTGGTATGTACAGGGAATTGTGACTTGCTATAGGCTACTGGGCCAACCATGTCCCCAGATTAAGCATGAAGGACTGTCTGGAGGGTAGAGTATGGATAAATACTATAGGCTGCCGGACCTCACTGGAGGGAAGGTGGTTGGTTGGTTTGTTGTTTAACGCCGCACTCAGCAATATTCCAGCTGTATGATGGTGGTCTGTAAATAATCAAGACTGGACCAGACAATCCAGTGATTAATATCATGAGCATCGATCCACGCAATTTGGATCGATGACATGCATCAACCAAATCAGCGAGCCTGACCATCCGATCCCGTTAGTCGCCTCTTACAAGCATAGTCGCCTTTTACGGCAAGCATGGGTTGCTGAAGACCTATTCTACCCCGGATCTTTACGGATCAATTGCCCAGGGAGCAGACGTCCACATGTCATATGCGGTTTGTCATCATATGCCTCGGTGTTTCCCTAAATGTTACTTGCTTCATAAGAAGCCCTTTGTTATTTTCATCTTGCAGTACATCATTGTTTTCCATACTGGTTACCTGGGAAACCACCAGGGAAACCCCCAGGAAATCCCTCTGCACCGGTCCCTCCGCTCTGCTGGCTCTGTTCCTGAAAGTTAAAAACAAGTAGACTTCAGATGTTGAACATCACATATCACATCACAGTGTGTGGTACTAGAGGGGGCCTTGATCAATCATATATAATATCATATCCCATACCATATATATATATATACCATATATATATATACCATATATATATATACCATATATATATACCATATATACACCATACAATATACATCATGTCATATCACATCACAGTGTGTGGTACTAGAGGGGGGCCTTGATCAATCATATATAATATCATATCCCATACCATATATATATATATACCATATATACACCATACAATATACATCATGTCATAGCACATCACAGTGTGCGGTACTAGAGGGGGGTCCTTGATCGATCATATATCATATCATATCCCATACCATATATATATACCACATATACACCATACAATATACATCATATCATAGCACATCACAGTGATATATATAACATTTTATATTGTATAAGAGGGTCTATATTAATAGCAGGATACATAATAAAAATAAATATTTTTATGTTTCATTTCTTTCTTTCCAGCTTTTCAATCGGGGCAGTGGGGCCCCTGAAATGAAAAACAAAAAATGTGTGTGGCCTTACAGGATCAAAAGACTACAAGGCATCACTATACTTGAAAGACCCTCTTAATCCTAACACGAGAACCTTGAAGCCTTTTAAAATTGTTCACTCTTAACCACAATATAAGAATAAATTTCACAGCTTCTGAATCCTCAGTACATGTGTCTCTCTGTTATATTGAATTAAGGGATGTCTAGTTTGAAATCTATAATTTGGAAATTGTGTCAGTGATGTACCTTTTTCTGCTGTTCGTATTCCTCTCGGACTTTGCGGATTTTCTCCTTGCGTGCCTTCAAATCCTTCTCTTCTCTCTTCCTCTCATATCTGCGATTATGCTCCATGATCTTCTTGGCCTGAAACATGGACAGTGTACATCAACCCAGGTCAAACAGTGAACCTTTGTAGAAATGCAATTGATTTTGGCAATCATGTATGGTACAATAGGATTAAATACCGCAAGATATTTTTCACCTAAAATTCACTACAAAAAGCAGTTATTCATAATGAGTAGAAAGGAGGTGACCATTCTGAAGAATTATAGCCTCGGTTCCTCATATCATTATGAGATGTAACATACCGGTATGAGTGAGTACTCTCAGATAACCCTTGCTGTGGTACCAACCCCCTGTTGACATGGGATGAAGGTGAATGGGGAGATTTCAGACACTTAAACCTACTTTCCAAGACAATTTATTGCATATGGTTGCATCAGGCTAAAAAGCCCTGACAACTGGGCCATCTGTACGTTTACAAGTAGAAAAGTGTGTACGTTACTTTATAACCTAATCTGAATCTTGTCCCTGGAAACTTAATAAAAATGGAATGGATTGACCGCCAATAAGGGTCCGGTCATTTATTACCGGAGGCATGGGTCAGCAATATCACTATCCTCTGCCACATTAGAATTTTGTTTGTTCATATAGTAGTGAATATAAACTATAGTAGTGAATATAAACTATAGTAATGAATATAAACTATAATAGTGACTATAAACTATAGTAATAAATATAAACTATAGTAGTGAATATAAACTATAGTAATGAATATAAACTATGAAAAAGAGTCCTGTAAAGAAGAGATAGGCACTAGGGTCACTTTATATGTCATCAGAAAATATGATTAAATGTGAAATTAATACATACAAATGGCCACTTCTCTGGATAAAATAACTTATACCCTATTCGACGTAATAAGCGCCCCGCTCTAATAAGCGCCCACGGCGATATTTGCTGATATATTAGAAGTGAACAATCCCAATTAGGACCCCTTCCGATTGATCAATGTACACGAGTTGTTTATTTGTGTGTTATATGCACCCTTAATTATGGGCAATTAATTTATGGAAAATGTATCTGTCGTGTATAATACGCACAGACTTTTGTTTCATTTCAGGCTGTTAGCATAAACCATGAAATTTACGATCTTTCAACTCTGGTTGTTTTTGTCACCAAAATTATATTTTCGATAAGAGCCCCCTATTTGTAATTTTGAGAGCGCCCTGGGCGCTTATTACGTCGAATACGGTAAGTATCTTTCAGATAAGCCAACTTCAGTAGTTTCAGAGTAAACATGTCCCCATTGCACCAATGCACCATGTAAAATAACATGGATCAAGGGCCGTAACTCTGTAAAAACATAATGTATGGGACCAAGTTTCTAACTCGGTCTTGACAAGTATCTCTTAGATAAGCATGCAATTTCTATTCATGTTAATTCAGTAGTTTCTGAGAAAACTTGTCCCCATTTCATGCAGTATGCACTAATCTGAAAAACACAAAGCAAGGGCCATAACTCTGTGTCATAACACCAGTTTTTGAACTCATTTGACCTGTGACAGCGTGCAAAATTTCACTCTGACTTAGTTTTTGAGAAAATTTGTCCCCTTTCAGAAGCAGACAGACGCATAGACGGACAAACTCTGTTCCGACATCCCCTGCCCAACTTTCGAATCTGGGGATAATAATAACCATGATAACCATTCCCCGTTGCTTGTCATATTTTTGGATGACCCTCCTAAAGTACATTTTTTTCTTAACCCTCCCCGACAAGACAAAAGCACTTCATATTTTATTATGAAATAACATGACACTCCAAAATATGTATACTAGTTTTGATGACCCTCTGCTTGAGGCTGTCATAGTTCTTTTAGGGTGACTCATAGGGTTTACTTTAAAACCTAATTTAGATTGAGTCTCTCAACAAGAAATAAATATACAACGGTAAAGGAAATCCTCAAGTAATCCTATTGTTTGTCGATCTTGTCTATCCTTTTTAAACTTGACATCCTCAGTTTAAAGAAATATATAGGATACAGTATGTGAACTTAAGACATTACAAGGAATCAACTATGTGTGTGAAAAGATATGTTATGTGAAAAGATTAAACTTGTTGCTCGGAAAGGAATTAATTTCTCTTGCCCAACAGAGTGAGTGAGTAAGAGAGTGAGAAAGTGAGTGAGTGAATGAAAGAGTGATTTATGACACTTCAAGGACTTTTCCAGACACATCTTGGCAGGGAAGATTAAGCAGACTAATTCAATGATCAGCATTCAGAGGTTGTTAGAAAAGAAATACCTTAAACAATGGATGACTACTTTTAAAATATTTCTCAATGGCATTTCAAGTCTTTATCTTGCACCTCAAGCATATCAATAAATTAATCACTGTCATGAAATTGTTTGGTCAAAATAGAGGAGTTAACATATTAATTTAAAAATTACATAGACACCCTGAATTGATATTCAAAAATACATTCCTATTAAAAATATTCCCTAAAACATTTTTTTTAAAGAGAATCATGCTGTGACTGGTACAAAAATTAATCTGAATTTGGAAACTGGAGTTTTCAAGTGCAGTGAATTCAAGTTTATAACTGCCTAAAATATATTTTTTTTTTTATGTTTCTAAAACTGGTATCTCAAGATGTACATACATCTATATACATCTTTGCTTAAATGCACAATTATTAAAAAATAATATTTCATAGTTGCCATGGCGAATGGGTAATATTAAATCAGCATGCACACTGAACAACCACTCTTTATGTCTGATTCCATATGCTGCAATTTGATATAATCTAACATGACCTCTCACCAAATCCTTATGTATTTACAATCCTGCCAATATCTCATTACTGTCTCATCCCAAACAACCCTGCTATCTCTTGACTATAAATTGTAAAGGACCAAACCATCACCCCTATACAATAGTAGACCGGCCCAGTTGGATGACAGATTTTCTTTGCTGTAAGGGGCATCAGATGAATTCAAGATGGCTGCCTCCACTTGCCACATTGTGAACCGGTGTCTCTTGCTTTTGGTGGTCAGAGCAAGTTTGGAGGGAATACTTGCAGATGGTAAAGGTAGTACTATCCTCATGTTTTGATCTGGGCATCTTGTGTTTTTTTAAGTTACAACTGTCATGGCTATTTTGATTGAATTATTTTCAGGAGATTTTCTCAACATAGATCTAAATGATTTGTAAACAGATAGGCTAAAAGCCATACCAACAAAAACAAAATTTTCAATTTTTCTCCTTTTTAAAACCGATACCTCCAACATAACTATCAGATTAACTGAAAGGAAAACCACCATGTCTTTTCCTGAATAATCTATAAATATAAAGATTTATTTGATATGTTTAATAATTAATGAACCAGAGTAATATAAGGATATGTAGAAATCTGGTTGTTGACTGGGCTTACATATAGTAAGGAAACATTCTCCCATGATAATCATGCATGATAGCATTTACACATTTGAATGTAAAGTGAAAGTAGAAATCCTGGGGAATTGACACACATCTCTATTTTACTGATTACACTCCTTGCAATCTGACATTTCTATGACAAGTCTATCTCAGTTCCTAGAAAGCCATGCACGGCTCAACATAAATTTAGGTTGCAGTTATCCTGACCAGCTCATTGTTTTTTTTCATCACCTAGTTCAACCTTGGATCATACGTTTTCGGACAACCATGTTTATCGTTACTACTTGCACTATAATGACAGGTGCGGCTTCACAGAGACATTCATTGTAAATACTCAGATGATGGCATGTTTTTAAGATAAAGTTGTTTTTTATAAATGAGTGAGATGTTTTACAGTTGTTCTTGTGACCAAGGAAATGACATTGTTTTTTCAGTGTCCTAAAACCCACACCACGGGGATATTTGTATCAGTTTTTTACTAATTATCTTAACTGCACTTTTTCAAAGGTGACACACAGACTACATCCTAATCATCTAGAGATCTACTAACATATAACTATTCTATCATACTTTGCTTCACTGCATATACATCTGCCATATTTCTATCTTACATAGGTCCATTTTTCATACAAATATTGAGTGAGTTGGGTTTAACTCTGCTTTGAACAGTATTCCAGTTATATCACAGCGTGTCAGCATGCTTAATGTGAAAGGAAATACCGAAGTGATGCAGGTCTCAGACGTTTACCACTTTGATGAAACCTACAGTTGATGCAACGCTGCACAGCAAATTGCGGTGCCTTAGATAACTGTGACACCCGTGCCCCTCAAATGTAGGAGAGTTTGAGATGGACAACGGTGAAATTCAAAATATACCAGCAGGTGCCCCTAGTTAAAAAAAAGGTGAACATAACACATACTATTTAATTTTATCGTAGACTGTTAGATAACATGTGTGTATAAACAAAAGATTGTCTTATATGTTGAATTGAACTGATGTTCAAATTGTGCTACAAATATATACTACTCAAAGAAAGTTAAGGTTCACTCATTTTGTTCATACTGTAGTTAATCTGTCAACATTTTTTAGTGGTATTTTTTTGTGATCAGTGATCCATTCATATAATTTTATGCCCAATGGGATCCGTTTCTGCGAATAATTGAAGACTATTCTCATGCGTTGATGTTATTGTTTTTAAGTTGTGAAAAGAAAAAAATCCAAAGGATGACAAGATACAACTTAGCATACCAGTCACGGAAATAGATACATGAAAGTCGAATCAATACCAGCTGAATACTATTATCATACATTTACGATAGCTGTGGCGCTAAGATCGTTTTTGCATGTGATCCCAGCTGGTGGAAGGTCATTTATATTTCATTGTATTCCTACATTCATCAAAGATACTCGTATTTCCAAATTAATTTCTTTTCCATCAAAAATGCTGAAACAGTTTTATTATTGCTTGCCATAATGGAAATCACTTTTCAAGCACGCCTCCAACAATTACCTATATCCACCACCTCACTTTCCTCAAGCCTTTTATGGCTGAGTAATTAAGCTTCATTTGTTAGACATTCCTATGCTGAAGTATCAAATGAACAGATCAATCCATTTGTTTAAATGGGGGTGAAAGTGATTGATTTCAACTATTGTTGGCAGGATATCAAACAGATGTTACTGGTGTGAAGCTTAATTGCCAAACTGAAAATAGTCTTATTTATCCTGCGAGTCGAACAGTTGAATTTCTGAAACAAGTATCCATATCAAGTCAGCATGACACAAAACATGACATTTTACACCGATTCCTAATGAATGGAAATGTTATATCCTTGAGAGCCAAGAAAAACTCTGGTGAATACCATGGATGATGGCAAGCATGTGTTACTCTGAATCACTGTCGCTAAACAAGTCGGTGCTGATCAATGGCTGTTTCCTCCAGCATTGTGTCCAGAGCATGAGACTGAGGTCCCCACATTCAACTCTATGTGAGGTGTGTTCACAGAAACAAAGACAACCTGTCGTCTTTTTTTATGGAAAATCAAACAATTAAGCTTACATGGTTACCATGCTTACATGATCTAATAAATGAATCAAATAAGTATAAAAAAATAAGCTACATTGTGACTCATGATGTATTGTTTGAGAGTTAAAAACAGACATAGGGCCTGGAAAAGTTTAATCAATAAAATCACTTGAGACTGCTTATGTCCCTAGTCACGTAAACCACGTCTCCAAAATGATCTGAGCACTAGTGAATATCATGATCCACAAACATTCATGTCAAAATGACATGAATACCTTTCTCCAAGGTTTGCATATGTTTGAAAAGGCCACAGATTTGGATCGTCTTAAATTTGAATCTGATTGAAAAGTCTTAATTATGTGATAAAAGGTCTTATATTGGCCGCCATCTTTAACTCTGAAATAAGGTGAGAATCCTCCAATGGAGCTCTATGAACGCAGACTTGGGATGATCAGTGTGAGAACTTTCTTTCAGCATCGTTCCGAGTACATTGTACATTGTATGCTAATTCATATACACCACAGATTTAATATGTTTATTATTTACTGGCATAAAACCAGTGCCAGTTAATCTGAACATTGAAAACATAATTATCTTGCTTGGTACGTGTTGCTAAATCATCTCTCACAAAATTCCCTGCATACCTTATTATTAGACGGAGGAAATCCAGGTACAAGTAGCTTTGCACCTGCAAAAACTCCTTCAGCAGGTGTGCAGGGGTAATATCAACACTATTTATTTCCTGCTTACAGAGCAATAAAATAGCCCCGTCTGGTGCTGCTTCAGTAGTATGGGTCTACGTAGATATAATATATAATGTGTTTATCTTGACATATGAGAATCAGTTTTGTGTCATATTGAAAGTGTATATTTAAATAGAATGACATATTTGATTATCCCTATCAAAAGTTGAATAGTAGAGTACAAACAGTATAATATGGTCACAACATGCCAGTTGTCAGATTTCCACAAACAATAGTATGGATGACAACAAATTTAAAAAAAAAAAAAAATATTGTTTCTTGCCAGTACAAGAATTTCAAAAGAGCATCTAAATTATTTATTATTTTGGATTTGTGAGCGAGTGAGTATATATATCAGTGCTCGACACTAACACTGGTCCGCTGGTCAGAGTCTAGTATATTTTCTCAAGGACAAGTAAAATTTGATAAATGGTGGTCTGGTGGTCTGATGTTATTTTAAGGATGAACAAAGTTTTACGACTTTTGAAATCGGCGATAGATCAAGTCTAAACTCTTAGCACCGTTGTGTCCCGTAGAGATCCAACAGGACCAGTAGATCTTTTTGGTGCTGGTCCTTTCGACCACTGACAAATTTTGGTCAGTTTCAAGGGCTGCTGTATGGTTTTATGCGCGAGTGAGTGAGTGAGTGAGTGAGTATGTGAGTATGTAACGGTTTTATGCTGCTGATTGTGGCAATATTCCAGCCGTATCACAGAGGGGGACGTCAGAAAAGGGCTCCACACATTGTGTGGGCTTTAAGGCATTGTATTGACTGTGCGGGATGTTGCTCTGAATATCCCTCACTGGTTTGTCTGGTCCAGACTCAATTATTTAGCTGAATATGGCTGTGTGGTGTTTCTTGACCTCCTTATGATTTTGATAGAAACAAATAACTACATATATATTGAAAAGGATCACCAGGGAGATTTTGAACCTAAATCTGGACCTGAGGAAAATCTAGACTTCATTTAGGGATTTTGCATTACAGAAAAGGTTGGATGGAAGGGAAAATAAAAAGGTTAAGGGACTGTGAGAGAGACTACATGTATGGCTCCGAGCAAGATTAAACTCAACATATTATCACTGTACACGATCAGGCAACACTGTTATCTTGTAGCACAGCTCAGTCACAACAGCCAACAGCTATCCATGTATAACATACTGTAAAAGGCATAACCACATCTATTTCAGAGAAGCCAGTTGATATTGTGCCGAAGGAAAGACCACCTGTTGTGTCTGTGGACGACACCAATTTCAAAGAAGCGCTAACTGGAAGCAGGGAAGATCCTAACAAGAGCCATGGCCACATAGACAAAATCCTACAACTGGACAAACCGATCACGTCCTCAACAGTACAAGGTCAATTACTGCTCACAAAGCCATTCTTCAAGTCCTCAAACATTTAATAAAAAGAGTTTCATATTGTCCTAAAGATGAAAAATAACAAAAGATTAAAAATGAGTGAGTTGGGTTCAACTTCTTTAACAGTATTCCAGTACTATCACTGCGTGTCAGCTTGATGTAGGAGAAAAGCCCCAGTGATGCAGAGCTCAGACACTTGCCACTTTGGTAAAACTCACAAGCACAAACATGGGGCTGACAGACCTAGAAACATAATCAGGGCGAACCAGGATTCGAACTCACAATGATAGGTTCCTGGCATGCCCAAGGGACGCAACTCTGCAGTGCCTTAGACAACTGGGCCACCGTGCCCCCGGTTTAACAAGAATACAAACCAGCAGACATCATACCGTTGTACAAAAAGAGATACAATAATATTAATGTCCTCTCATTGACATCATTGTCCAAGACAACAAATATTGTCTTTCCACAAAGATTTTTTTTTTCAAACACGAGTTTGAACACAGTTGTAGAACACAGTTGTTCACATGCATGTGTCAGTTCACAGTAGTACTGATCCTATTCTGTTCACTGTTTCTGTACAATGTTCACATGCACTCATCATACAAAGACAGTGGACTAACAATGAGGATATATTATGCTGAACTGTCACATATGGCAGCTTTAATTTGGGAACCCATGAAGATCCGGGGTAGAGTAGGTCATCAGCAACCCATGCTTGCCGTAAATGGCGACTATGCTTGTCGTAAAAGGCGACTAACGGGATCGGGTGGTCAGCCTCGCTGACTTGGTTGATGCATGTCATCGTTTCCCAATTGCGTGGATCGATGCTCATGATATTAATCACTGGATTGTCTGGTCCAGACAGGATTATTTACAGACTGCCGTCACAGAGCCGGAATATTGCTGAGTGCGGCGTTAAACAACAAACAAACTAAGCCTTTAATTTGTGAACTGTCTCTCATGGTACCCTCAGTTCTTGAATTGATATTCCAGACACAAAGGTTAAAGATACTCTACAGGCACTGCTGAAAATCTACAATGATGATGTCAAACCTTTGGAAGATGCCTATCGATTCTCTGACCTCAACAGGGATGCCATCTCAGGTTATTCTAATACCACCACAACCGATTCACTAGCTTGTTTGAGATAATCTTCCAGAATTATTTTTTTCATTTTGCCAAATGTTTATCATGATTAGAATAATGCCATGTTAATGTTTCTTCTTCTGATAATAATAGTATTAATACCATTATTATCCATTTACGTACTAAAATCCTGGCAGTTAATCTTTGGTCAGGTATTATCTATCAATATCAACTGCAATTTGAGCTTTATTATTGAATAATTCTTTAATCATATTTCTTCATCATCTGTTAATATGTATTGACTTCAGAGGGTGAGATATTTGCCAAGCCTTTGGTGTTGTTCCTGGGTCCATGGAGTGTAGGCAAGTCCACCATGATCAACTATCTTCTGTCTATGGAGGGGTCTCACCAGAGACTGCATACAGGTAAATACGAGCCAGGTTATATATCCCAAGGTTGTGGTAAATACGAGCTGTCACCCCAAGGTAGTGGTATATACAAGCTGTAATCCTCAGGTTGGGGTGCCAGGTTATATATCCCAAGGTTGTGGTAAATACAAGCTGTAACCCCAAGGTAGTGGTATATACAAGCTGTAATCCTCAGGTGGGGGTGCCACGTTATATATCCCAAGGTTGTGGTAAATACAAGCTGTAACCCCAAGGTAGTGGTAAATACAAGCTGTAATCCTCAGGTGGGGGTGCCAGGTTATATATCCCAAGGTTGTGGTAAATACAAGCTGTAACACCAAGGTAGTGGTATATACAAGCTGTAATCCTCAGGTGGGGGTGCCAGGTTATATATCCCAAGGATGTGGTAAATACGAGCTGTAACCCCAAGGTAGTGGTAAATACAAACTGTAATCCCCAGGTGGGGGTGCCAGGTTATATATCCCAAGGATGTGGTAAATAAGAGCTGTAACCCCAAGGTAGTGGTAAATACAAGCTGTAATCCCCAGGTAGTTGTGCCTCATGGTGCCTGGCTATATATCCTCAGGTAGAGGTAAATAAAAGCTGAAATCATGAGAGATTTAAGGTGAAGACAACCAATATTCCAAGCAATGGCCAACAGCAGATGCATTTTGATGTCCAGACTGAATTTTGTGAAAGTCAAGCCTGAAAAATCTTAATACCCTAATGTGGTGGTGTATACAAGCTGTATTCTCTGTAAGGAAACTCATACAAGCTATAATTCCCAACAAAGCAGGAAATCTGACTGTGAAGTGAATGTTTGATTATATCCCACCAGGAGCTGAGCCAACAACCAGTGACTTCACCGTTCTACTGGACGGTCCCCACTACCGCACCATCAAGGGCATGGAACTTGTCACAGATAAGACCAACCACTTCTCCCCCCTTCAGAAGTTCGGTCTTGTAAGTTCAATGTCCAGCTCAAGTGTTTGTCTTCTGGTGACTTATTTGGGATAAGATTTGTTTATGTTAAAATGAATCTATATATCACCACAATGAACATGTATTAGCTCACAGCGTTAGAGTTACCATTGTATTTGGGGGTGTTCAAAAATTGAATAGTATTTTATATCAATTAACATAATCAACCAAAGATATTTCATGTCAGATAAATTGAAAATTTTGCATCAATATATCAGTGAGTGAGTGAGTTGGGTTTAACAGTATTCCAGTTATATCACGACCTGTAAGCTTAATGTTGGAGGAAAGCCTGAAGTGATGCAGGTCTCAGATATTTCCCAGAAGCTAGTGCTGACATACAGCTGTACCTCGAAACATAATATGAACCCTCAAGACCCGTGAAGATTCCGGGTTAGAATAGGTCTTCAGCAACCCATGCTTGCCATAAAAGGCGACTATGCTTGTCGTAAAAGGCGACTAACGGGATCTGGTGGTCAGATTCGCCGACTTGGTTGATGCATGTCATCGATCCCAATTGCGTGGATCGATGCTCATGATATTAATCACCTGATTGTCTGGTCCAGATTTGATTATTTACGGAACACAGTCATATAGCTGGAATATTGCTGAGTGCAGCGTTAAACAACAAACAAACCAAATGAACCCTTAATATATAAAAATAGTTCATGCAACCATCTTTTCCAATTTGTCTCTGTCCAGGGCTTCACAGAACGCCTTCAAGGGAAGCAGTTTCCCTCAAAGCTCCTTCAGAAAGTCTCCATTGTCGATACCCCCGGGATCATCGAGAACAAGAAACAGCAACAACGTGGATACCCATTCAACGAAGTGTGTCAATGGTTCATCGACAGAGCTGATATCATATTCCTTGTTTTTGATCCAACAAAACTGGATGTGGGATCCGAGCTGTCGATTCTCTTCAAACAGGTCAAAGGACATGAGGCGAAAATTCGTCTTATCCTCAACAAAGCAGACACAGTGTCAGCCCAGGAGTTGATGAGGGTGTATGGAGCCCTGTTTTGGAGCTTGGCTCCTTTGGTCAATGTGGTGGAGCCACCAAGAGTATATGTTGGAACATTCTGGACCAATGTAAAGACTGATCACAGCATGGCTCAGCTGTTCTATGACGAAGAGCTTGCACTTCTGCATGACCTAAATCAAGTCATGCAGAATCAAATAGAAAACAAAGTGTCGTTCATCCGACGACATGCATTTTATGTCCGCCTACATGCACTCATTATTGACAGGTACATCGGCGTGTTTAACGAAAACAATTGGTGGAAGTTTAGCAGAAACGAGGAGCTCTTCAAGAAGATCATCACGGATCCGGACAACTACAACTTATTCAAAAGTATTCTGTCCAACAAGGACATAAGTCGACATGATTTACCATCAGCCAGTGAATATATGGAATTCTTTTCGATAAACTCTCTGGATTTGTTTAAGCCTTTGAGTGCCTACTGCCCGTGGACACCTATGTACACATGTGATATGGTGAAACTTGAGGCGGCTATTAACACCAAGCTACCACAGCTTCTGGCTTCTCTCAAACCTGCGCCAGGGACATGTACCAAGGACACATGTACCAAGAAGAAGCCATAACGTGGCGCCATTATGTCTCATATCCGTACCCTTTCTGTGATAGGTAACCATGGTAATATCCCTGTGCACCTTTTTAATTTCTTTGATTAAGCATTTGCCTTTTTTTCTAAATGTGAAAAATATATTGTTGCTTTGGACTAATTTCTATTTTAGTGGAATACAAATGCTAGTTTATTACACATGATACAATTATTCCACAATTATTCCACAATGCTAGTTTATTGACTATGAGGTCAAATTGTATTTTGTAAAAGGATTTCTGATGTATTAACACTTTGTGTTACTGTGTTAATAAATTAACAGAACGACAAAGAAATACATTTTTACACATCTTTGAAATAGATAAAAAAAATCTGTTCAATAGAATTTTTTTGCACAGATTTGTATACACACTAGATCCTAGTCGAGGCCTTCATCCTGCCATGCTAGGTCCAGAGGGGCAGTTTGATAGTCAAGTGGTTGGTGTGATTGACAGTTATGTATAGGGTCTGGTTCTAATCCCCCTGTGAATGTATTGAATGGCTGTTGTGGCTCTTCTGTATTAGTGATATTTGCTAAGATTGTTGTGGACGTGCAACACATTTCACTCCGAGTCCCAACACATGCCAGATAAGCCAGCAACCAAAGATAGTCATGGTGAGATCAAAGAATGATATTTCTATCCTAAGATTTGTATCCTTACAAATATGTTATCATTCTTTCTGAATAATTTTGTTATATACACAATTACTGCATTACGATTTTTTTTGCTGTGAAACAATAAGTTGAATAATTAAGTGTTGAATGTCTTGATTCTGATTAAAATGTTTTCAACACTATTTCTATTAACCTTGAATTATACCTCTAACCAACCCCTTGATTACTTGTCTGCATGGAGGATTCGCAGAAACATCCAGTATTGAGGTCGTAGGGAAGATAACACTGAACTATATATACCATGTTGTTTAGCCTCGTCTGAACAGTTGCAGACAGTCCCTTAGAAACCCCTACGGCCAGACCTTTGTTCTTTTTTATTTACAGATTTTGACAGTGAAAATTTGTTGAGAAGGTGAATAAAATAGAAAATGCATTGTACAGGATTTTTTTAAACATCTTAAAGTTTGATTTTGATTGCTTGGTGAAGATGCATAAAAGGTGATTCATTGTGGGAAAAATACAAATATCCCTTGGATTGTTTCAATGTCAAAGTGATCTTGACCATTGGTGGGCTTAAAAACTACTTTACATTCTGATTTTTCTATGGTTGACGGATCGGTAAATTAAGCTAAAACAAATGTAAGGCTCAACCGATTTATGATAGCCTAACCCTTTAAAGTTTTATATTTGTCATGTGCTTGTGTGATGTGCTTGTGTGATGGCCTTGTGAGCAAAAGTATTTTTCACATGTATAAGATACATTTTTGTTTGTTTTTTATAAGCATTCCTATATTTGTTTGAAACATTTTATTTTGTTGTTAGAATCTACTGTACAGACCTTCCAAATCACCAATGACAGCACAATAAAGCTGATCTCAAAACGATGTATACCAAATAAATAATGTATATGATAAGTTACTTGGGGTGATACATAAGTCACGATATGATATGTATCGCAATACGCATATTTTGTCAAATCACATTGAAACATCTTAACCATAAATATTTCCAAAGGAAAAGCGAGCTGTGGCCACATGTTTGTAGCGGTGATTTTTAGTAGTGAACTTGAAATGAGAATTTTGTGATATTTGATGGACAAAAACGCTAGGGGTCATAAAACAAGTGGTAAGTAATTAATTTTACCAAGTGTATTGTCTTGTATTGATACAGAAAAGAATGAATTGCGTATCGTATCATTGCATGACAACTCATGATGCTGGTTGGTTGGTTTGTTGTTTTATGCCGCACTCAGCAATATTTCAGCTATATGACGGCAGTCAGTAAATAGTCGAGTCTGGACCAGACAATCCAGTGATTAATATCATGAGCATCAATCCACGCAGTTGGGATACGATGACATGCATCAACCAAGTCAGCGAGCCTGACCACCAGATCCTGTTAGTCGCCTTTTACGACAAGCATGGGTTGCTGAAGACCTATTCTACCCCGGAATCTTCATGGGTCTGAAGCAACGATGTATCATTTCACCCCTTTAAGTCACATTTGTTGATATTATGTTTGGGGTATAAAAATGTATTTTTACAAACACTGACATCATCTACATTACAATGACTTTTCGATAGACTTAGTCTTAACATAGGGACCATTATTAGCTGAGCTGTGATTGGACTTTAGAGATTATTTAATGTTGCCTCATTAAACATGCTAAACATGCTAAACATGCTAACTGTCCAAAAACATGCTAGATGTCCACGAAACATGCTAAATGTCCATGAAACATGCCAAATGTCCATGAAACATGCTAAATGTCCATGAAACGTGCAAAATGTCTGAATTACAAATCAACAAAAAGCTAACAGAGTAGGGCAGGGTCAAAGATTGATTTTAGGAAGACATTTTCATTGATTTTTGTCGCAACATGTGGACTATTGTCAGCTGAGCTCACCAGACAAAGTTCACTAGATTCAAGATTCAGGCAAAAGAGACTGCGATATGTAAAAATGATTACAATTTCTGTGCCATCAAAAAAGAAAATCAACGGCCATAAGCAGACACTGATTGGGTCCTTATCTCTTAGTGTCCTCTAGAAAAAAGCTGGAGCTGTCATACTTTAAGAGTTGTATAGCAGAGTTTCAGATTGGTTTTATTTTCTTGGACATTGACTTATTGTCATCAAAAATGTCTAAAGATAACATCAATTCTGGTAATAAGGAACAGCGTAATATCCAGGGTTTTACATGACGCCAAAATGTGCGTCCAGCATGCACAAATGTATAAAACAAATGCCGAAAAAAACAATATATCATCCCGCGTGAGTGAGTTAAAATTTAACGTCGCATCAGCTTTATTTCACCCATATAGGGACCCGAAGGCAGCACATAATATATACAGCTTACCCAATCCTTGACAATAAATATACAGGTCCCATAATTAAAATAATTACAGTGCACTACACTTCATGATTTCAATAATTTCAACCTAGAAATTAAACATGTGGGGTGTCCTGGACCCCTGCTTTGTAGGTATAGGTATTACCCTGACTGTCCTATCTAAATCTGATAAAATCATGAAAATGTCCATATGACATTTGTCCCTGCCAAAATCACTGTACAAAAGCCCATCTTTCCTTTCAGTTTTGTTGTTGCAATTTGACCATGGCCTTTTTCAAGAATTATCCATGCACGTTGAAGTAACTAGTTATGTATTATGCTGAGTGTAAGAATTGATGTACACATGTATTGATGTTGGGTGTGTCGGTGTAGGATAACTTGGCTGTTATGAGTAACTGAATCTGTCATCCGTGTAGTGAATATGACAATAAAAGTGGTTTACAAAAGCTACATTTGGTTATATGTTCGATCACCAGGAGAGAACCTAGACCCAATCAAACAATACCAGTCACATCTGGGTCATTATCCAGTTCTATATCTGGATCATAAGCTTGCGATTCTATACACAAAAACATGACATTTGTTCTGTACAAGTTCTATATCTGGATCATAAGCCTGCGATTCTATACACAAAAACATAACATTTGTTGTGTACAAGTTATGTATCTGTGTAACTGTACACAAGAACACGACATTATGTGTGTACAAGTTCTGTAGCTGGATCATAAGCCTGCGATTCTATACACAAAAACATGACATTTGTTGTGTACAAGTTATGTATCTGTGTAACTGTACACAAGAACACGACATTAATCGTGTACAAGTTCTATATCTGGATCATAAGCCTGCGATTCTATACACAAAAACATGACATTTGTTGTGTACAAGTTATGTATCTGTGCAACTGTACACAAGAACACGACATTATGTGTGTACAAGTTCTATATCTGGATCATAAGCCTGCGATTCTATACACAAAAACATAACATTTGTTGTGTACAAGTTATGTATCTGTGTAACTGTACACAAGAACACGACATTATGTGTGTACAAGTTCTGTAGCTGGATCATAAGCCTGCGATTCTATACACAAAAACATAACATTTGTTGTGTACAAGTTATGTATCTGTGTAACTGTACACAAGAACACGACATTATGTGTGTACAAGTTCTGTAGCTGGATCATAAGCCTGCGATTCTATACACAAAAACATAACATTTGTTGTGTACAAGTTATGTAGCTGTGTTACTGTACACAAGAACACGACATTAATCGTGTACAAGTTCTATATCTGGATCATAAGCCTGTGATTCTATACACAAAAAATATAACATTTGTTGTGTACAAGTTATGTATCTGTGTTACTGTACACAAGAACACGACATTAATCGTGTACAAGTTAAATATCTACCGGTATGTCATTAGCCTAAAGTACTATACACAAAATCATAACATTCGTAATGTACAAGTTATATATCTGGATTATAAGCCTGTGATACCATACACATGATACATGAAAGAATACCATATTTCATGTACAAGTTATATATCTGACGATCATTAGCCAGCAATACTAGGGCTGTAACGATTCACCGACACCTACGATATTATCAATACTTTGGTACAAATGATACTTGAATCGTCAGTTTGTGAGATCGCGATACGCGATAAAGAGAACAGGAACTGATAGAGTTACCTCCCATAATGGCAGAAGTAGAATAGCGCCACCTGTAAGCATGGCAGAACACAAGGACGTGGTAGCGGAGGATGCATCAACTGACTGTTACACTTAATAACCATCCCTTCATTTAAACCTGTTTTGTTCTTGTGGTTTTTTTTGTTAAAGTTTTGGAGATATCAATACATAAATGTATGATGAACAAAGAGGCTTTTGAGCTGTATTTCAGTGACGAATCGCATCACAAGATACCAGGCGATACTCACCTCTGTGCAATACGGTACATGGAAACTTGACTCGGCATGTTACAACACGGTTCCTCCATCCTCAAAGATGAACTAGACCTGACCAAGCAATGCTTGTCACATCGGGATCATAAGGCTGCGACACAGTACATGAAAACTTGACATCTGCCATGTTACAACACTGTTCTTCCATCATCAAAGATGAACTAGACCTGACCAAGCAATGCTCGCACATCTGGATCATAAGGCTGCCACACGGTACATGAAAACTTGACTCGGCATGTTACAACCATGGTTCCTCCATCATCAAAGATGAACTAGACCTGACCAAGCAATGCTTGTCACATCGGGATCATAAGGCTGCGACACGGTACATGAAAACTTGACTCGGCATGTTACAACCATGGTTCCTCCATCATCAAAGATGAACTAGACCTGACCAAGCAATGCTTGTCACATCGGGATCATAAGGCTGCGACACGGTACATGAAAACTTGACTCAGCATGTTACAACACGGTTCCTCCATCATCAAAGATGAACTAGACCTGACCAAGCAATGCTTGTCACATCGGGATCATAAGGCTGTGACACGGTACATGAAAACTTGACTCAGCATGTTACAACCACGGTTCCTCCATCCTCAAAGATGAACTAGACCTGACCAAGCAACGCTTGTCACATCTGGATCATAAGGCTGCAACACGGTACATGAAAACTTGACATCTGCCATGTTACAACACGGTTCCTCCATCATCAAAGATGAACTAGACCTGACCAAGCAATGCTTGTCACATCTGGATCATAAGGCTGCAACACGGTACATGAAAACTTGACATCTGCCATGTTACAACACGGTTCCTACATCATCAAAGATGAACTAGACCTGACCAAGCAACGCTTGTCACATCTGGATCATAAGGCTGCGACACAGTACATGAAAACTTGACATCTGCCATGTTACAACACGGTTCCTCCATCCTCAAAGATGAACTAGACCTGACCAAGCAATGCTCGCACATCTGGATCATAAGGCTGCAACACGGTACATGAAAACTTGACATCTGCCATGTTACGAACACGATTCCTCCATCATCAAAGATGAACTAGACCTGACCAAGCAATGCTTGTCACATCTTGATCATAAGGCTCCAACACGGTACATGAAAACTTGACATCTGCCATGTTACAACACGGTTCCTCCATCATCAAAGATGAACTAGACCTGACCAAGCAATGCTTGTCACATCGGGATCATAAGGCTGCGACACGGTACCTGAAAACTTGACTTGGCATGTTATGTAATGGTGTAGCGATATGGCGATACAAGACCCACGATACAATACATCAGTTTACGACCCCTATATCGCGATACATATGATACACTGCATTACAAGTAATATCGGCGTAAACACATGTGAATAATAACAGAAACGGTTAAAAAACCAGCTTATGGAGATTCTCTAGTATTTCATAGTTGGACATAAACAGCATGACATTTACAGCACCCTCTACCCTATGTTTCTGCAATTCAATATCCCATCTTTGATCTCTGAAATTTAACAAGTATTTGTCACAGAGTGACGAAATATCCCCCGCCATATACACCATAGTACCAAATATGAAGACAATCCAGCGATTAGTTCTTGAGATATTGTGGCAACACCGTTTTCCAACTCCAAAAACAGATTTGCCTGCTGTGACCTTGAAAATGGGGTCAAGGTCACCAAATCTGACAGGTGTATGCGGTGTCTGTATATACATCATAGTTCCAAATATGAAGACAATCCAGTGATTAGTTCTTGAGATATCGCGGCAACACCATTTTCTAACTCCAAAAGCAGATTTGCCTGCTGTGACCTTGAAAATGGGGTCAAGGTCACCAAAACCGACTGGTGTCTGCGGTGTCTGTATATACACCATAGTTCCAAATATGAAGACAATCGAGAGGTTTAGTTCTTGAGATATCGCGGCAACACCGTTTTCCAACTCTAAAAGCAGATTTGCCTGCTGTGACCTTGAAAATGGGATCAAGGTCACCAAAACCGACTGGTGTCTGCGGAGTCTGTATATACACTATAGTTCCAAATATGAAGACAATCCAGTGTTTAGTTCTTGAGATATCGCGGCAACACCGTTTTCCAACTCCAAAAGCAGATTTGCATGCTGTGACCTTGAAAATGGGGTCAAGGTCACCAAAACCGACTGGTGTCTGCGGTGTCTGTATATACACCATAGTTCCAAATATGAAGACAATCCAGTGTTTAGTTCTTGAGATATCGCGGCAACACCGTTTTCCAACTCTAAAAGCAGATTTGTCTGCTGTGACCTTGAAAATGGGATCAAGGTCACCAAAACCGACTGGTGTCTGCGGAGTCTGTATATACACCATAGTTCCAAATATGAAGACAATCGAGAGGTTTAGTTCTTGAGATATCGCGGCAACACCGTTTTCCAACTCTAAAATCAGATTTGTCTGCTGTGACCTTGAAAATGGGATCAAGGTCACCAAAACCGACTGGTGTCTGCGGAGTCTGTATATACACCATAGTTCCAAATATGAAGACAATCCAGTGTTTAGGTCTTGAGATATCGCGGCAACAAACAGGTGGGACGTACGGACGGACGTACGGACGGACGGACGTACGGACGGTCGTGAATACTATATCCCCCGCTTCGCGCTTTCGCGCGGCGGGGGATAATAACAAATGATTCAGAGTGAGTGAGTGAGTGAGTGAGTGAGTGAGTGAGTGAGTGAGTGAGTATGGTTTTACGCCGCTTTTAGCAATATTCCAGCAATATCACGGCGGGGGACACCAGAAATGGGCTTCACACATTGTACCCATGTCGGGAATCGAACCCGGGTCTTCGGCGTGACGAGCCAACGCTTTAACCACTAGGCTACCCGACCGCCCCTCAAATGATTCAGAGATGTGATTCACCTGCAAAAGAGAGACCCGGGAAGATCTGGTGTATTATAGGTCTTCATCAACCCATGCTTGCTGTAAAAAGTGACTATGCTTGTCGTAAGAGGCGACTTAGGGGATCGGGTGGTCAAGCTTGCTGACTTGGTTGATGCATGTCATTGTATCCAAATTGCGTGGATCGATGCTCATGATGAGAATCAATGGATTGTCTGGTCCAGACTCGAGTATTTACAGACAGCTTGACTATTGCTGAGTGCAGCATTAAACATCAAACACAACAAACATTAAAAAATCAGCAAAAAGAAGAATATCAACTTCTGAAATAAAAGTACTGTATCATATCGCACCCATCGTACCGGGATACGTATCGTATCGTGACCCCAGTGTATCGTTACAACTCTAATGTTATGAAACTTTATTCTATAATGAAACTGACAATATCTTGAGGATTATTGGACACATTGTCAGATAATATAATACACGTACATACATTTATTGCAATAGAAAGTTATCAGTGAGGGGTATAAATACATCCATTACAGTATCCGTAATTAATTATTGTTTTCATCTTTCATGTCACAGAGCACACAAAATGTCTCAATTTAAAATATATTAAAATATTCACTTGTATTAAAGAAACACCGATTAAAAAAATCAAAAGCAATCATCATAACTTTAAAAGCTTTTGTCTAGTATATTGTTGCAAACAGGTATATTCCCATTCTTCAACCAGTGTTTGGAAAGGACTGATGATTTGTCCATCCAATTGGGAATTTTTACTGACATTTGCAGGGCTAGAAACTCACAGGAGTAACATTACACAGGCGTGTACTTACATTGGGGGTTACATCGTGGAGCAGGGCATTAGCGTCGTCGTCGTAGTCCAGCTTGCACGCGAGTGTCAGGTCATGGTAGGCATTCTCCCACTGACCCAACATCCTGGAGGAACATATTAGAAAATCTCATTACACGAACAGCCTAATTCTCAAATTCAAATTCCGTGACAGTTATCGACATTGCCTGATGTGACCTTCAACATCCTATATGCAAAAAAATCTACAACGTACGAAAAAAAGATCACAAGGTGCATCCACTGGGATGCAGAAGACCTGCATGCCTGTTTTGGAATATATGCTTGTTTTTCATAATTTGGTACTACTTTTTCCGAAGGTGATCATTTAAAGAATACCTTATACAGTTGAATACATCTATTAATAATCTTGCACTTGTTGATGCTTTTAGTTGGTGAGCGACATATCTATTTTTAAATAACGGCCTCTGACCATGCACAATCGTTTGGCACTTGTCTTAAGACTACTGTTTTCAAGTTTTGACATTTCTCCGAGACACTGATGTTTAAACCTTGGACCCAAACAAATAAAGGCTTTGAATCCCCTTGACCGCTAAAATAAGGAAACCCATCAATTATCCAGACGGTTGATTTCCCACTGAAATCATCAAGATTGACAAATTTCTAGATTAACCAATCACGGGTATTGAGTAATATCACTTTGTATACAAAGCAGTATTCTGGAAGACATCGTTCAGAGGGTGGAGCTTCCAGATTAACAGTATCCAGTACCATCTCTTAAAGTCGTTTGGTATGACACAGCCTTGGATCAAGGCTCTCTGCCGGACACTCTACCACTAGATCATGGAGGTGTTCATATTGGGGAGACAAAATGTTAGTTTGAAAGTGAAGTTCCCCAAAAGGATCACTGAACAATTTACTGTGAAACCTGACTTTGAAGACAACATTCCCTGGTGAAACTGTCCAGATGAACACATTTCCTATTAAACAAATCTTGACTAAATAGTAATGTCTCTTTAACCATATCTACATTTCATCAAGAATCCTCTCAGATCTTATTTTTCTCTCCAAATAACGGAATTGTTCTTTCTTCTTTAAAAAGGGTTGGTAAATTAATCAACAAAGAAACAAGCAATGTGAGCAATTAAAGGGACTATGCTACACAAAATGCTCCCTCCATGGATCGGGTGGTCAGGCTCGCTGACTTGGTTGATGAATGTCATCGATTCCAATTGCGTGGATCGATGCTCATGATATTTATCACTGGATTGTCTGGTCCAGACTTGATTATTTACAGACCGCTGTCATATCTCTGGAATATTGCTGAGTGCGCAGTTAAACAACAAACAAATCCATGGGCATGAATGAGCACAGCTCCCTGGGAGCAGTCCTTACCTGTATGCCTTCCCCCGCCACTTGTAACCAGGAGCCGAGTCGGGATTCAGATCTATGGCTTTTGTACAGTCGTGAATCGCTTTCTTGGGTTTGTCGAGCCGAATAAATACCCTGAAAGAATGTCGGGAAGAAAATTCATACAAACTGTCAGAGTGGCGTTATGTCATCTGAAAAGTAAAAGTGTCATTGATGAGAGTTCAGAAAGATGAATATTCTCACTCAGTCATTTTTAGATCCTCTCCTAATTATTACCATGTATGGCACTCCTCGTGGCGCCTAATTCGCCACGGTGTAACTGAGGTTGTTTATCCCAATTTTGTTTCGCACATATTATCATACCATATCATCTGCCTGTACAAGACAATTCTCACCGAGCCCTCTTTACTTGTCGTAAAAGGAGACTAATGGGATCGGGTGGTCAGGCTTGCTGACTTGGTTGATACATGTCATCGATCCCAATTGCGTGGATCGATGCTCATGATATTAATCACTGGATTGTCTGGTCCAGACTTGATTATTTACAGACCGCCATCATATAGCTGGAATATTGCTGAGTGCAGCGTTAAACAACCAACCAACCAAACAACCAACCCTCTTTACATACATGGCAGAAGGGGTTGTTCATGTTAATATTATCACATACAAGATATCAATCACTGGATTGTCTAGTCTTGACTTAATTATTTACAGACTGCCGTCTTATAGCTGGAATATTGCTGAATTGTTAAACAACAAATAAAGAACAAACAAAACATACTTACCATCACATCATATCACCTGCCTGAACAAGACAATACTCACCGAGCTCTCTTGGCATACATGGCGGCAGACAAGGGGTTGTTCTTAATGCCTTCAGAGTACAGCTTCAATGCCTCCTCTAGCCGACCTACAATGACAATGTCACCACACTCATGAACGACCAGACTTATTTGGAAAAATAAAAATAGAAGACATTTGGTTTGCTTTTGTTAACCTATTGTCTTGTCATGTCCTATTGTCTTGTAGCTAAACCTATTGTCTTGCAGCTCAACCTATTCTCTTAAAGCTAAACCTATTGTCTTGTAGCTAAACCTATTGTATTGAAGCTAAACCTATTGTCTTGCAGTTAAACCTATTGTCTTGTCATTACCTATTGTCTTGAAGCTAAACCTATTCTCTTAAAGTTAAACCTATTGTCTTGAAGCTAAACCTATTGTCTTGCAGTTGAACCTATTGTCTTGTCATTACCTATTGTCTAGTCATTACCTTTTGCCTTGTAGTCAAACCTATTGTCTTGTCATTACCTATTGTCTTGTCATTACCAATTGTCTTGTCATTACCTTTTGTCTAGTCATTACATATTGCCTTGTAGTTAAACCTATCTTGTCATTACCTATTGTCTTGTCATTACCTTTTGTCTAGTCATTACCTATTGCCTTGTAGTTAAACCTATTGTCTTGTAGTTAAACCTATTGTCTCCTAGTTAAAACTATTTTCTTGTAGTTACACCTATTGTCTTGTAGTTACACCTATTGTCTTGTAGTTACACCTATTGTATGCACATTTCTTTTTTGTAGTGGAAGAAAAATGCGTTTGGCAGATTATAAGAAAAGAAGTGCATTTCATAATATAAAATTTCCACTTCAGATATTTTACGGTTGAAACAATCTGTAAACAAATTTGAAGTCAAACCTTAAGAGTACATATTAACTGCAACGATGTTTGCTTGAGTAGGCTGTTGTTCCCATTCTGACTACGTCCTAAAAAAAGCGTGACTAACTTAACAAATATACTACTCAAAAGAAGTTAAAGAACACCCAATTTGTTTACATAACTATAGCTAACTTCCTTTGAGTAGTATATACACTGTTAGTCTAAATGTTAGGTGTGGCACATGCAGATTTATTCAGATCTCATACACTGTTGCAGAATGAGTGAGTGAGTTGGGTTTAACGCCTCTTTGAACAGTTTCCAGTTATATCTCAGCATGTCAGCTTAATGTGGGAGGAAAGCCCGAAGTGATGCAGGTATCAAACATGTACCACTTTGGCTTTGTTGCAGAAAGCAGCTCAGGAATACTTGGACACTGAACTGTCAACCTAGGTCAATACACCTTATTTGCTCAGTATTTTTAAGCTTTTGACCTCCAACTTCAGTGTCACATCTGAGTGAGTGAGTGAGTTGGGCTTAATGCCGTTTTAAACAGTCTTTCAGTTATATCACAGTGTGTCATCTTGATGTGGGAGGGGGGCCCGTGATGAGGGTCACATGTGTACTGATGCCTATCACTGGGTGATACCATGAACAGGCCATAAAATTGGAGAAGATGAGATTCGAACCCAGATCCTTGAATGGCTACTTTGCCACCACCACATTGAGAACTTTCAAATAAATGTGGAGTAAAAGTGAGTGAGTGAGTGAGTTGGGTTTCACGCCGCTTTTAACAGTATTCCAGTTATATCACGACGTGTCTGCTTAATGTGGGAGGAAAGCCCGAAGTGATGCAGGTCTAAGACGTTTACCACTTCGGTGAAACCCATGAGCACGGGTATGGTGCTGACAAACCAAGAAACATAATTGGGGCGAAGCGGGATTCGAACCCACAATTATAGGTTTCTGGCGTGCCCAAGGGACGCAACTCTGTACAGCGAATCGTGGCGCCTTAGACGACTGGGCCACCCGTGCCCCCTGGAGTAGAAGTAAGATCAAAACAACTAATAGCAAGTTAATCACATATTTATTCATAAATCAACAACCAATATTAACAGACTTACACAACAATATCTAAGTCTGTCATGCACTGTTCCCAAGCAAATACAGTTAGCATGGTGAATATCATTTATTTCAGCGGCATCATATATATCAAAATGGCAAGACATGTTTTAACAAGACTGTACATTTACAGCAGAATACTTTCTTCTTTAAGTGAGTCAGTGAGTGTCATGAAAAGGTAAAACATTCAATGAAATAAGATGAATTTGATGGGACCTTGGATGAATGCAAATACAATCAGTGTAAAAGTTTTACAAAATCAAACAATATATCTTTCATTCAATTTCACCGGAATCTTAATAAAATGGCATTGTTATCACCCAGACAACTGAGGTAAATGCATAAACAATCATTATAAAATTGTACCAAATAAATATTCTTCTGTTAACAAGTTTAATGAAAGAAGACAGAAACATATCTTTCATTCTATTTCACTGGGAATTAATATAATACTCAAATTTTGATAGGGATACTCAGCTATGTCATTCTGTTTAAATATAAACTTGACATAACTTGAATGTTTTGTGTCATATGGAAAGATAAAAAATATCCCTATCAAAAGTAGAGCAGTATATATGGCACCTTGATATCCAGGCAACAATGGAAAATAATACAAACTTAAACATTCTCTTGAGTAAAGAAGACAGATAAAATCTTTATTTCTACAGCATCAGGATGAATTGTATACGTTGAAATACCACATTTTAGGAAAAATGCTCACTAAACTGATTGGTGGACCAGTGGCAGAGTACAAACCCAGACTCGTGGTGTGAGATACAGTCTACAGTGGCTACTGTACCATCTCAGTATCATGTATTCAACATTGAAAAACTGACATGCAATAGAAAGCCGCAGTAAATCTTTTTTATAGAATGGACGTCTACATGTCCATTAAAACTGGCAGTGGCAAGTCCCATTTCCTTATCTGGATATTTGATTGGTTTGTAAAATGTTAATAAAAATCAAGGGCAGGTAATTTGAGATCACAAGAACCACAGAATAGATCCAGTGGTTAGGGGAGGCTTACCAAAATGCAATCTCATTAAAATCAGATCTTAGTTTTCGCTACCGCTAAACAAAGATCTGAAGACATCCCATTACGGGTCACGTCAGAACGACCTTTCGCGAATTTTGACCGATCAATGAAATGACTGACAAGAAATCGACTTTGGCCAATCAGAAGGCAGCTTTCTCGAGCTTTATGACACTAGTTTCAAACTGGAGACTACGCTTCGAAACATATTCTGACGTAATCTCGATTAAGAATTTTAAAAGAACATTCTGGAATGGCTTATAGATGGCCTAGATTGTATGGATATAATCATAAAACATGTAACTCTTGTTTGGAATACCCCGTGTTAAATATATCGTGGTTGCATGATTACAAAACACATTCCGACTGTCATTTTCATGATCCGGTAAGCGACGCTCTGATTGGTTGGATGAAAGGTCGTTCTGACGTGACCCGTAATGGGATGTCCTCAGATCTTTGTTTAGCGGTAGCGAGAACTAAGATCTGATTTTAATGAGATTGACCGAAATGTGATCCCTGGAGATATGTGAAAAATGGCACCAGGTGGCAAGAATAAAACATCTGAGTTATTCATCCATCATCCCGACTTCACAGTGAATACACCACATGATAGAAAATGTAGTGTTTAAAAGCAGCTGAAGTAGTGATGGTGATATTCTTCAGGTGGCTTTGTTTGGCAAACGTGGCTCGTGAGAATTCACTGGGCTTTGGTCCTTCCCCACACTGAAACACAGGTTGCCGTATATCGCAGTCAATAGCCCAACCCCACCTATATAGCGATCCATGGCAGAAACCTTCAAAATCGTTGCTACTATATACCCCGTCTATATTGCAATGCGGTCTGAAGAACATCATTATAGTATACTATATTGCAATTTATACTTATCCTGACTCATATTTATTGCTTATCTCTCTCTTTTTCGAATAGGTAGTGGAAACTTCCTGTGCTGTTCCCAAAGAACTGAGAAAACAGCTCACTCAAACGCACCCTCACTCTGCGTATGCGCACCGGAACCATGTGACCAAAGCCCCGTAGGTAATCACTCTCTCTTTTTCATGCATCTTGGCAGCTTGAAATGCTTTTCTGTGCATCATAATCCAAGCTATCCATAAAAAATTAACCCTTTTTAACGATATATTTAGCTTGGATTATCTTCTGTAGTATTCCATACATCATATCAAACGATTATTTTTTATATTTGGCATTAGATTTTTTCTTAATTTGGACTTAAATGCAGCCCCTATCGGAGTTATGAAAACATGTAACCATGTAAATTACGTGTTTCAGATTCGGACCCTCATCCAACCTGTACCAGCTGCACAGTACAGAACTGCACTGCAGAGAATAGATGCAAATTCTGCGCCCCTTTGGGGCAGGAAGAATTTAGTAATTATCTTTTTGCAGTGCAGAGAAAAAAGATGGATCGGAAACGACGTGAGTCATCACACTCGTTATCATCCTCGGAGACGGCTAAAAATAAGAAGAGGTTAGAATCTATGCCCTGCTCTTCATCAGAGGAAGGGACAGATTTTGAATTAGATATTATTCAAATTACTCCCGCTGAAGATGATGCAGTCACCTCCCATCTTACTTCCTTGTCTACAAGTAAGAAGTCTAGAGGGTCTAAGAATACACCTACTGAAATCTTCAGTCAGGCTATTAATCTACAACAACTAGCTAAGGAAAAGAGAGCTGCATCATCTACATTGAAGCCGTCTTCCCCAAGCAGAGAGCATGTTTTCGCAGAGATTATTACCTCTACAAAACCACGGACTTCATCATTATCCAAGAAGGGGGTTTCCAGGAAACCAGAAGTTTCTTCTAGTTAGAAGAAAACCATCTTCCCGAGGCAAGAGAGTTAACTGACTTTAAAAGTCCAGTTCCCACCCTTGCCGAACTAGGCTGGAATTCCTTGGCTCGATCGTAGTGCCACCAGTGGTTATTACAAGTTATGTCCCTTCTAAGCCTCTCCTAATTAAAATTCCACCTCTCGTATCACTTGCATTTGCTTCAAACAAAATGGTGGCGCCCAGTCAAGACGATCTGATCAAAACTCAAGATCTGTATTGTGATAAAACAGGTCTTACACGGTGAAGTGCAT